ATGATTAATAACAAATGTTATTCAGCAGAATGTTATTCAGCAGTAACAGATCTTATTAGTTATTATTCAATTTGGATAATAAATCTATTATCTCGTCGTATTGATGTTTATTATATAGTGTTTCTCGTTGTGTGTGTGTCCAAGCACTTTAATATTTTCCAAAGTATTATATGACATTTCATTCTTCATGTTACACCTATGAATGATTCATTTTGACCATAGGGATATTTGCCAATAATTGCACCTTGTCCTTTCCATTGACTCAAAAGAAAAATTCTTAATACAGTTTTACTTACTACCATGCTAGAAATTGAGGTAATAAAAGGAGTAATGCATTGTAGTAACTTCTGAAAATAATATTATGGTGATTTCAACCACAATCTCATGCCATTTGGTTTATTATCCCACCGAACATAGCTTGAGATGGATATAGAGAAGCTGCCTGTCTGTCTATTTGTCTGTCCATCTGTTTGGATTACTCAAATACCGGTTGACAGATTAAGTTCAAATTTTACAGGCTGATACTTATGATGATATGACCTCTGCTCGTGAAGGAACTTTCAATATGGCCTCTCAGTTTGATATGAAGTGAAGATGTAAAGTTTTGAGGATATTTAGAAAATAAGCATGATAAAGAATGATATCGAGAAAAAAATGAAAAATACATAATTTCATCTTTTCATGTTCAGCAAAATGTCTAGGCTATCTTAATTTTGTAATTGTCTATCATTTTCTACATACATTATCTTAACATGTGATTTATAAATGGCTATTTGGATGAACACTATCATTGAAGGAAATGTTCTTATTGTAAAACAATGAAATATATTGATTTATATTGAATTGTCAAAAAGGGGAAATCTGTCTGATGATCCTAATAATACCCTACATGGGACTAGCATCCTTTGAACCTCTATTTGCAGTTTGTCATTCGCTGTAAGATTATTGTTTATCTGATACAAATCAATGCTTTTATCCCATATATAAGTTCGTGATAACATAGTTTACTGATGTGGGATGTACAGATCCAATTTGAATGGCTCTGATTTTAGAAAACTCTCCTGCCATATGAAGTTTCAGGAGCATAGAAGTGTCTTGCCAAAGGTTGTTGTCCGACCACATTTTTATACTTTACAACATTCTGCTGGAATGACAGTATCACTCCCAGTGTTCAGAAAAAAGAACGGAGAGGGGGTAGGCTAGAAAATCCAACAAATCTGGAAGATTTATTTTTTCAGGAGAAAGTTAATTATTGAATTGCTAAATGAACTTCCAGTTTTGTTGAATTTCCTAGCAGACATTGCCTGCTCCCCCCCCCCCCCCCCCTTTCTGTTCATTTTGTCCTATCACCAGCCGTGATTATAAGCTTCAAGAACGACATCAAAAGCTGGTAGAATGATATTATTAGCTGGTAGATTGAACCAATCAGCTGATAAAAGCTGCATTTTGTCATTCTCTAAACTTGCAATAGATTCACTGGTACAAACATTTCTTTCTTTCTTCAAGACTTCTGATAAGTTATTAATCGATTTAGTTTGTTTAAGGTCCAATTATTTTTTCGTTAATTTGTTAGCAAAATATACCAATGTGGAATTTTATTGCACATTTTATGTTCCAATCACCATAAAAAATTCTTTTGAAAACAAGCATTGTGATTTATTTTTCAAAATGTCATATTTGTAAATCATGTAAGGACATTAGTCGTTTTTTGTGTGATATTATGTCACACTGATTGGCTTTATTTATTAGATATTTTCTATTTTATTCTTTTTTCATAATATATCAGCTATTCGGATTAAGTCGCCGGGTTGGCCTAGTGGTTTCCTAATGCATTGGTCTGAAAAGCAGGAAGTCTGGCTTCAAGCTGAAAAGTAGAGGTCTTGGGTTCAAACCCAGGTCACAGCACTTCTTGTGATTTGTCTTTGACCTATGACTGCTGACCTATACCGGCGATTACTAGAGTGCTGCTAACTCGATAAAAGGCTGGCGCTGGCTAGAACTGTCTATGGTTCTAGCCAGGATAAAGATACCAGTTCTTCAACTCGACAATGGGAAGAACTGCTCTACCTAAGTGACTAATATGTCATGATATGACATCTAAAGAGTCGATAAAAGATATATATATATAGGTCACAAAATGGCACAATGAGGGTGTCATGTTACCATTGACATTGATTTGACATTTCATGGAATATTTCATGGTATATGAAATCTAAAACTAGGCATGCTGGTATAGTTTAAAGGTGGCCATTTTAGACTTTTCCTCAAAAAATCTCGTCCGAAGTCTTTTGTGCATTTCCCTGCATATTACTAGACAATAGACAGACAGACAAAATTATCAAATAATATGGTGGCCATTTTGAATTCTGTACTTGCCCTTACTTCTATTTTTAAGTACAATAATGTTTACCTTATGTCCTGTTCATTTCCATTTTGATTAATTTATTTCTCGATAAATCATTGAATAGCTGAAATAGTATGCATGTGGTCTGACTGTTTAGTATAAAATAGAGTTAAAAGAGAACTGTCAATGTGATAAAAGAGTGAAGTGACGTACTTCTCGTTTTGATGGATATAAGTATAACCATAGTGACTTTTATTTTACTACAGTGAATTGAAATCATTTTACTCCATGATCAAATTTTATTACCTTCCAATTCTGTATTCCCTTGTTATTTCTTCTTTAATTGAATGAAGTCAAGGATCATCAGGATACATCATTATAATTTTTAATGGCTTCATGTTTCTGAACTCTCCTCCTTCCTCAGTTCAGTCTTTCCAATTCCTCTCTCTTTTACATTTCAATGTTTCATCATTTTTACATTTTATTTGTGGGGTTCTTTAGGGTTCAATTATTGTAAAATAGGCAATTATATATATCCCTGTCTATATTTAAAGCTATTTGGGTCTTAGGCTGTATTAGGGAATTATTTATTTCTGGAAAAGAGCAGTTAACATCTATCACCCGTCTGATATCATGAATGTGTAGTTACTGTAAAAGTGGTCGTAAATAGCCTTGTTTCTAAGAAATAAATAAAATGATCTTAGATTGGAAATTCAAGGTTTATTTTCAGCAGAATCCAGGGTAAGCCTAGCAATTGAAATATATATTACTATTCCTGGATTACACCTAATTGTCCTTTTTAATCAAACCTGATGATCTATTGGAGATTTTGTAATAGTCTTTTTTCCTGATTCGAATCTTGATTCAGAGGTTACTTGATCACTATAGCATTAAATAAGGAAATTGGTCTCAAAAAGAGACTCAATAGATTTTGAATCCATGAATAATCAAGTGAACAAAATTTTGAATTATGAACTTGTAAGAATAGTCAAGGAATCATTGTTTGAAATTATGTTTCCAATCGATGTTCAGTATTTAAAATACTGTCATATTTTGATTGTATTCATATTACGTAAGTAGCACGATTCTCTCATAGGCATACTTTTGAAAAATAAGAAATTAACATGTATTCCATACAGGCATCAAAAAATAATTTTAATGCCAATAATATGACAGATTGTCCCATGGTGTTTACAGTGCAATCTCTCCACTTTCATACACTTAGATTATTAGAAAAAATGATGTTATTACGATTCAATTGGTCTTTTGATTGACATATCTTAATAAGCTTTACAAGATGTAATGTTGCGTGTCAAAAAGCAATTCAGTATGTCTAGTCCGTCATGTTTATAGAACTGGATATTGTAGAATTGCTACGCGTTCTGAATGTGGAGTAAAGTATCTACTGATTTATATCTTAATGGTATGGTACATATTTTTTTATCTAGCAAAAAATATAGAAAGATTAGAGAATGATCATTAGATATTGATTTTAATGTGTTCACACTTCCCAAACTTTAATTACCATTTTCTTAGAAAACCACCTTTTTCTGAAAAGATTTATATCCTGATAAATTTCTTTTTGAGTGTCAGTGTTATTGTAATGAACTACATGTATTTTTCTCTATTTTGAACTGGAACTTGTAGTAATAATATGGTAACAATGATGTTTTAAATGGGATAAATATAATAGATTGTTATAATATGGTAACAATGATGTTTTAAATGGGATAAATATGGTAGATTGATGCCATCTTTTTCTTCTGATAAGAAAATAGAAATTGTTGTTGCACAGATGTCCCTATAGAATAGATAATATTATAAAAGATAACTATAAACTGAATGGACCATTGAACTCCAGCTAGATTGAAAGCTTAACTCCATCCATCCCAATCCGATAAACAGATTCACAGTTATCTCCATTTGTGCCAGCCGTTGTTATTCATGTTTAATAAAGACTTCACTTTTACGATATATGATGCATTTGTCATTTTTGGATTTTACTAGATTAAAGACAAAGCAGAATCAACTTCACTCCCATGATCACACTTAGCAAATATGTCTAGCTTTGATTTGTTGGAGTTTTTAGCTCACATGGTGAGCTTTTGCAATCACTCACTTGTTAGGTTATTGTTTCATTTTCCAAATATGATAAATACATATAGTTTCCATTATGTGGAGGGCCTAGGCTTGAGAGGCATTATTGGCTCTGTTACTTGAGATTTTACGTTAGTGGGTACCTGTAGTATCTTTGAAAATGTTCACTCCTTATTTTCCTGACTGATTACATTCATAGAGTTGAATACAAAATATCTTTATACAGTACATTTAGTTTTACTGTTATTTGAAATTTTTATATGGCTCATTTAACAACTGAAAAATGTCTACTTTTTTTTCTTTGAGATAACAATAATGCTGAAGCTTATCTGATTGTGTTTTATAGAGTACTAAATCTTAAAAAAAGCTTCTGTCTTATTGAAGTTTCTTGCATTATTTTGACGGAAATACATGTATCAATTGTCCCTTCTTTCATTTCTTTACAATTTTCTGGTTATGGCTGTCTTATTTTACATACTTCTGAATGTTTTGGATTTTCAGGCCAGCTTTATCGGTTACTGGCCATCATGGATTTTATTTGAAAGCTTTGTACTTTCAGCCTTGAGATCGCACCTCAGAATATTGATGTGAACGTTCACCCAACAAAACATGAAGTACATTTCCTACACGAGGATGCCATATTTGAGACAATACAACAAGCTGTTGAGAAAACATTACTTGGGAGCAATGAATCAAGAACATATTTTACACAGGTAATTCAATGGCAAAATATTGATTGATATATATTTATCATTTGTCGAATCATACGAGAGCATCTGCCATGGAGTAACTGGGTTAAGTTGATTGAAATCATGCATATGTCAGTAAGTACATCCTGATATGTGAATTTTAAATGAGATGCCATGTCAAGGCTGAATCATTCTAACCTACCATAACAGCATATCCATTGCCAAACATTCTGATTTCTGAATGTTAAATGAGACATTATGTCAAGGCTGAATCATTCCAACCTACCATAACATCATATCCATTGCCAAACATTCTGATTTCTGAATGTTAAATGAGACATTATGTCAAGGCTGAATCATTCCAACCTACCATAACATCATATCCATTGCCAAACATTCTGATTTCTGAATGTTAAATGAGACATTATGTCAAGGCTGAATCTTTCCAACCTACCATAACATCATATCCATTGCCAAACATTCTGATTTCTGAATGTTAAATGAGACATTATGTCAAGGCTGAATCATTCCAACCTACCATAACATCATATCCATTGCCAAACATTCTGATTTCTGAATGTTAAATGAGACATTATGTCAAGGCTGAATCATTCCAACCTACCATAACATCATATCCATTGCCAAACATTCTGATTTCTGAATGTTAAATGAGACATTATGTCAAGGCTGAATCATTCTAACCTACCATAACATCATATCCATTGCCAAACATTCTGATTTCTGAATGTTAAATGAGACATTATGTCAAGGCCGAATCATTCCAACCTACCATAACATCATATCCATTGCCAAACATTCTGATTTCTGAATGTTAAATGAGACATTATGTCAAGGCTGAATCATTCCAACCTACCATAACATCATATCCATTGCCAAACATTCTGATTTCTGAATGTTAAATGAGACATTATGTCAAGGCTGAATCATTCCAACCTACCATAACATCATATCCATTGCCAAACATTCTGATTTCTGAATGTTAAATGAGACATTATGTCAAGGCCGAATCATTCCAACCTACCATAACATCATATCCATTGCCAAACATTCTGATTTCTGAATGTTAAATGAGACATTATGTCAAGGCTGAATCATTCCAACCTACCATAACATCATATCCATTGCCAAACATTCTGATTTCTGAATGTTAAATGAGACATTATGTCAAGGCTGAATCATTCCAACCTACCATAACATCATATCCATTGCCAAACATTCTGATTTCTGAATGTTAAATGAGACATTATGTCAAGGCTGAATCATTCCAAACTACCATAACATCATATCCATTGCCAAACATTCTGATTTCTGAATGTTAAATGAGACATTATGTCAAGGCAGAATCATTCCAAAAGAAAGAATTGAAATATCCTTTGACCAAGATGTATTATCCCACCAAATATGATATATTTAAGTGGGTCTGGTACCATAATGGAAAGTATTATGATTATTGATGTCTCTGTTATTAGGCACTCCTACCAGGTGCCCCAGCATCACTGAATGACATCACATCAACAAAATCTGAAGATTCAGGTATGTTCTTCAATAGAAATATTTGTACTGAACTACAGTATATGTATCCCCTTAAATGTTTGGTTCAGTCAATGCTGTAATCACCTACAAGTCAGTCTGACATGCACTGTTCATATGAATTAATGAAGATATGTCAGAAATATTTACAATTCTAAAAATATTATGATATGGAAAGGATAGGTATCGATATGGTGAACTGAATTAAACAATGTTTTTCTCTTAAACCAATTATTGAAAACATTCTGTAAAAAAACATGGTCCTTTATGTAATGTTGACTGATTGACAACAATTTATGTGAAAATTATTTATTTATATTTTATATAACTGTTTTTGTTAACATTTTTTGTTTTTTAGTGCAAATGTTTTTTGTTCCTTTCTACCAATTCTTGAGAATGAAATAAAATGTCTCTCCGAACTTCGTTGGAACAAAATAGCATATATAACATTTTCTTAGACCTCTCAATATTATAGTTGTACGAAGGAAATTTTGATTGATTTAACAAAAAGTATTCAAAAAATTAAAACAAAACCCCACAAAATAGATTAGTGCTGTCCCCAGCTCCGATTTCGGTGATCGGCTAGTAAAAAAGGTTTGAGGGTATCATTTTGTTCCAGACACTCTCTAGAGTAAATTATCCTATCTTGAGTAAAAATGTGTGGTAAGTAAATTCGCTATGGGCAATTAAAGAGGCGCCATCTATTCATTTTAAAACAGGGGGTAGGGGTATAAAATAATTTTTAACACATCTTAATAGTAAAATGACATTGAAATACTAATAAAATCTTATCAAAAACATTATTTACAATCAGTATGAATTTTTTTGTGTGAATTAGGGTGAAAATAAGGGCATATTTTGAAATTCACTACAGGGGCGCCACCTATTTTCATACTTCTACCACGTTTAATAACTTATTTTAGATTCGTTAAGGTACGAAATGTACTGAAAAAATTCATTCTGAAGGACCTATATATGTTCATACCACATACTTAAAATTGGATCAATAGCTTTTGTACCTGGGGAGAAAAAAATTCTTGAAATTTAAAATTGTGGCATCATGCAGGATAGGGGTGACCATATCTCACATGATTAACTTCCAAAATATGGAGCATATGTATCTCAAATGTACTCAAAATGGTGCATGTACTCTTGCTTTGTCATAATATTACTAATAAGAAGTAGAAAAATGATTGTACAATTTTAAAAAATATTAATTCTCATTTTGGCTTCTGACGTCCCAGGGGTGACCATATCTCACCTAATAACTTCCAAAATATGGAGCATATGTATCTCAATTGTGCTCAAAATGGTATATGTACTCTTGCTATGTCATAATATTACTAATAAGAAGTAGAAAAATGATTGTACATTTTAAAAAATATTAATTCTCATTTTGGCTTCTGACGTTCCAGGGGTGACCATATCTCACCTTAATAACTTCCAAAATATTGAGCATTTGTATCTCAAATATACTCAAAATGGTGTATGTACTCTTGCTTTGTCATAATATTACTAATAAGAAGTAGAAAAATGATTGTACAATTTAAAAAATATTAATTCTCATTTTGGCTTCTGACGTTCCAGGGGTGACCATATCTCACCTTAATAACTTCCAAAATATGGAGCATATGTATCTCAAATGTGCTCAAAATGGTGTATATAGTCTTGCCTTGTCATAATATTACTTATAAGATGTAGAGAAATGATTGTACATTTTAAAAATATTAATCTTCATTTTAGCTTCCGACGTTCCAGGGATGACCACTGACCATATCTCACCTTAATAACTTCCAAAATATGTAACATATGTATCTCAAATGTACTCAAAATGGTGTATATAGTCGTGTCTTGTCATAATATTACTAATAAGATGTAGGAAAATGATTGCACATTTTTAAAAAATATTAATTCTCAATTTGGCTTCTGACGTCCCAGGTCTGACCATATCTCACCTTAATAACTTCCAAAATATGGAGCATATGTATCTCAAATGTACTCAAAATGGTGTATGTACTCTTGCTTTGTCATAATATTATACTAATAAGAAGATTATACATTCAAAAAATTTTAATTTTAGCTTCTGACATCCCTCAATAACTTCTAAAATTATGTAACATATACAACTCAAATATACCAAAAATGGGGCATATGGTCTTGCTTTGTCATAATATTATTCATGAGATGTAGAAAAAATTATTAGACCTTTTTTGAATTGAAATTTTCATTTAAGCATCCGAATCTGACATCCCAGGGGCAACTATATCTCACCTTGATATAACTCTCACGATATGCAACATATGCATCTCAAATGCGTGCCCAAAATGGTATAAATATAGTCTTGTTTTGTCATATTTATTGAGATTCATGAAATCAGAAGTTCAGAATTTATGGATTGGACTGTCTCCCCTGCAGGCTTCAGCTACATATAGTCCAGAGACATTAAGATCTACTTTCAAATATTTGCATCTTCTCCCCAAACACTCCTTATATTACAGGAACAATGGACGATAAGTCTTTTGCATGCCTTGGATGCAACATCTTTTGTATACTGGTAGCCTATCAGTAGTGTGAGTAGCCTAGCCTCATTTAACAAAATTGGCCCCTTAACCCCAAATCTGACCCGAAATTTTGAAAATATCCTGAAAAATTAGGCCTAAAAGGCGCATTTATGCCCAAACATACACCAAACTGTCCCACTGCTAAATTACAAGGGCGATAAGTCGCTTCTAATCCTGACTGACATTCTCTAGTTTGCATGGTTTGTCATGTTGTGCTATATTGTTATTGCCCAATCTCAACAGTTGTATTCACTGTATGGCTACCGTGCCAAGAATAATGCAATTGTTCCAAAAGCTAAGCTCTTCTTTGGGACCCTAGAAGTGTGGGACATCACAATCATAGATTAATATTTCATTACAATCAATGTATGTTGTATGACAAACATGCAAACTAGTGAATGTTAATGTGGCTAGAAAGATTTATCATTACAAAGAGCTCCTTTTCCCGTATTTTACATACTCAAAATCCCTTAATTCAGTGTATAATCCAAGGTGCATATATTGCAGGCCACAGGATAACATATTAACACCTTACATTAGCAGTTGTCATTACTTCATGAATGGAGTAAAGTACTCCCACTATTGACAGGCTAAAAGGATTCCTGTATGGATTACAAAAGATGTTGGATCCAAAGTATGCAAGGGAATAATCTCATCCATTGTACTTGTAAAGGGTGTTTGGGGAGCAGATGCAAATATTTGAAAGCAGATATTATTTGCCCTGAATTATATGTAGCTGTAGAGGAGACAGTCAAAATCCATTGATTCTGAACTGTTGATTTTATGATTCTCAATAAATATGACAAAACAAGACTATATTTATACCATTTTGAGCACACATTTGAGATGCATATGTTGCATATCGTGAGAGTTATCAAGGTGAGATAGCCCCTGGGACACCAGAGGCTAAAATTAAAATTTATAAAAAAATGCTACATTTTTCTACATTTCATTAGTAATATGAAAAAGACAGGATGAGGATTATATGTTACATACAGTATCTTAGAAGTTATTATTATTATTATATGGTGCGATATGATTACCCAGGAACGTAAGAAGCTAAAATTAAAATTTTTGAAATGTATAATCATTTTCTACTTCTTATTAGTAATATTATGATAAAAAAGCAAGAGTACATACACCTTTTTGAGTACATTTGAGATACATATGCTCCATATTTTGGAAGTTATTAAGGTGAGATATGGTCACCCCTGGGACGTCAGAAGCCAAAATGAGAATCAATATTATTCTAAATGTACAATTATTTTTTTTTACTTCTTATTAGTAATATTATGACAAAGCAAGAGTACATTCACCATTTTTAGTACATTTGAGATACATATGCTCCATATTTTGGAAGTTATTAAGGTGAGATATGGTCACCCCTGGGACGTCAGAAGCCAAAATGAGAATCAATATTTTCTAAAATGTACAATCATTTTTCTACTTCTTATTAGTAATATTATGACAAATGAAGAGTACATACACCATTTTGAGTACATTTGAGATACATAAGCTCCATATTTTGGAAGTTATTAAGGTGAGATATGGTCACCCCTGGGACGTCAGAAGCCAAAATGAGAATCAATATTTTTTAAAATGTACAATCATTTTTCTACTTCTTATTAGTAATATTATGACAAAGCAAGAGTACATACACCATTTTGAGTACATTTGAGATACATATGCTCCATATTTTGGAAGTTATTAAGGTGAGATATGGTCACCCCTGGGACATCAGAAGCCAAAATGAGAATTAATATTTTTTAAAATGTACAATCATTTTTCTACTTCTTATTAGTAATATTATGACAAAGCAAGAGTACATACACCATTTTGAGTACATTTGAGATACATATGCTCCATATTTTGGAAGTTAATCATGTGAGATATGGTCACCCCTATCCTGCATGATGCCAAAATTTTAAATTTCAATAATTTTTTTCTCCGCCAGTACATAAGCAATTGATCCAATTTTAAGTATGTGGTATGAACATATATAGGTCCTTCAGAATGAATTTTTTCAGTACATTTCGTACCTTAACGAATCTAAAATAAGTTATTACACGTGGTAGAAGTATGAAAATAGGTGGCGCCCATGTAGTGAATTTCAAAATATGCCCTTATTTTCACCCTAATTCACACAAAAAAATTCATACTGATTGTAAATAATGTTTTTGATAAGATTTTATTAGTATTTCAATGTCATTTTACTATTAAGATGTGTTAAAAATTATTTTATACCCCTACCCCCTGTTTTAAAATGAATAGATGGCGCCTCTTTAACTGCCCATAGCGAATTTACTTACCACACATTTTTACTCAAGTTAGGATAATTTACTCTAGAGAGTGTCTGGAACAAAATGATACCCTCAAACCTTTTTTACTAGCCGATCACCGAAATCGGAGCTGGGGACAGCACTAGATAAGAATTAAGAAAAATCTTTTATTTCATTAACAAGATACTTTTTTAAAATCAACCAAACTTTCCTTTGTACATTACAATATTGAGAGACCTTACACGTTGTGTTTATGTTGTTTTGTTCCAATGAGATTAGGAAAGATGTTTCATTTCATTCTGAACATATGATAACAAGAACAAAAGAATTGTCTGATGTGTTTTCTAAAACAATATAGAGAAAAGTATATGTTTTTTTTCAAATAATATTGTTACCAAAGATGACCATTAAATTGACGATGTGTAAAAATTTTTGAATTTTTTGATGACTGGTTTAAAAGAAACATGTGTTAAAAAAGTTCACCACATCGATACCAATCCTTTGGAAATTTTGTCGCATTTAGTCATTTTGAGTGAAAAAAATACAACAATAACAAATGCAAGAAATGCTTCAACTTTGTAGATAATAAAAAAGCTGCAGCCAAGGATATGGTTCGAACAGATAGCAGAGATCAAAAACTTGATGCATTTCTCCATCGGACCCCTAGACCTAGTACTAGTAACCAATGTGATGTGGTTGCTATGGAAACTGATGGAAATGCTGATGCAGAATCTTCTAATACAAATAAATCAAGGTGGCAAAATTATATTTTTTTAAATAAAAACCAATATATCTAAAAGCATCAACTTTTCCAACACTGTTACCTTTCATTATACTGCAGAATCTGAAACTTACAAACTTGTTGCTATTTTTTTTATCGAAAATTTATTTATTTTAAGAGGATAGCCCAGAAGGATTGTCCTTATCCAGGGGCTCTCCTCATTGTTCCTATTTGTAACCATTCGCAATAAATTATGAGGTGATGACTTTTTGGTGACATTGTCCTACATCGTGGTAAAAATATTCAAAATTGCTGCTTCAGCTCTTTCAGCACCAGATTTAATGACGCATTGGATTAAATGCAAAAGATAATACCTTTGGAATACCTTTCTGGTCAACTATCCCACTATAGACAAAACATCAACACTTCCTGAAAAATACTCATATTTAAAGTAGTCATTTAATATTCTGAGAAACGTATCTGTAAACACTTTTAGTTTCATCAACTAAACGGCTAATTTACCAATCAGTCCCTAACAAATGAATGTCTGGCTGAAGTTTCACTCGTAGAATACGTGAAGAGATTTCTCTTATCATTTGTCTCTGAGACGATTAATTCTGAAAGTAAAACTGGGGATGTTAAGTCATTACACTAATAATGGTGGCCACTAAATGATGATAACTTCATCTCAAGGGGCCCTAGAAGATATTTGTCAATTTGTCTTTAGTAGCCTTTTGGTGATTGGGGATGGCGGAAATAACCATATTGACTGCCATAAATATGTATTGGAAGTGTTTGTTCTTGTTAAACACACACATAAGATACCGCATCTGGAATTTGAATTTGTCATTATTATTAAGTCCCCAGCTGTTATGGCTTTCCAATTACACAATGTAGTTTATGACTTAACGGAATTGATATATTTATGAGCTTGTATGATTTAATGCATATTAGACACCTCAGGATTGTTTTAAATGCTCTCTGTAGTAAATATGTCAATACGACCGTATAACACCTACTGGACTTTACTTTTCTTATAATCATGTTTTCCTATGTACTTCATATATCACAATGCAAGAATTTTTCCTAATCTATTTCCTTATAAAAACTTTAAATTTGTTAAGCATTTATATACTTTAAATCCTGCATGTTTTGGATTAAATTTTATTCTTCCGTATATTTCTTTTTTACTTTAACTGAGGACATGGCCACAGCGATTTTTAACGAAAGGATAATTACCAACTGGAGTATATGCATGATAAATTGGGTGCATTTGTTATTGCCAATTTGGACAAGGCCATTTTGGAAGCTGATTAACTTTTTAATAGTTTATGTGACAAAGTTTTGTAATCAAGTTCCTATGTGATTGTACAGGTTTGAAGCAAATATATTTCTCTTTAGGACCTTTTTGTAACTTAACATAAAACATAATGTTCTCTTTTGTTCTGATTGGAAATATGTTCCCAAATGGAATTATTAAAGGCATTTCTTTTTGAAGAACTACAAGTATGTTACAACAAGCATAAGTGAAGTAATGAATCAGAAATGCATCATGGGGAGCTTTAATTGACATTTAACAATATAGTGTCATTTCAACAATAGAGTGTCATTTCAACAATATAGTGTCTTGATCCAACATAACATAACTGTAGGACAAGGGAAACTTTCCTCTTTTGCCCCCCCCCCTTCCCCATCACAACATACATGTAACAATACAATATTTAGTGACACCCAATTCTATATGCTTTCAGGAAGCGTCCCCATGCTGAAGTGATGCAGTCACCCATATGTCCCAGTAGGTCTCCTCAAAGAAAGGAAATAAAATTAACAAGCATACGAGAACTGAAATCAGAAATAGAAGAGAAAACACATTCCGGTATGTTATCTAACAATCGGTCATATAAGGATAGGGTTACATGTACCAGTTTTTATCACACTTTTTGAAAGCCCTATGTTGCCATTATCTCTTGCTGATGGGTGAATTTAATGGTCTGATTTTTTTGCATGGAATTTCGCAGAAAATTGATTTTTCTTGTCAACCACCTCATCTCATATGATATTTGTCTCTCACCCTGACACCTTAGACAGTCATTTGTCATCAGAAACTCGTGTTTTGAGGATTTCCAAAGAGAAATGTGAAATAAATTTAAAATTCTCAAACTTCCGCCTTTCATTTTTCTCATGCAGAAAACTAGTATGCGTGATAGATATTAAAATAGATTCTGACTAAACTACATTTTTGGTTCAAATAAAAAGAAAAACTGCTTGGGGAACCCTCATCCAAATATATGTTTTGAAGTATAGAATTATTAAAAATGAATCTTTTAACACTTGCTCAGACGTTGAATCTCATTTTGACCCCTTTCATAAACATTATAATGAAACTGTAAGTATTTGTACTTTTTGAATGGTCCCCCCTGCATGTTTAAATACACCCATGAATGAGCTCTAGAAAGCCTACCCGTTGTAAGCATAAGTATGTTAATTATTTTTTGTTGCAATTTTATTTGTCGAACATAAAAGAAATGTGAGAAAGGGATTAATTTGGATTACTTGAATGTCCTCATGTAATCATCATAAAATTAGTTTCTTATAAATGATTCTATTTGATGATGGAGAACATCAGGTTTCATTTGAGAATTCTCTTAAAGGCGGATCATATCTTGTAGGTTCATATCTTGCAGGTTCTAAAATGTTAGAAAATTAGATATAGAAGAAAACCATGTATGAACACTCATTCATGTTCGGGGATTTTAAATATGATGCTCATGACTATGGATCTGTGAGAAATGTTGAAATGAGCCATACAACAAATATCTACAAATATCTAAAAGGGGTCATTGTTGATAACTTGAATTCTATTAAATTAGGGCCTAGAAAATATTTGTCAATTTGTCTTTAGTAGTGTTTTGGTCATTGTTGATAACTCTTTCTATTAAATTAGGGCCTAGAAAATATTTGTCAATTTGTCTTGAGTAGCGTTTTGGTCATTGTTGATAACTCTTTCTATTAAATTTGGGATATGGACTGGCAATCTCAAAACTGAGTCAGATTTTAGCAATAAAATGGTAAACCACAGGTGTAGCGAGAAACATTGATTGAAAAGACTGTCATTTTCTCCATTAATGTTCACCAAGTTCAAAGGTCATAACCATCTGCATGATTAACACGCATGTGCAAAAAATATTGCAGGCAATCATCTAATAGTTTTGGAAACTCTAGCTATAAAAATGGCAAAGTGAATTTCATGTACCAGAAAAAAATTGATAATTTAGTCCCTGTCATGTGTGATGTCAATGTTACTAACTAAGGACACAAGATTTGATTTGATTTCTAGACAAATGTTGATTGTTTTCACAAAATTCCCTTAATGTAGGTTTAAGCTTTTTTATGGTATTTTCAAAAAATCACGAAGCAGTCCATTCAGACCAATAAGTACATGTAACATGAATTTCTGAGTGTTAGGTATTGTCGTGTGATAGGTTTTTGTTGGTACATATTCCTAATGAAATGAATGAGGGTTTCCAGCAGCTATTTGATACAGTCATAGAAAATGATCCCCTAAATAATGTAAGTAACTCTTTTCACAACAACAAAAGTTATGTCCTTATTTTAAAGCCACCTTGTGTATTTATTGTTTTAAAAGTTTGGAAATACTTCTTTTTCTAATTAAAGGTGCAACAATTAGTGCAGGGGGCCATTCAACGATCATCGCCCAGTGTCAAAATATATTTAAGTTTGGATATTTCATCAAGACTAACATATATTTTTATTATTATTATCTACAAAGAAATCCCCTGGATGGACATTATTTCAGCTGATATTCCTCTTGAAACATGATGAATCTTAAAAATTTATAAGTGAGACTCCCTTTATAGAAGTTTTGAACTGAATTTTCACTTCTTAATGCTGAAATTGAGAGTTATCCATACATTTTAAGAAAATAGGTATGTCAAAGAAGATGTTAAGCCAAATATTGACCCGATATGTCAGAAAAAATAAAAAATTGCGAATTTTCTCGCTACAGTCCTTGTTGCCCCTTTAATTAATAAATTGAGATTTCCAATCAACTCCGTATATAACATAAGGGTACATTGTATAGTACATGATCAAATTGACTAGTAATTAAATAGATTAGATTAGATTTGGCCTTATCATTCAATTGCCTGGAAATACTATGTGTTTCAATGGAAAATGAATAACTTGCCAATTACTCGTCATTTATACAGACACTATGATCTATGTTTCTCTTCATTTTTACTGACCACATAAATGAAATATTGATGTGTTGTTGCCCCTGTCAATGTCTTAATCACCGTAACATTTGGGCCTACTAAATCAGGTCAGATCCTTAAAGCTGACACTCTCACCTTTCAAATGGTATATTGGAACAGTAGAAAAAATTATGTCATTTCTGGCTCGCATAGTGCGCCTATGGGATCAACAAAGGATCTGTCCATTCGTTGGCTTTTGAATATCTAGTTTGGTCAGATATATTAAATATTGATGCCAGCTCCACCAAAGTCTTCATTATGTTATTGTACCTTTTACAACATGCAGCTTTATTAATTGGAAATGAATGGTCTTATCTTATAATGTCATGGGCAACAAGTGTTTCTATTGCAGTTACATCATTTCATTAACTTTTATATCAGTGTCCACGTAACTCTAATGCGATTTATCTGATAGTTTGGATATTTAATTAACTAGGGTCTAGAATCAAAAGATATCAGAGTAACCTTTCCACACTCATGGTCCTTGAATTTGGAATTTTTTATTGGGCAAGCCACAAATGATTTTCAAAAAGATTCCTCACATTTTGCCAGATGTCATTCCAGCTATGAAGTATTGGTTCAAACAATTAGGAAAATATCCATATTGGCTCTGTAAATAAAGAAAAAAAAGTTGGCACTATGTTTAGTTATAAAAAAAAATTCTTAGTTATTTTTACGAAAACAAACTTCCAAACATTGTCAGCATTGGTCTTCAATGGCTTTTCTCTTTCCTGACACACAAAAATAATTCTTTTCTTTTTGATGTCTTTTTATTTTTATTTATTTTATAGTTGCCTATCATTCATTTATTTACATTAACAATATGGTTTTATGATTTTTATTGAATCCTAGTTTTATGTCGATGGGTATGAGTATGCGTATGGGAGAACTTGGTCTTGTCTTCACATTGTCAGACAATACAAATTAGGAATTAATTTAATTAATTGATTACATGATACAGTTTAGATTTGACTTGAACTATTTGAACTACTACAACATCAACTACAGCATCACGATCCAGCTCTAATTGAATTGTAAAAAGTACAAAGGATGGGATATCTGTTTATCTGTCTAGGCGAATATTCAAACTTGTCACATAAAAGTCACAGATGTACCAGAATGAGACAATACTACTGTCTTGGTAATTTCTATTATGTTCACTGGGGTAGCTGATTGGTTTCTGTATGCTATTAGGAAAACCAGTTGCCATATTGCCTTAAAATTTTAACACTGTTCTTGAACTGGCCAAACTAAAAAAAGAATTCCCCAGAAATGTCTCAGGGGTGCTCAATGTCATGCAAATATAAAACAATTATGGGCATATTGGTTTCATTAGAATATGACCATTTTTAAATACTTTCTTTATACAGAGTATACATGTAGGGACCTTAGTGAGTGTGATCATGTCCACTTTAAGTAACGTCGTAATCCTCAAGGTATTCTAAAATTCTTGTCACTGTTTTCAAGATGTCTTAAAGCAATAAAATTGCCTCATGAAATTGATAGAGAACTGTTTGTGACCAAATTAAAATGAATTAACTACCTTCAATGAATGTAATATTGCCCAATGTCATTGATGGGCATACTGGCAATATGTGATCATTGCAATCACTATTAGTGCTGATTACCTTTGCTTTGAATCTAATCTTGTGAGTCATCTATATTAAATGTGATTTTTGTAATGTGATATACTAGTATGCACAGGTATTCTAATTTTTCTGGTGGAATTGAATATCACGATATGCTCAGCACATATTAAGAAAAAAATGTTGAATGTTGTTTCGAAAATTTGTTTTCAGGTCTCCGAGAGATGTTTGCAGATCATATATTTGTAGGATGTGTCAACAAGGAGCATGCCTTATTTCAACACCAAACTAAGCTATACCTAGTCAACACTACGAAAATCAGGTGAATACAAAGTTTTTTTATGTCACTTCTATAAAATGGTGTTGAAATACATATGTTGAGTCCTGACAAAAATCAAATAATAAAAAATATGGTAAATGATTTCAGACGTATTTAGCCTGATGAATTACTATAGTAGGTACACGATTTCATGACATCAGAGCTCTCCAAAATATAAAAAATACTTCTGAATTAAAGATAAAATGAAATATACATAAGTTCAGTCATTCACATATCGTTAATTAATTATTTTTATATTATGCAAAGTTCAGTCATTCACATACCGTTAATTAATTATTTTTATATAATTTATTTTTTTTAGCAAAGAATTTTTCTACCAGCTGCTCATCTCAGACTTTGGAAACTTTGGAATCCTTAGGCTTTCTGTAAGTATATTTCACCAGTAATACACATATGTGCATTTGTTAAGTCTATTTGTTATTGTTTTTCATTCACAGTACACATTCGACATAGTATATCTATTTTGACTATTTGTAATTACATTTAATAAATGTTTTTATTTGGCTATTTGTAAATGTATTTGAAAACCTCAATTTAACTTCTTTTATATTAGGAGCCAGCTCCACTCTATGATTTAGCAATGTTGGCTTTGGACAGTGAGGAAAGTGGTTGGTCTCAAGCTGATGGTCCTAAACCAGAACTTGCAGAATTCATTGTGAAGCTTTTAATATCAAAGTCAGAAATGCTGCTGGATTACTTCTCTTTAGAAGTAGATGAGGTATGGTATGTTTAAGCTGGAATAGATATTGTGCTTTAATGCAGTTCCGCATTTTCAGAATTGCTTTAATTGGGGTTTTGTCATCTCAATTTAATTCTAATAATTTTACCTTTCTATGAAAGAACCTACAGTTGTACTATAGACCAATTACTTGTACATCAGAAACAGAAATAAGTCCAGCTAAAAGAGGGCACCACTTCCTTGGGGAAAGACTGCCAATGTTTTGTTCTCACTGATTTAAAACTGAGTGTAAAATGAACTTTTAAATTTTTGATTTTTGCTAAATGTTTACTATTGTTTTTTACAACTTGTACATTGTGTCGTATATGAAGGATGAGAAACTAAAAACATATGTGACATATCCAAATTTGGACATTACATGTATATGGTTGAAGGTGTGGGTGTATTATATTGGTGAAAACAGGGTGTATACTTCATGACCTTAAAAGGAAAGGAGTCAAAACTAAATGTTAAGTGTTGACTAGATTATTATTTCTGTGTGGAATTGGTTACTGATTTACATTCTTTGTAAACTTGATGGAATCCTGATGTAATCTCTAGTTGTAAAGTGATAGTAAAGCGTAAAACAATTTTTTCAGGAAGGTAACTTATGCACTCTTCCACTGTTACTGGACAACTACATACCTGCCCTAGAAGGTCTCCCTGCTTATATACTCAGACTAGCCACAGAGGTAAGTACATACACATATATGTATTATATAATAACTTGATGATGTTAACATTTTGACTTAAAGAGGAATTACAAAGGCAAACATTGAACCAGTTTTGTCATCCTCACTTAATACTTATACATTTTTATAACTCCATACAAAGACATGTGGGTCAGAAGAGCAAGCCAAGAGAGTCTTTGTTTTTTATTTAAACTAACTGCATTTTATGTGATTTTCTAATTGATAGGTTGACTGGGATGAAGAAAAATCCTGTTTTGAGACTTTCACAAGAGAAACTGCAGATTTTTATTCATTCAAGAAAGATATATTTGTACTGCCAAACATCCAAAATGAATCTCAGGTAAAACTATTGCATTAATATCTGTCAGATCATGTTTTACATTTTTATAAACTTAGCTTGGTGTTGTTTTGGTCAAGAGATTTTTCAATGCTTCCAATTGATATCATTAACAATGAACATGTAACTGTACATTGTTGTAAATTTTCTGGAACTATTTTCACATGTTACTTTTAGGGACCATTGAATCATCTTAATTATTTGAACCATTGACAGGTACAGGTAAATGCCAAATAATTTTTGCCGTCCCTAATCTTTTCCCATATTTTATTGCTCAAGTTTTTATTCCAGGATTCAGAGAATACAAAAGACTGGAGGTGGACGGTAGAACATGTCCTCTACCCAGCATTCAAACAGTACTTCCTGCCATCACGAGCCCTTTCCCAGGATGCTAGTGTGCTTCAGATTGCAAACCTACCTGATTTGTACAAAGTATTTGAAAGATGTTGATGAACTTTGAAAGAACATTATGCGGGAAATGTCTGCATCTGTCGTGTTCAAATACATGTTATCATATTACTAATGAAATTCAACTTATTGAAGTTTATAACTTTATTCGTAGTTTCATTTTGGACACAAAGTTTTTAAACATTATTGTATATTCTGTACAATGTACAATAAGACCTGTCTAGTGGAACACATCAATAAGTAGAACACCTTTGTAAGTGGAATACTTCATAGTCTCGTGAACCACTGATTTGATGTTTAGCAAACCTCTGAAAGTGGAACAACTCCCTATAAGTGGAACACTTTTTAACATAACCAAGGGTGTTCCACTTAGTGTAGTGTTACACTACAGTTATTGTTATACATGAACATTGAACAATTTTCACATTTCCAATATTGTTTTTCTGAAAGCCTGTGTGTTCTGCACACACTTTAAACACAGTATGAAGTATAAGTGCCATAAAATAAGTAAAAAATAAAAAATATATACTTAATGGAATATATACAATGATTGCTCTGTTTTATCATATATACAATGATTGCTCTGTTTTATCATATATACAATGATTGCTCTGTTTTATCATATATACAATGATTGCTCTGTTTTATCATGGGCACTCAGTATGAAAGCCCAAGGTTTTATTGAAGGTTATTTACTGACTATGAATTACTTAGCTCACAAAAGACAGCATAAAATATTATCATTAATCTGATTCACCTTAAACAAAGTCATTCTAGTGATAGTAGCTCTTGCCCCCCCCCCCCCTGCAAAACATATTAGCTCCTCAGAGCAGCTATTGTCATGATGCAGTCTTATTAACTGATCCTTCATACCTGTACATAGTGCTAACATCAACTTACACGGTAAACTACACTTTTTTGATGTACTGGTGCAATATCAATGTCTTTGGGAGCTTGAATATGTAAACTAGTGAACAATGTAAATACTGAATGTATTAGCTGCACTATTGCCAATGCTGGTACTAGAATGCGTAGTAAATCAAGAAATGTTGTGAATTCTGGACGGAGCGCATAATAACAGCCTTGCGTATATATAGTCAGATTCCTACTTGAATCAAGAACAGTTTCACACTTGCTGTTATATTCCTTGAAGCAGCTGCATGATTTTGGAAGAGATGCATCTGTAAAGTTTGTTTGGTTTTCAGATACCATGGTATCATGAAGTATTAACCAATCAGAATAATTCACAGTACCACAGCATTGTTTTGTTGTCTGTAAATTTTCCCAGCATTCTTTGGCATTTTCATCTGTATAGCTGCTCAAAGTTGACGCCCACATTTTCGCTAACCAAGCACCACTGTTAATCTCCTGTCTATGCGTTCCAGACAATATTGCTACGGTAACTTCCAGTATAATCACAACACCTAGAACCACAAAGAATCCTCGTATTTGAACAAAGTTAGACCCTCGCCATATAACATACACAGCCAGCAGGTTCAACACAGTCAGGATGACACCTATCACTATAGTAATATATCCTTCTATAAGATAAACCTCTATAAATTCACATGCAGGTATCCTGTGTTCAGAAACAACCCATATTCCTACACCCAGAAGAGTTAAACCTTGGAGTAATAATGCCCCTGTTAATACAGCACCTAGTATTCTTATATCCTTTCCTTTCTTGTCACATCTATGCCGTTTGTTCTCATTAAATGACATAGTGCATCCTTTGATCCAGTCCAGCAAAGCATTAGAGAATGTGGAGCATGAATTGCTGGATTTGTCTCATCCCTATATATTCACAGTGTACTTGTATTTATGAAATAAATCCATTGATTAAAAAGAGCATTAGAGCTCTAGTCTCTAAGTAAATCAATGAGATAGTGTCACTATGACATCCTTAAAAGTTTAAAGCTCACATTTACATTACATGGTCTTATGACTATATTATACGTATTTGTGCTTCATAGTTGACCCCAGGGTAGCACATGTAGAGACATCTATTATCAAATACTTGGAAGTCTGTGTATTTGGTTGCTTTTAGTCGGAACTCAGTGGTTATCCTCATCTCTTGGTATACATTCCTTTGGATACATTCCTTTGTAAAGTGTAGCTATCTGAAAAGCACAAAACAATTGAAAAAGCATTTAGAAATTAGACACCTGAATTATTGATACATCCATTGATCCTTTTATGATATATACATCCATAAAGTGAAACCTCAAAGTGAAATGTGCAGATCGATTGAAAATACCTGTGAGATTTCATGATTCATTATTGCCTTTATATTAGAATTACTATTCTTACACTGAACATAGATCATTGTGACAAGCTAAGGAGATTCTGTTAATCATTTATTCTGCATAAGATTGGCCATTTTTGTATTAGCTGTTATGCCATGATGGCTAGTTACACCCCATACATTGTATGATCCTCCAATATGAAGATACGGCTTGAAGAAATTAATTGTTTATATTCAGTTGTTCCTCTCTTCTGTTTCAAACTAGTTTAGCATAGAAAGTAAACTATAGTCTTATCCTTTTATCTATTCCCTTGACAGAAATATGTGTTTTATTGTACTAAATCTTGTCTCATGTATGTTGTTGACATTTGTCTTGGTGTTAGGCCTACTTATGTTTATGTTACGGTTCTATTCAGACTGCACTATCTTGTAACAATCTTGACAAAGTCAAAATACAGAGCTCTCCTTTCTTTACATGTAGACTGATAAATTTATAAAACATGAATGTCATAAAAAAAATAAAAAAATAAAAACATGTTTTATTTTGAATAATTGCTTGGCTTATATTACCTGGTAGTGTTTTCTCCAACTGTCTGTAACTATAACCATCATATACTAGTAACCATCATATTGCCAGCATATTACCACCATGTCTGTGCTATATTAGTTATGACATAGGATTAGTGTGACCTGCGCCAATATAAATGATCACAATGAGTAAACTAGTGTTGGATTGAATATTAGTCTCAGGTTATAATAAATCAATACATCGCAAATATTGCTTCATGTCCTCGGAGAAAGATAAATACTCCTAAATAAACAATTTTGGGAAAGATCTATCAGGGTCAATCTGACATTTTTACTTTTTCATTTAAGTTTTTATTGTTTAGATTTTGTTTCTAAAAAATAGGATTCTTTTTCAGAAGGTTCCATTTTTTAAAAAATTCCTATTTACACTTTAATTTTTTTCAAACAAAAATCATTTTTAATAAAAATTATAGCAAATTGTTCAAAAAAAAGTTATAAATGTTAGTTTTAATCATTATCAATGAACGTTGAAAATGAAAAATGTACAAATGTAGGCCTATAGTTTATTGATTTATTACATCCATCATCATGTGATTTGCATCATAAACGTGATGATTCAATATCATGCGAAAATGGGATCTATACCTCGGTTACAACATCGAAGTAAGTCCATGCTAAATTTTGTATTGATCTATATCTATTATTCTGGAAAGAAGATCCAGATCTTTTTATGTATTATTTTCATGTCATGGTAAGGGGGGGGGGGGGGCGTTGTTTAATTGCTCACTGGACATGGGTTGGTTGTGGTGAAGAAATTTCTGTCTCATCAGGTGCTTATCATGACCCAATAAGATAACAACTCATTCTATTTTCGGTGGATATGAGTACATCTTTTTTGGCTACAGGAAATATTGCTTGTGAATGATGAACAGGTTATCACCAAAGATAGAATGAAATATTTGTATAATATTGGCGCTCAGTATAAAACCCATATTCAACTCCTCCCAGTTAATAACCTATATATTCACTGTCATCAAACATCGTCATTTTGTCCCCCATTCAATTTCTTATATATTAATTTCAAACAAAAGACCTAGATCTAGAAGCAGCCATTCCCATTTGAATACTACTAAGTGAAGGTAGAAACACATGTCTGTAGTGAACACCTTCATTGAGGGAACATTCCCAGGGAATAGAAATATCAGGAAATGTCAAGTTTATAGTCATGTCAGATATAGAGGTTCTTATATGAGTACCTGTGCAAGATCGTCCATTCTTGATGAGCTTTGATAATTCTTCTTTATCGAGTCGCAGACGAGATAAAGAAACATTATCAAAGCGAGTCAAGAATGGACGATCTTGCACAGGTAAGAGTATAAGAAAGTTTTTCTCATATGACTCTGTGTTATGCCATATTTTCACCTTTTTATATTAAAACTGAGTGAAAAAACGCTAGAAATTAAAGGAACTTCATTTTTCAATTGCTATGACGTCATAACAATATTGTAGAAAATACATGGATACACGTGGCAACAAAGCTACATTGTTATGACGTCACAGCTAAGTTCTGTAGAATAAGCATGGATACGCATAGCAACGATGTACTCGTTGCCATGCTGTTGATGTTTATATACCAGTGATGTCACAAGTAAATCTCATCTTGCACGTGTGACTTTTTAGGATGAAAGATGGCAATATCTTGCATGGGGTAAAGATGGCTGTATCTTTGTTAGTCATATGAGAAAGAATTATTTTAACTTTCACAATATCTTGTGCATATTTTCCAGTCAATTATAATATATATCAAACATAACACAATATTTGAGAAAACAAAAATAAATATTTTATATTTATATAATCCATGCAATACAGTTCTATGTTCCCTTGTACATGTAATGCATTATTATTTCCAGTACCTATATCACATATACAGTATTTACAAGTATATAAATAGACAATGAACAAAATATTGGTCATGGAGCGTCTTATTAAGGCATCTGAACACACACACTCATTTAGTTAGTACAGTAAAACCTGTGAAGTGGAACACCTCTGGAAGTGGAACACCTCTGGAAGTGGACCACTTTAGAGTCCCAAGACCAATTGACTAAATATTAAATAAACCTCTGTTACTGAAAATGAAACACTTTTAGAGGTACCAATGTTCAATTTAAACAAGTTATACTGTACTACTACCATAATTAGTTAATACACAGAGTAATTAAGTTTTTTCACAACACTAAATATTAGCATTAACCAATACATCACTTCAAGTAGGATGTATGCAAAAACACAAAACATACATCCAATAATTCCAAGCCATTAATAATAGATATGACACAGCTCCCTTTTTGGTACTACATAACACATGTATATTTTCAACATGTTACTTCCAACAGACAAGTCAATGACTAATACGTAATTGTTTTTTTAACAATTGAGTCCATGAGTGTTATACAGTAGAAACTGCAAAGTGGAACACCTCACAAGTGAGGTTAAAATCATGTGGCCAATTGACTCCATGTTATGAACCCTGTAAGTGAAACACCCTGTAAGTAAAACACCTTATAGGTGAATCTTTTTTTGTGGTCCCAAGGGTGTTCCACTTACACAGGTTCTACTGTATGTAATTGGTGTAATCAACTTGAAAAGTTATTCTTCTTATATTTTAAGTAGGTAAGAGCATTACAAGCAACTACAGTCTATTGCAATATCCCAAGATAACATGTAATGTAATACATAATAATGGTCAACTGTGTAGTTAGTAGTTACCCCATGTAATTATATGGCTTATATTATGCCACAGGAGCAGACATATATTGGAGATGTGCATTAAACTGCATATGTAAAAAGCAATGGACGAAAAAAGCAATAATAAAGGGGTAAGTGCAATTAGGCTGCACATCAAAGCCTAAGTACATTTAAAAATGTGAAATAAACAAATGTACCATACTGACACTGTTCATATCTTATAGTGTTGGTGTATCATTTAGTGCTTTATTCAATACAACAGTGAAACCGTAAAGTGGAACACCTCTAGAAGTGGAAACTTTTCTAAGTCCCAAGACCAAGTGACTTAATGTTAAGGTACCAAATGTGCTCCACTTCACAGGTATTACTGTAAGTACACATTATAGATTATTTATAATTGGTGTCAATATTGTATAGATATGAAAAATAGCATTCATATTTTCAGTAAAATAAACCACAACCTTGAATCCATGAATAATTCTGTCAAAATATATGTTCATTTTAAATCAGGTATAAATAAGTATAATTTGATCAAAATAAGTAGGCCAACATTAAAATAAATTCCGAAAAATTACAATTTTGTACTATTTTTATTAATTAAGTCATAATCAATAAAATATTCAATGCAGCAGCTAGGAAACTCCTTGACACTTAAAACTCTTCATTTATAATCAAATAATGGGATATTTGAATGAGGATATACTGTCACTATGTCTGTAAAATTCTCACAACCATGATCTGATCTGTAATAAATGTTTTTCTTTGTATACACTGTACACCTTCATATCATATGTATACTCTCTGTATACACCTGTAAGTAGCTGTTTAGTATGACACTCAGGTGGGCAAGGCTTGCACAAGGGTCATGATATACATTATCATTGAATAGAAGCATGTATGCTGTATGCTATGTACAGTGTATTATTGGTGCTCATGTTTAAAGGAGTCAAATAATGGGAAAATAAAATGAAAACTTTTAATTAGAAAAGTGCATTATATGATTTTAAAGCAATGATGGTTAAATTTATTGATATTTTGATGTGTATCAATATGCTTGTATCAACACCAACAAATGCATTTAGGTATTAACTATTTTTGCATTTTGGGACCCTTAGTACACATGGACTTATCAAAAAATAATAAACCTACCATTATGAAACCTATATACAGATATTGCATTGAAAATGTGAGATTTTTACTGTTTGACTTGTTTAAATATAGTTAAACACATCAAAGGGGACAACAATCTTTAAATTTTGATTCTTGGGCACCAGCTGTTAACTACACTGTATACACAATTTGCACCATATTTTGGACCCTGCTATTTCAGACACATTTTGCAAGTTTAAAAATTATTGTGCATTTACATTTTTTTACAAGAAGTGCTTTCATAATACATGTAACATAGCCAAAAAATATTTCATCCTTTTGAGATAAACACCTGTGTGTCTTTTAATCTAAACGGAATGGCACCCGAGAAATGAGAGATATTACACTGGACAAACTGCTCAATGGGGAATATATGACTGATTACACTGGATGAAATGACAGCTGGAGACGACATCACTCGGCAATATGTATTTTCAATGACCTTGTACTTCCGAGTTGGAATGATGATTTTTGGGTCATGTGTATTTCTTGGAGTTATCAGAAGGTGACGAATATGACAGTGCAATAATAGTATAATAATATGGACCATAAGGCTTGTGAGCTGTCACCTTGTGATGTGTCACAGGTATTCACAAGGAATGAAATGTTTGATTTATTATATAACTGCCAAGCTAACTATCCTCAGCATTAGTAGTTCATATGTTTAAACAGTGATAAATACATTTATAGTTTTCAGGGGCCGTTTACAGAAACTTCATAAAGTCAAGAATTCATAAAGTCCACTGCTCTAGAACTGTGATGTCATTATATCCATGGTTACAACAATTGATTTACCATTTTATACTTTATGAAATTTCTGTTAATGACCCCTGGTTAAAACCTCTGTTTACCCAATGGCGTAGCGTCATATACACATAAAATGCCATGGCGTAGTCTCAAATTTTAGAGAAAAGTTAATTTTTCATATTGAATTCCCCCAGACAAATGAGTTTAATTTTCAATTCTTGAAGCACCTTTTTTGTCATGCCATCATTTAAAAACAGGTTCTTGTAATTAAACATTGGATAAAGATGGCCAGTAATTTACATTTTTATAAGTCCATATTAGTCGGATTTTGTATTTTAAAACAACTTAGAACGCTTCAAAGTCAACCTCATCTAAACGATTTCTTAGGGGACAACCCCCCCAAACCCCCTTCAAAACATGTTTGCTTCTCTCAATCATTGCGTACAATCACAAAATATCCACACTATGCCACTGTTACCCCTGTTGTGATTATAATTTGACCCACAATTAATTTCTTATCAATTCCAGGAAGGTCATCTATTTCACCAGTTTTCTAATTTGGTAATCATGGCCACTGAACATTACACGGTCTTATATGTCATGTGACCAAAATATGACCAATTTACAGTTTGACAGTGATATAATAGTAAAATTCAATCCATGATAATGGGTGATAAGTTGGATTAAACAAATATTTCTTCATGATCCACATATACTAAACTTTTCAAGCATTTGAAAATATTTATCATTAGAATATTGAAGACCTTGTATCAAAATGAACATCCAATAATTAACATCAGATTTTCTAGTGGTACATTTTAATCCCCTAATGTATATAAGTCTATATGTATTAAATTAACCACTCATGAATAAGTACCATATCCCTCAAATTCTAAGATAATCCTTTAAGTAATTTTTAGTTCAGAATTAAGACTGGAAATATTGCTGAAAAGACCAAGTTAAAAGAGGCACTCAGTGAATTCACTAAAGTTACTCCGCAATAATCTTTGACTTAGATGCTCGAAGTTGGGCTAGACTTTTTTCGTGGAAATTTAAAGAACAGTCCTAGTTGGAAGGTCCCCAGGATCACACCCAGGACATTAGGAGTCTGCAAATACAAAAACATCAAGTTATGAAACATTGACACAGCCAGCACCAAACGAATCTACACCTTACTGTAGTCTCACATTAAAGCACAATTGAGATAGCAAATTCAAAACAGGTACATGAATGTTTATTATTAGTTTAAGAGTTATTTAGCTCCATTAGGCATTATCAGAGAGATGTAATAATTATCAGAGGAATCCATGAGCAAATAAAAAAGTTATGACATTATTGTCTTTATTTCCTGAACACCCTATACATTAGGTAAAAACATTATTTTGCAACAGGTAACCATTGCCATATGAAATACACAGAACGACACGTAACTACAGTATCTTTTAAACATACGGTACATATTTGTTAAGGTTGGGACAACTGGCCTTTGGGCTGGGCCCTCATGGGTAGGGTCAAACTACTTCAGCCCATGGGTCAGGCCAAGTTTTAATGGCAGCCCCTGACAAACCTGGACCCCCTGGCCCAACTCTAATATTTATACTTACTTTTATAAAAGGGTCTGAGATGAGATATCCATAGAATAACCACTCTATTGAAACAACAAAGTTAGACGCAACCAGAGGAAATGACATGGTTTCTGTACTTCTTGTCTTTAATACTTCCGCCTGGAAAATAATAGAAAATATTCAGTTTATCCTAGAAATTAATATTTTGATAGTGCATGTTAACAATCAAATGTTGATAAGAACATTTTTGTATTGTGTGCTTTCTTTCCACCTGAAGTTTTACAGCTCCAATTTCCAATATGGAATCAGTAAGAGAGTATGTAACTACTTAAAAGTAGATATTATGAAAATTATAAAATGAACCTCATTGAGTGTGACAAGTGTAAACGCTCTACTTACCACAGCAACTAAGGGAGAACCATATGAGATTACGTTAAGAGTACAACAGAAGATGCCTAAGTGCAGTAATGCTGTGTCTTTATCTTCCACATGAAACTTGATGTAAAACAAGATTGGGAACACCAACCCTGCGCCTATTAGCAGCTGTCTATGAAGGGCTGACTACAATGATAAAACACATCATGATTTTATTGACGGAGGACAAGATCTTCAACAAACATGAAATGAACAACGTTAAGCACTGAACAGAAAGGAAAATCTAACACGTAGTGATATAAATGAGGCTAGTAAGATATTTTTCATCTATGATCTATATGGCTTATTTCTTCATATGGATTTGTAATCAACACATTTCAGTCATTGCACGTTTGGTGACATAAACCAGGAATTTCATAGGAAAAAGTCATGTTTGGGATCACGCCCGGTGATCGTGAAAATGGGACGGAGGGGGGGAGCAGGCAATTTCCGATAGAAAATTCAACAAATCTGGTAAAATTATTTTTTCAAGACAGAGTTTACGATTGAATTGCAAATTGAATAAGCGCACGGTATGATAAAATATGTTAGGTATTCTAGGATTATTTTTCAACCGATACTCTTTTAAGATATAAGATCTATTAAAAAAGGCGCAACGTAACCAACGTGCAAAAGTCAAAGTTTTTGCTATAAATCAAGCAACAATGGACTACACGACCTGTAATAAATACTTGTAAGTGATGTTATCATAACTAAATTAATGTCATTGCTGAATTTATAAAATAAGTTTCCATACGTAAAATAAAAAATAATCGAAAATAATTAAAATGGGACGGAGGGGGGGAGGGGACGGAGGGGGGGAGTAATAATTCTATGAAGTGAAACAACTTCACACGAATTCTTGTATTTGAAAAATGAACTCATTAACTTAGTAAGAAACTGGATGATATACCCCTGGGGACTGAAAAATGGGGACATTTGGAGTAAAAGGACTTAAAGTCGCGAAACATCTCTAATCATGTCTTATATACATATTGCTCCCCCCCCCTCCGTCCCCTCCCCCCCTCCGTCCCAAATTCATTATTTTCGATTATTTTTTATTTCACATATGGAAACTTATTTTATAAATTCAGCAATGACATTAATTTAGTTATGATAACATCACTTACAAGTATTTATTACAGGTCGTCCAGACCATTGTTGCTTGATTTATAGCAAAAATGTTGATTTGTGCCTGTTGATGGCCTTGCGCCTTTTTTAATAGATCTCATACCTTAGATGCGTATCGTTTCAGAAAAAATCCCAGAAAACCTAACATATTCTACCATACCGTGCGCCTATCCATTTAGCAATTCAATAGTAAACTTTTTCTTGAAAAAATAAATCTTCCAGATTTGTTGAATTTCCTAGCAGAAATTGCCTGCTCCCCCCCTCCGTCCCATATTCACGATCACCGGGCGTGGGGATATGGGGTTACTTTGAAAAATTTTTGAGAGTTTCTAAGAGGCTAATTTTTCTATTGTTATCTTTTTTCATTTCAAAAGCTCAAATAACGACACACTTGAGTTTCTAAAAAATTGAACCCCCTTATCAATATCAGGCACAATCCTCCAAAGTAATGTAGCTACTTACCCGGTTATGTGTATAAATGTAGTATATGAATATGTAAATAGCCTGAGCAACTATGCCAATTAAATTCACTGATATTATAGTAAAGTCCTCTTTTAGGAGACCATATTTGCACCATACTGTACAACTGAAACAAAATTTGAAATATGAAAATTGTGTGATAATGAGAATTACAGAAACTAAAATATGAAATCATGTGAGAGTACACCTTGACACAGAATAATATTCAATAACTGATTTCTATCATTGGAACAAGCATATTTTTTATTCTTTTTATTTCTTTTATTGACACAAATTTTTGCAAAATAAGAAATAATTAGCTTCACATATTTTAAAAACATTTACCTGCAAAATATTGCCAGGAGAGGAAAGAAAGATACATCATTTGTATTACCCTTTCTTGTGATCTTTAATACTGTTGGGCTGAAAAGAAAAAACATAACATTTAATATTATCCTGAAATTGATAGTCAGCTATCTCAATGGACCTTCCATAAATAATAACCAAAACATATTCAGGTACAGTAACACCTTTCTAATTGGAACACCTTTGGTATCTCTAAAATATTCCACTTGGGAGGCGTTCAACTTACTGAGGTTCATTTAACATTAACTCAGTTGGTCTCAGGACTCTGAAAAGTGTTTCACTAACAGAGGTGTTCAATTTGCAGAGGTGTTCCACTTTACAAGTTTAACTGAATTCAGATGTGGCTTTAGACAGAGGGATTAGGAATACTGTAAGATTCCCAATGATTCAAGTCAAATATTTCATTGTGTTTGGTGCATTGTATTTTGAAGATACCCTTTTTGATACATATCATAGCTCTGTACTTACATGCCTGTTGAGAAGACACCTATGGTACATACTGTGGCTAAATAAGAGACAAACTCTGTCAAGCCTAACTGCATGATGGATGAGTGACTGTATCTGGGTATCAATACATCTGAAGTAAAAGATAAACCATGTGCTATCAAAATGGATGCTATAGTGGATGCTATATATGCTGTTGGTTCACACAGTGGGATGATATCCAATCACCCAGGTATTTGTCTGTCCTTATGAATAGGTTATTTAATGGGAGGGATAAAATATGAATTTAATTCTGAGGGAAAATATGATATTGCCCAAGGAAAATATCATATTGACCGACGATGATAGCCGAGTGTCAATATGATATCTTCTGAGGCCAATATAATACTTTCACAAGGAAAAAATTAATATTCCATCACGGCCATCAGTTTTAAATGTCATCACCCAATGGTGGTGACATAAAAATGATACGATTGAATTTATCATATAACATATTTAACTTTTACATGTTTTAGTAACGATTTTTAAATAGAAATGATTTGAAATCCCGGGAATAGTTCTTGTACTGGATCTTACACAGGATTTTGGCTGATAAAGGATCCAATATAGGATTTTGGCTGATACGGGATCAGATACAGGATTGTTTTAATATCAATTCTATTCATTTCCCAGGGAAAACAATATTATGGAGTAAATGATGGTATACACATTCATTTTATGATGTCTATTTGACATGTTCCCCATTTTCCAAGTCATTTTGGTTTTGAGAAAATGTCAAAAAAATAACAAAAAAACTTGAGAATAAGTTTAATGGTTGTTATAGGCACAATACAAACATATCCTCTGAAACTCATAGCTTTTTGAGTTTTTGGTGTTTTTCAAGTTTCCTCTAAATTTTGACAAAATTATTTCCAAAATCAATGGAAGGTATTCTGATTGAAAATTGTACTTAAACAGTTCACTGTGTGAACTCAGGGGCCTTAGTTTCATTTTCATCTTGATTGACATTTTATTACCTTTTCGAACATAGGTGTGCTTGAATGGCACTTCGTTGTCCTTTAGCACAATAGCAACTTCTCATTTTGAGATGAAATTTCCACGCATGACAATAGAAAATGGATTTTATTAAGAGAAAGTATTGATTTTAATAAAATGGCACTTGTCACAAACAACGAGCTTACATCTCAAAGTATCTTCCAGGGGAGTATCTTCCAACCTTGTGTTAGTGAGAGAATTGGGCATAGAGTACATTGGGCTTGATGCAAGAGTATAAATCAAACATGTAGCCTAGAGTACAAGTTTTGTTTTAAAAGTTGCCTTTTATGTTACTTCTTGATTTTTTACAATCAAATTATAATCTAAGAAAATATACACTTCAGATTTCTATGCTTTATTTTCTATTAGTTCACCTTTGTAGTTTACATGATTAGAAATACTAATACTAAAACGAGAGGTACAAAATGAAGTAATCAATAACGTATGTTAAAACTTAAAATGTTTATCAGCTGCATGTAGAATTGAAATGACAATAATAGATATTACTGATAACTCACTGCAGGCCTCAATGAATTACTACATACATATGTACACTTCAATATGCATACATTGCATGTGTAAACATCTGTCAGCATAGATATATTATCCATGAAATCTTACATTGTACAGGATTGCTCAACTATGGAATGTATCAAACTACTGTAACAATTTTCACTTAATAGTAGAAAATCAGGGCGAGTGAGTCTCCAACCATATAGTTTTTTCAAACATGTTGCATGATTCACAAACAAAACAAGTGAACCATTTTATCTATGAATTGTTTTTTTTATATAGGGGTCTTTTTTTAACTTATAACTTTCATAACTTACAATTTTCTAGAAAACTAATGTCAACACTAAGATGAACAATGACTTGTGACAAAATCGAAGTTACAATGGTTCAAAAATGGAAACCAAATTACTTTGTTTTGAACTGCCAAATGCAACAAGTTTGAAAGGAAACTAGCGAGTCTAAATGGATTTATTGTTTTTGTGGAAGGGTGAAGTGTCATATAACATCATTGTCCTCTGAGACTTTTCACTTTTTCCACTTAAATTTGCATATTCACAAATGACTCCATCAAATTTTATAGATAGCAAATAATTGTGGTAATGCTGCATCCACTGTAAAGCCAGTTCTAATCAGGTTTCTGAATGTTGTTAATTGTCTCAAGAGATGTGATAATCGCCTGTACAAGTGTTGGCACTTCAGCCATGGCTCCATAACCAAAATCACCGCAAGCTAGAGTCTTAACGATGCATGGAATTTCCTGATAGCCAAGCTCTGTTAGTTGACCTATTTGACGAGCTGTATATGGATGACTCCACATGTGTGTGTTCATAGCTGGAGCAAATAACAGCGGCTTTGACATATCCCATGCTCGGACTATACATGTGAGTAGATTGTCGCATAATCCATTAGATATTTTTGCCAATGAGTTTGCGTCTAATGGAGCTATTAACATGACATCTGCCCACTTCCTCAACTCAATATGAAGAACTGGGTCTTTTATTGAACTCCATTTCCATTCATCTGAATCCTCCCATACTTTTACTCCAACCTGATTGGGTTCAAAGAAATGTTTCGCATGTGCTGTGGTAACTACCTGTATGTCAAGATTATACTTGCACTGCTGCAATGCCTCCACCAAAGCTAATAGTTTAATAGAAGCAACGCTACCAGTAACCCCAAGTAATACTTTATTATGGTCAATTGTAATTTTATCATCATTTTGAACCACAGAGTCATAGCGTGTGGCCAAATGTGGCGAGTCTGGCATTTCTTCTGCCATTATGCCGATTCATCAGAAAGTCAGGCACACTGAAGAAAAAGAGAAAAAGACCTAGCAACTGTTTGAAAAGGGCAATTAGCCTTTTGCATTTTTATGATATTATATTATCAAAAATGTGATAACAAAAAAAGCTTTGAAAAGGGCAATTAGCCTTTTGCATTTTTATGATATTATATTATCAAAAATGTGATAACAAAAAAAGCCAAAACAAGGCAAAGGCTGAAACTGGAACAAATGATGTTTAAGTTATCAGTATAAACAAATAATAGATATAATTGTGGAAGAAAAACCTACATAGGTATGGCCAACGTAAATGGATATGACGAATTTAAAATTGGAAATTAAAATTATCATTTATAAAAATATTTAATGTGGATGCATAACATTGCAATACTAAAATCTTTATAATAATATGAACATTTGAAAATGTTATTTCAAGTTCTAGCACTAAAACTGTAAAATAAATAGGAATATTGCCTCAGAAACACAGACGACTGCATTTTATAAATCAAATAATAATGATTTCACTTTACCCTTCCATTGTATACACATAGACCACACATACACATAATCCAGCACACCCAAAATTTGGTGTTATAAAGCTTGAAGTCTGAGTCTGAGGGAAGATAATGATAACAGTAAAGTGTATGACGATCGTTTGAGGCATCATATTGTTACAGTAATAATCTTCAAAACCTGGTCCTGTGGCTGATTCTAGTGAGATACATGTGCTATTAGTTACAGCTCAATTACTTTATTGTTGATTATTGTTGAACACCCATAAATTTGGACTGTGCCTCGTAATGAAGTGATTTTCAGGAAGATCTTCATCCAGTTGGACAAGATATATGATGTGTATCCTGAAAATTGCCATTTCATTTAGAGACTTGTTATAAAAATTTCTTGGACTGAACTTGTCAGATGATAGAACCACAATCATGTGAACAATAGACAGATCTATCTTAATTAATTGGTTTGAATCCATCTATTTTGTAGAATGCAACAAGGAATATATAATAGAAATATTGAATATCAAATGCTGAAAGAGAAAAGTGAAAAATCAATGGTCAATATGCAGTTATCATTTTTCAATAACGTAATCTGGATTACACTATATATTCTCGTCTAATTTTGGAAATTTAAAATGAAAATATTCAGGGTGACTTCTAGTCAGTCTGTCAGATATACTGGGATCAAAATCATACAGTAGGCCAAGGGAAAAGTAATAGTAAGTTGTATTTACATGTAGCTTACTATTACAGTGGGGGACAAGAATAAACCTCAACCATCAAAAGTTGTTACAATGAGCTAAACTATAAGTTTTGTGTCTCAAACTCTCCCAAGCGGTAGAAAAATAATTCCTGTTCACTCTAAGTAGCACAATAAATGAATCCAAAGCTTCATACCTGCAAATTATGGATAAATCCCGACCAAATCAAACGAATGTTTTCATGAATCGCCATGTTTGTGATCCAAGGAGGACTGACTCCCAGAATGCAACATCAGTTAAATTCATTTACTCGTGACAGATTTAAAAATGGCGGAACGGCATTTTGAAAGCTTGCACGTGTCATGTTGCATTCTGGGAGCCAATCCACATCGCGGCGTAATCGGGCTCCAAAATCACCTCAACATTTGAAGAGTCGGCATTAACATGTGAATATCCACTTCAAATTTTTAAGTTCTTATTTGTCATTATGGACACAAATTCCACTATATCTGGACTTACTAGGACGGGGAAAATAGAGCACTGAATACACTGAGGTAAGAATTTAATACATGTGCGACAGCATGTAATTTTCATAGCTTTTGTAATTCTTTATGTTCCCCACTGTACTTTTCCCTTGGCCTATGATCAGAGGGGGAGAAACACCAGGTTTCAAAGATGACATACGCTTATAATGTAAATCTGTATTGAGATGACATCGTCGCTGATTGGTAAAAAGTCGACAAACAAATGACGTCATCAATGGCGGTTTCAAAATTTTCGAAATGCGCTTCGAATAATATTATGTTCATTTCTGGCGTGTTAACCAATATCATAGCTTCTCATTTCACATCAAGATAAGGAAAGGTGTATGGAATATGCCTATGTCAATTAAAACATCCTATCGAAGTGTAATATTTGATAACTAGCCGATGAAAATTCGAACGAACGAACGAAGGTGGTAAGCAAGAGAGGTAATTATGTCTGTCATCTTCAAACTCTGGTGCTTTCCCTCCTCTTGTCTATGATCAAAATGCAGCAATCTGATTGGTCAAAATGCTGTACTTCGAAAAACTGTCCGGCAAGTCCATTTTTGAATGTAATCAGTATGTGCAATTTTTGTTCAAGTTCCTGTGTCATCACGACCCATATATAATATTTTTACAATATTGATCGTATTCATCTGTTGAAGTTTCCACAGTCAGAGAGAATGTTTCTGGCGAAAATTCTGGGATTTCAATTCTGGGATTTCAAACACTTTGAAGTTGGGAAACCGGAAGGGCTTACCTTTTTCAATTCCCGAATCTCACCGAATCTCTCCGAAATTAGCTCATCTTGGTGACTGTAAATTGCACAGCTGTATTCAATGGAGTCTTGTCATATTCGATCAGCCTCAATTTTAAAGTGTATATTTTATTTTCAACGTGATTTCATCGTTTTTTGTCGACTGGTAAGAAAATGGGCAAATGGCAAGATGGATGACTTTTGACCTGACCTTGACCGATGGTGATCACGTCATCAATATTACCAAGATGGCGGTTTCAAAATTTTCTAAAATCGCTTCAAATAATATTATGTTAATTCCTAGCGAGTAAAGATATCTCTTAGTTTGCTATTTCACAATAAGATAACGAAATGTGTGAGGAATTCGTATTTATCAATTAAAACATCACATCGACATTTGGTATTCGTAAACTAGACGATGAAGATAACGACCTCGAAAAAAATCAAAAGAGCGTGAACGGGATTCGAACCCGGGCCTCCAGCGTGCTAAGCGAGGATTCTCCCTCTAGACCACCGTTATATTACATATGGTGTTGCAGAGCTGTCAAGTGTCCCGCGAATGGCGGGATTATCCCGCGAATTCGATCAAAATTAGGCTAATTCGCGTGTCCCGCAATGTCCCGCGAAGTCCCGCAAATGTGGCTTTCGACCTCCGCGAATTTCCGAAATTGTTGCAATCCCCTATATGGTGATTATCTTATCTTATATAAGAAGCTAAGTTTTTGCACTTTTGAGGAGTAAAGTTTACCTAATTTTAAGTACCTAGCATGCTGTTGTTTGGTATCAAAATAAAGAGGAAGGGTTCAACTTTCATTTTAATTACGACAATAGGGATGTAGGTCACAAATAGTTCCAACGTTGGCCTTTTTACTATCCGTGTGGCCTTCATCTCAGAACTGAGCAAATGTTAGCAAACGCGAGTTACAATAAATGGACGCTGATATCTAGAAAGGGTTTGTAGAAAAAACCGGGTACCGGGTAGTAAATCCTCCATGCTGGGTTCAAACTTGGTACCCGGTACCCGGTCAAAAAACGGGTACCCAAAAAATGAAAAATACGAATATACGAGTATAACATAATTAGATTATCCGAAAACGTGTAAGATTTGTTTTGAATTTACAAAAATGTATGTAACATCCTTCAAAATTGAGCTAGAAGCTTCAAATAAAAAGCATATTTTAAGGCTCTTTTCTTCCTCTATCGTCATGACCATATTTTCATTGGTTATGTTCACGTACCAACATACGAACTCATTGAAAATAGAGTAAAATTGATTTGTCTTGTTATTCAAATCGTCTTACAATGTCATTGGCGTAGCCAGGAGAGGGTGTGATGGTGCGATCGCACCCCCTCCCCCTTCATTACCAATGGAAATATGACCATGATGATAGAGGAAGAAAAGAGGCTTAAAATGCTTTTTATTTGAAGCTTCTAGCTCAATTTTGAAGGAAGTTACATTTTTGTAAATTCAAAACAAATCTTACACGTTTTCTAATGATCTAATTATGTTGTATATTCGTATATTTCGTTTTTTGGGTACCCGGTTTTTTGACCGGGTACCAAGTTTGTCTACGTAAATTTTATTTATATTATTAATTGCAATTACATTTACATGTACATATTTATATTTACATTTACATGTACATAAATAAGAATGAAGGAATAAAAAAAAAAAAGGTTTGAACCCAGCATGGAGGATTTACTACCCGGTACCCGGTTTTTTCTACAAACCCTATCTAGAAAAGTAACCTCATTCCCTATAATTTGATGTAGATTAATCGAACCCCTATATCATGGGCTTTCAATTGAAAGCCCATGCCTACAGTATGGTAGTAGTTGGTCACGACGCCAGAAGCAGAGAAGTGCAAAGTATTGTTCCAAATTTTTGAATTTCGTGTTAGATTACGATACTCACACCTCAAGCATGGTTTTTGTTTTTGATAAATTACAATAAAGTTTAATAATATTTCTATGCGTATTTTGTGAAATTATGTTGACGTTTATTTAAGTTACAATGTAACGGTGCATTATATTTGATTAATCAGTATCTGAAAGTTTGATTCAAGTACTTTTACACGCTTTTACATTAGTCCAAATCACGCAAATCCCTTGAATGTCCCGGGACATCCTGCAAATTTAGGTGGATGTCCCGCGAAATCCCGCAAATTTAGGGCACTTTTTCTAGAAAATCTGTCCCTCTATGAAGTTTTTGCTGGTAAACCTGTTAAATGTCCCGCAATTAGGGTGTTTGTTCCTCGAATGGTCCTGCGAAATCACGCGAATTTGATAAAAAAAATTGGCCTATAAGCGCAATCACGCAAATCCCTTAAATGTCCCGCGAAATCCCGCGAATTTAGTAGATGTCCCGCAAAATCCCGCGAATTTTGGGCACTGGGTCTAAAAAATCTGTCCCGCGAGAAAATCTTTGGGGGTTGACAGTACTGGTGTTGGGAATTAAACGCTACTTATTTTGAATGCTACTATGATTAGGAAGTGACGTCACGTTCTTCACGTTTTGTTTGAGAGCGAGAACGAGACGTGCCAGAAGCCCGGCTTTTTTGTCAGTCGACCTGTTCAAAGTACATTTAGTAATAATTATCGCTTTTCAGAACAATTTAGGAAACAATATTTTCTATCTACGTCGATTACAAAGCATCTAAGGTACGTAAATTTATATGAACAACTGAGTCAATAGGGATAAATAGCCCAACGAGAGTCGGCGGTCTTGAAAAATACTTGGATCTGATGCCAGTCCTGTTATTGATATAGTTCCAGGGCAGTTCGAAGAACGTATTAGATGTCCGTGGAAGTTTCCACTTATTGAGCTTAGAGAAAAGAACGTATAGATCATTATTTGTACGTAACCCAAATCAAAAGTAACTGCATAAGCTTATATACAGTGTATGCATAGAACTCATACTCAGGAAAAAAAAAAAAATAAAAATTAGCCGCCTAAGGAACACAGATAGGATTGAAAGAGACGAATTGATCATGCAGCATAAATGTGTACATATGATTATAACCCTTAAATGCACTTATTTTGATAGGTCTATATGCCCTAAAATGTAGGATATTTACCTTTTTATAGCTAATAGTTTGCAGATGTTTTTTGCCGGAAGTACACATCAAGTTCTCCATCGATATCTCGGACCTGAAGTCTCGAGAGATTCAATATGTCAGCCCCCATAACCATGTGAACAATCCTGCATTTTTCATTTTTTGGCAACTATCTCAGCACCGTTGTGTGTTATATGACTATATTGGATATTCATTGAAAGGTAATGTACTATTAAGGTGCTATGGAAGTTAACAGGAAATGACAAAACAGGAAGTGACAATTTTTTTTTCATTTTTAGATATTTTTTGAATAAAGATAACAGAGTTCTGGTTTGACCTCCAGTCAATTTAACTATTTCCACATATCATTTACATGACCAGGATCACAATGTGCATGGTCAGAATGACCCTAAACATGATGAAATAACCTTTTTAGCCCTTTGAAAGTGTGACTGAAAAAAAGCTAAAAGTAGGAGCGTAGGGAAGGTCACTGAACAGAATCTTTTGAATATTTCAGAAAATGTGCCCAATATATTGCTCTAAATGATACAATCTTTGAAAATTTGATATCATTCATAGAAAAAGAAAAAGAAATGAAAAAACTGATTTGAAAAGCGATCTATTTTCCTTTTTATGACCGCCATTTTTGTTTACGACAATTTTCTAAAATTTTAAAGATTGTACTAGTTAGAGCATTATATTGGGCACATTTTCTGAAAAATTCAAAAGATTCTGTTCAGTGACTATCCCTACGCTCCCACTTTTAGCTTTTTTTCAGTCACACTTTCAAAGGGCTAAAAAGGTTATTTCATCATGTTTAGGGTCATTCTGACCATGCACATTGTGATCCTGGTCATGTAAATGATATGTGGAAATAGTTAAATTGACCGGAGGTCAAACCAGAACTCTGTTATCTTTATTCAAAAAATATCTAAAAATGAAAAAAAAATTGTCACTTCCTGTTTTGTCATTTCCTGTTAACTTCCATAGCACCTTAAAGTATTTGTATGGATGATATGGTTTATGAGAACATGAATTTTCCTCCCGTGGTGGAAGTTCAGTCACTGAAATTTTCACAGCTCAGCTCAGTCAGCATTCAGTGAAAATAATTATTGACAAAATTTAGATCCATCTACAAAGGATAAGATCTGGGTGAGGATCTTTGGATATGGATACCTGAAATGAATACTCTCCCTAAGAAGAATGTTATATGAAAGTTTTGAACCCAGCATGGAGGATTTACTACCCAGTACCCGTTTTTTTCTACAAACCCCATTGATACATGTGTAATGACCCTGACGGTCTACCCCTGAGCAATAAGGGCTAGCCACTACAGCTGAGACTGTAGTAGCGACTTGTTATCAACTAGGTCATTACACCATCCCCCTTAGAAGACGACGCCCCGTCGTAGCTGATTCACAAGGGCAATCCTACTTCTGACACCAGTGTAACGACCCTTGGGCACGTCCGTCGGGGAGCTGAAGTGTACCGAGCCAGATACTAGATTTGAAAGAGAGTGTGCTAAATTCAATGCCCCGTGCGGGGATCAAACCCAGTACCTTCCGCTCTCGAGTCAGACGCTCTACCCCTGAGCCATAAGGGCTAGCCACTTAAGGACAGGGTGCATGTTGGGAAATTTTCTGCATTCCTCAATTGAGTCACATGTTATTTTTCAAACAAGAATAACTCCTTCCCCACATTGTCTACATCTTCCAGGTTTGCACAAAGAGTGCACTTATGTGCCTAGAAAAGACTTGTGAGAAGATTTGTTTTGTAAAATGTATAAAAAACGAGAAAATTCAGTGAAAAAAATTTCTGAAAATTTTCTGAATTTTTTCACTGAATTTTCTTGTTTTTTATACACTTTATCGAAACATTCTTCTCACAAGTCTTTTCTAGGCATAAAGAGCACTCTTTGTGCAAACCTGGAAGATATAGACTCTCTGGGGAAGGAGTGATTCTTGTTTGAAAAATAACATGTGACTCAATTGAGGAATGCAGAAAATTTCCCATCATGCACCCTGACCTTAAGCTGAGACTGTAGTAGCGACTTGTTATCAAAGGTCATTACACCATCCCTCGTAGAAGACGACGTCCAGTCGTGACTGATTCACAAGGGCAATCCCACTTCTGACACCAATGTAACGACCCTTGGGCACGTCCATCGGGGAGCTGTAGTGCACTGAGCCAGATACTAGACTCGAAAGAGAGTGTACTGAATTCAATGCCCCGTACAGGAATCGAACCCAGGACCTTCCGCTCTCAGACTCCGAAGCTCTACCCCTGAGCCATAAGGGCTAGACATTACAGCTGAGACTGTAGTAGTGACTTGCTATCGAAGGTCATTACACCATCCCCCCTTAGAAGACTGTTGGACTGTACCATGGTCAGATCACGTCACATGACCATTTTATAATTCTGTCTAACATATTGAAAGTCCCGGATGTCCCATGTGATATTGTTCAAATTCCCGGATGAACCATGAGATAATGTCTTGGTTCCCGGTTGAGCTTGTTGATATTTTATAGATGATGCATTTGTTTTCATTATCGTGGCGTCATATAACAATCCCTCCAATGAATTTGTGGAAGATGATGTGATAATTTGTGACATCACACATGTATCACCCCAGTAAAAACTAAACAAACAAATGACTAGACCTCACTGAGTTCATGACATCACATCCAGTACATGTTTCTTCAGCAGCATGTGGTTTTTCGCTAGCACTTACTTCAGCTATTTTTTTGATTTACAGTAGATCAGAATTTATAAAACATTTTAGGCAGTCGAAATCTATTGCATCTGGGCATGATGATGAGAGCCTGGACTAGAATTTTTGAAAAAATAAATGTTTGTTTGCTGTATTGTTTTAAAGAATATAGGCCTACATGTAATCATGGACAATAAACGTTTGTGGCCTATTAGAAAAAAGTTTTTTTTAGAATGTAAATTCAAAAATGAATGGGACAATTTAGAAATTACTAATTTAATTGAAAGAGATGAAATGCTTTTTTACTTTAGAGAAGATAGCTCATTAGAAAACATGATAGAGATTAATAGTGAAATTTTTATTATTAAACGGAAAATATGGTTAAAAAGATGTCTAGAAATTTTTAATTAATGTATTTAGATTTTAAACTATAATAGTATTACCTGATAAATCATAAGTACATGGTGGGTAACAGTGTTTTTTGGATTTCGCAGATATATTGATTTGTTGTATTGAATGTATTAAAATGTTATATTGAATGTAGAAAATGTATCGAATAATTGTATCAAATAAATAAATAAATAAAAAATTAGAAAAAGCCCCATGCTGTTCAGAATTAAAAAAACTATGTTTCCATGTGATAAGTGCATTATTACATGATATAGAGTTGATATATCAAATATCACACTCTGAGAAAATGTCACACTCGGCTTTGGCTCGTGTGATATTTTATCTCTCGTGGTCATATTTTGATATATCACACTCTCCCTCATGTAATAATGCTATATTATATTAGGTATGTCTTTTGCCCTTATCTGAGTATAGCATATCAGACCATATTATTTGATTTTGACAATTCAATTACAATGCCCTTACAGTATTAAGTGCTTTTATAAATTTCTGCTAAAAACATTTCATTGAAATAACATAGGGGTCAGAAATATTATAGTTAGCAGCTGTGATATTCCAGGTGGGTTCAAATTTGACAATGTTGGCCAAAAATCACTAGCTTGAAAAGTTCTTAAAATGGTGAAAAACTTGACGCTTAGCTATATTTTGTTCAGTTATCCTTTGTTTAAAATGTGTGTCAATAACTTACTAGGTTAAGAAAAATAAGGGAGATGAATAGGGCTTCTCACAAGATGTGAATAATATGTGCCCTAATAAGTTACAAGTAGATAGTTTCAAGTATGTGACATCTTCTCATTTCTCTTGTAAATCTCATTTTCAGGATGGGAAAATCAAAGAAAAATCGTCAAAAAGACTTCCAGAAGGTTAAGCTGAAAGTTGGTAAAAGGCTACCAAAAGGTCAAAATGTGACGAATACCAGCTTTAAATCTCACTCAGTCCAAATTAGGGAGCAGCTGAAGACCAGCACAGATTTGCCCAGCACTAAACGAAAGTTGAATATAAATGTAAGTTCTTATGCCTTTTCAAAGTAACTTATACTCCCACATCGGAATGAGAATCAGACAGGGGTGTTCAATATTGAAAGAAAATTTGGTGTGAATTATTTAGTCTTGCTCCAAGACTGTGGACCTTATTCCCTATCTAAACAACACAGAGAGTTAGAGTAGAAGGGCCATGGTCTCGAAGCAAGAATCTGAATTTTTGTTATAACATAATCCAATACTTTGACGTTTACATTTTTCTAAATATGAGTTATTTCAGTACTGTCAGACAAAAGTAGCATTAACTTAACTTGAAATGTTGCACTTACAAATGGAGTGAAGCTTTCTTAATCTGTTTTGGCCATTTCTCAATTGGTAGACATGATTTGGTCTCTGGAAAAGAATCCTTGGTAAACAGTAAACACTGCTAAGCCTTATCATCATGACACTACTTTGATGTCTTATTACATTCCAGGACTTACTAGGCCAGCTTCACCATTACAATATATCTGTACGACATGATGCTTTGGTAGGACTAAGAGAACTAACAACAGAACACCCTGCTATTCTCAACACTCACTTACCCGATATATTAGAGAAAACATCAACACTGTTTGTAGACAAAGACAATGTAGTTCGCCAGGCCATCATGAAATTGCTGAAGAACATTTTTCCAAATGTTTCAACCACTCAGATTCAGCCGTTTTTCCCAATTCTGGTGGCTCACTTATGTTGCGCAATGACGCATATATTTGACGATGTTAGAGCAGACTCCCTGGCGATTCTAGATATTACTTTGGATAACTTTCCTGAATTAGTCACGAAAAATTCCGGTCAACTTTTACAGAATTTCTTGGATTTGATATCCAAATCGTCCAACACAAGCAGTAGTTCCTCACAGACAAGAACTCTCTCTGTCAACCCTAATAGCAAACTCTCAAGCCAGAAATGGAGAATAAAAGTTTTAGAACGTCTTCATAATTTCCTCAGTGCTGTTGTGCGGAACGCCTCTGATGGCAAAGTAGAGATATCAACAAGTGGCGCAACATTGACTGTCAATCAGGACTCTGATTGTCCTTATATACAACTGATTGGTTACGATCATGTCAGCCATTTACATGAAGGATTCAAATTAAGGTAGGTGAAACAATCTGTAACGATTCTCACATTCAGTTAACTGATATTGGTTTTCAATAATAATGTGACATTAAATGTCAAAGCTTTATGTGACATATCTGCTTTTTATTTGTGTCATATTTTATCAGCAACGATGTGGATTAAAATTACCACAAAATATCCTATCACTACTGGTAAAAAATCCTGGTTAAACATTTGAAACTTGTGCAGTTTAAATTTTCCTTTCTAAACAACATTGCATCACCTATGATTCATTTTAATTAACCTATCACTCGATGAAACAAGAAAAACTTATTGAATACTGTGTCCCATGTCTTCATACTATAATATGAATGGCCCCAAGATCATTGAAAATAGCAGCTTAGTCGTCAACTTAAAGGAATACAGTTTCTTAGATCCTTAGTAGATTTCAACATTATAAGTGAACCTGAAAGTCATGACAAAATATTGAAAAGGGGAGAGGTTTTTAAGAAAACAGAGAATCCTGACTTTGTCTCAACTATCATATAAATTAATTTCATTTAAGCATAATTACTTCATATAAGAAATAAATCTCAATTGTCATCTTTTAATTCAACATACCATTATGAACTAGAAAGGACTAGAAGTAAAAGTAATATATTATATAGAATTGCGATACAAAGCATGCAAGTGTACAAAAATGATTGACAGATATATCAGACTGTGCTAATTTGCTTTTAAACTCCATTGGATCAATGGAATCAATATGTTTAAATACTGCATGAACATGTATGTAACACTGTAACAGGTTGCATTCAACAAATGACAGAATTCTATCATCAATGTGAAAACTAGAGAATGGTTCTCCAAAATAAAAGTGAACAAAATATGATTCATAAATCATTTCTCCATCATTAAATTACGAACATATAACATGTACTGATATAGGACTGTTTGTGTAATATTTAAAGGTTAAAACACCAATTTAAAATCACATTCGTCAAAATCAATTATAAATTTCAAAGAAAATCAATTATTTGTTACAGTTGTCATGGAAACCTGATACATTATGTAATTTAACAATTTTCCTCATATGGTTAACCATTTTGAGAAATAAATGCCATTTTTATATGTATGTGGCATTGTAAATTTCAGTTTTATTATATGAAAATAGAAATGCACTTGTGTGATTCTGTATACACATTCTTTTGAAAATAACTGGAAATACATGTTTACGTGCACATATCTGCCACTTGATGTTTGATAGAGTTGGTTAAACCCTGGCATTGCAGTTGTCTAGTTTACAATTTTCCTCACAAAACCCAACCTTGTACCCTGACATCCTATTCAAAGGTGATCTATAGACAAGTTGCACTGTCATTTTCCTATACATGCTGAACATGTAAGCTGGCCAAGATCAAAAGAAACTAAGGATCACTGGACCAATGCTTATTTCACACCCTGTACCAAGTTCACATTTCAGATATGACCCCAAGAGTTTGTTCGTTTAACGAGGCTCTGATGTTTCAGGAGCCAGGAGAGTACGGAGGCTTCAGCTGCCACTGAACACCTGAGTATGTTTATAGAGAATCTATTACCACTGTTGACATCAAGTTGGATGGAGGTCAAGCCTGATGACACTACTCAAGGTATTCATGGGAATCTAGGAGTACTCAATGGATGTTCAAAGAGAACTCATTAGATACTCAAGGGGAGTTTATAAAATCCTAAAGCAAATCACATCAGGCACTCAAAGGATATGCAAGAGGGTACTCATGTCGTGTGATGGGGATACTCAAGTTTGGTATTCAATCAATGCTCAAAAAGTCATCATGGTTAAACTCATTTTGAAAAAGATTCCGAGTGTACGCTCATTTCGATTTAATGCTCATTAAATGTTCATTTTTATTAAAAGTTCATTGTAGGAGTCGATAGCTTTTTGGAACTCTTTATGGCAGCATTTTAGTGTGTAACATAGGAGGTTAGGCTTCTCCACATGTTTGACTGTGCATTATGTGATACTAATGCTTTTATTTTCATGTTGATATCTGCTGTAGGTGCTGCCCTCTCAGAAGAGGCTGCAACTTTGATGCTGAGAATTCTGGGTGTTTTGCACCTCCTGTGCCAGTTGGTGACATCATCATCCCAAGATCAGGTATCATTATCCTGGTTGTGTGGGTTATACATGGCTGACTTCAACCAATACTTCATGGCTGGGTTTCCCTACAGCATTCACACATCAGTCAGGAAGGGAAAGCAACAGAAACAAGAGGTACAGTAATCTGCCTCTGTTTGCACATATTCACAACCTCTCATTGCCTATTTAGCATTTCTCTCAAGGAAGATTGGCTCCCAGAGTGCAATATCAGGGAGCCAAACGTTTTCATTGTTGGAAAATATCTAGTTATGATCCTGGGATCCAATCCCCCTTGGATTTCTCTTTAGGATCAGCATAGCTGGCTGGCAACTCTTTCCACCGCATTTTCATTCAAGTTAAGGGTACATCTCATAATCCAAATATAACCTGTAAAGTGGAACACCTCTACTGGTGGAATGCTTTTCAAAGTCTCGTTCCGCATTAACTTAATGTAAAGAAACTTGCGTAAGTGGAACACTGTTTTGAGAAAGGCGTTCACTTACACAGGTTTAAATGTACATATCTACAGGCCCGTAGCCAGGATTTGCGAGGGGGAGAAGTTTTACCAAGGGGGAAGCTTTTGCCAAGGGGGTGGGGGGTTTTTGCAAAAAATCATGCAAAAAGTGCTCAGAATGGTGAAAAACTGTGTGAAAAGTGCTCAGAATGGTGAAAAACTGCATGATTTTGAAAGAATATCTGGCCAGGGGGAAGCGCCCACTCCCTCCCTGGTTACAGGCCTGATCTACATAATACTGCTTCATACATAAAGTATAGCAATATGCTTTTCAGGTGACATCCACACAACTGAACCTTGCTTTATGTTATGTAATGGCTCAGTTCCTCAGTGTTCAGAATGGCAAATCACTGCAAAGTACTGCAGCACTTTCACACACAAGTGCAGCTAGAAAACTGAAGAGAGCAGCAAGGAAACAGAAAAGTGCAGTAACACAACTTGATTGTGCAGCTCAGTTGAAGAATGTGAATACTTTCTTAGTAGAACTGGTTTCACATGAGAAGCTGTCCACTCCCAATCTTGAGGATGTGTTGTCCATTGTTCATGTACTCATCAAAGAAGAAAATAACATAGGTGAGGACAGTTAGCCAAAGATATCTGTGGAACACATCTGTAAATCAAAACACATTTGTAATTCAACTCATTTTGTAAGTCAAACTATTGTAGAAACAAATTAGAGTAAATAAAGAAAAGCATATCTGTTTGCCAAACACAATCTAAGTCAAATGCTTTAAGAAATCATAGGAGTTTTGGCTTTTGCTTAGTTATATCTTGGCAAGTTGAGAGACTTCGCATTCAAACCCAATTAGAAGTTTCTATTTTGAGTGACATTTAATGCAGATTTGCAAGTCTCTCTCTAAGAAGATGTTTTTATGTAAACAGAAGTAGAAGAAAGGAGTTTAGTTTAAGTAAGATATAAAAGCATAACATTGTATAAGTGAATAGATGAACTGTTAACACTAAGATTATAGAGAACAACAAAAAGTGAAACAATGAAGTTTGTTTCAGAAAGTGCAGTGAACATATTAGATACGTTGTTTGATCTGTTCACTAGATGTCACCACCTGTCTGGAGACAGAGTTCTGTTGCTGGACATCCTAGATACGATTCTACTTATGGATAACCATGATTTGTTAGGGTAGGTAACATCTGTTGTTGAGTTTCAAAGATCTTCTGTTCTTATGTCACTACCAGAAGTGGTGACATATTGTTATAATCTCCAACTTTTTTGTGGGTGGTGTTTAAAGGACAGCATTCGGGGTTTGGCGTTAATAACAGATTCTGACAACTTCCAATAACTGGTGGTGACATTTTGTCATGTTAATGTCATGTTGATGTAATTATATTTGTAGTGCATGCACCTTAGTTAAAGTATGTTGGAATATTATTTCATGAACTTTGTGCTTTTATAAGTGGCACACATGTATACAAACCCAATCCAAAATTAACAATAAATGTTTTTCTTTGTAGTTCTGATGCTGTTTGTCAATGGATCAAGATCTTGCCATCTTGGTTGGTTGCCATTAGCAACACCAATGAGGAGACTGTTTGCAAAATCGTGAGAATGTTGCAAACTGCAGCGAGTATTCAACATTTTGCCTTTGTCTCAGGCATAGAGGAGGCCCTGCTGGATATACTAGGTGCTGTAACAATAAAATAAGATAATTTAATTGAAATAATCGTTGAAATTGCAAAGGCTCTTTATCATATCTATGTTCAATCAGGAAGCTACATCTTCATAAAAAATCAGAAACTTTAGAACTCTCTTCGTGAGATTCAGAAACCAATCAAATCTGTCCTTTCAAATGAATATTGTCTCAGTGTTCAAAAATGTTTGATATGCACACGTTTTGCAGTATTATCTGTTTTTCTCAAATTGAGATGTCATTGTTTTTGCAGATGCAGAGCGAGGGGTGTTCAACAAATTTTCACCCAGTGTGCAAATCAGCATCTTAGAATTGTTTTACCGTGTACCCAGATTCTCCCGTATGTGCTATGGTGCAATTCTCACAATGTGTCATGCTAAAGAGCATAATCTATCTCTTCCTGTTGTACAACACTTGCTCAATATTCTGGCTAGGAGGTATGAAGAAAACTGCATTTTCCTAAAAGTAATTGAATGTTCCTCATATCAAATATTTTATATTAATTGCATTGCTTCAGACTTGTTTTGTACACATATCCATATAACATATTTATTGACTCAAGAATTCCTGAAAATTCCTGATTTTTTGAGCAACTCAATGGCAAAATACTTGTATGCACAACTTGTACAGATCTACCATCTAGGCTTCTTTATCAAATTAACTTTATTACTCTCTCATATATAGGTGTGAACGCCTTGTGTCTAGTGACTCAGTTAGCAGAATAGAGCAGCTTGAGGAAACAGGGGCCTTTGTCAGCTTCATACTGTCTCTTATGTTGGGTGAGTATAAATATTTGGGGTCAGTTGTTGAAATGCAGAATTAGTGGAAAATAATGATAATACATGTATTCTTCTCAGACTGTGCTCTTTAAAAAGTTGTCTTTCAGAATAGATCATATTTTTTTCTTTTTCTGATTTATCAATCTTGACTTTAATAATTGGAAGAAATCGGATAAGATTGTTTAAATAATATTCAAAATTAGAATGAAATTGGGAATAGCATCCAGAAAAATTCCATGGAGTAACTGTTTTACTTTTATTTATGGAACCTACCAAGACTCTTCGTTGAATAATTTTGGCCACATCACTCCATAAACATACCACCATTATTCCATAACTGTTGTCTAATTACAGCTGCACCGCATGAAGAGCTTGGTCAGGACAGAGGGACTATAGAAACGGGGTACAAATTCACCTCAGACTCAGCACTAGATTATACCAGATACTTGTCATTGTCTAAGGTAAGGCACTTGTTTATTTATTTACATAGTAGGCTTTGTATCTGTTAAATTGATATTTTCACTAATTAGTTTGGAACTTTTAGGACATCTTGATGTTTAGTAATTCCTACAATAGATAATTCATTACTATATAAATATATTAAAAATATTAATTATTAACATATTTTTAATGAAGAAATAAGGCTTGTGTATAACTTAATGACCAATCAATGATTTTCTCACTATGATCTATTCCAGATGTCAGTAAGCACCTTGCAAGAGTTGAGTCAGGTAATCGCAGGGAACACATTGGCAGTGACCCTGAAGCCACTCATGGTAAGCAAGTTAAGTAACTGAGTCATATAATCTTGGGCAACACATTGTGTATTTAATGAAATAACTACCAATTTTCATTTTACTTTAATGTGGTGACATTCATGTGGATATAGCTGCCTAATATAGGATAAGATGTTTGTTGCAGTTTGTTTCACCTTGCCATTGTTCAGTTTGAGACATCTAAAATTAACAAATACTGTCTGATTATATTACATTTTTAAACCAAGTGTATATAAGAATGATGCTTTTAAAGTAATTGAAAAAGATGATTTTATATATTTCAGGCCCATACTTCATTACCATTACAAACAGCAATGTCACTCATCTACTATAGCACCATCTATAGATCAACATTTGACTCTTCCACTACTCACCAGATGGCAACACTGTGCAGTTCACTACTTCGCCACCTTTTATCAATTGAGGAAACTAACGTAGAAAAGTGTAATATTTGGAGAGATCTATACCAGGATGTGTTGACAATGATCTCAACATGTGATGCAATAGCAGTTCAAGTGTTGACATCATTGATTAATATTGTTAAAGGTATGTTTATGCGATAGTAGAGAATGCTACCTTCCTTTTATTATAAGGTATCTTATATTCCCCCTCTCTAGCATTTTTTGATACAGAGTTCATTGTTCAAAAATAAAGTTTTGTCAAACACGTCATATTATACAACGTTTGTCTTCCATCGACTTTTGTAACACCAAATTTTTTCAACATCAACTTTTTTCATTTGTGAACTTTTACCATACATGGACTATTAGCATACGGTCAACCTTTGTCATCATACATCAACTTTTATTCTGTACATGATCACTTTTCAGAGAATATATCATCAGATAGGGATGAGATGAGGACATTCTGCTTGGTGTTGAAGACATTCCTAAGACATTCAGCCATGTCTCCCCACATACAGCCAGTAGTACATCAGCTTCAGAGTTTGGTTGAATACGTACACAACCACACTAGTGATTCAAACACACTTCAGGACTCATGGTGGACAGATTTGAAATATGATATTTCCATATTGAAGTGAAAAATGAATAGACATGTGCTAGAAGAGGCCTTACTTTTATAGAAGAGGCCTTACTTTTATTTTATAGTAATAAATTTTGCGGAATATGTGCAAATAACAGATCTCATGTATTGTTACATTTTTAATGGAACACATATGGTAGACACATGAAGTAATGATATGGTTCAGTATCCAGAGGAATGCATTGTGGTACTGGTACCGATACTGCACTGTACTAGGTGTGCCTCTGAGGCCTCATCACCCGCTCGTCGCAACGCAGATCCGCAAGCGCACCGCAATGCAAGTTTTTGCGAATGATGAATTGCAATCAGGATTTGTATCATCCGCTCGACGCAATGCAACTCAATAGCAAATTGAAAGATGTTTCAATCGCAACTGACCAAAAAGTTGCGATAGCTCTTACCCTGCCGCAAATCAATCGCAAATATTACCCATCTTTAAAACAATTGTTGTCTATTTTAAATGTGTCAATCTAGGAGTTTTCGTAAGTATGTTCTTTTCTCAAGGCGACTGTGTAATAAAAAGTTTATGTTTTTCGAAAGTGCTTAAATCAAAGGAATCGTTAATGGTATGAGGGGTGTTTATAACCTTGGAATTTTATAAGTAACTCTAAATTCTGATCTAAACTACCACCTACTTTGCGACCTGCGTTGCGACCGTGATAAGACGCAACGCAGGAGTTGCGCTAAGCCAAATTGGAGATTCGCAAACGCAACGCAGACGCAAACGCAAATCTTGCGACGAGCGCGTGATAAACATGGCTTAATATAAAGTCTTCAGGAATTTCAGGGAATTTCAGGAAAAAATTGACCAAGATCTGACCCCATTAAGTTCAATACAAATCTGGATGTATTTCTAGGGGGGAGTAGGGGTCAAGCAAGGGTTTCAAAATTAAAGTCATATTTGTAAAAAAAATTCCTATGAAAAATACTTTTTCCTCCACATTTGAAAGTATATTTTATGGGTCTACATTACTCTAAAAGCATTCAATCAAATCTCATTTTTCCAAAATTTCTTGGAGGGAGGACCCGCCAAAACCCAACGCTTGTTTGGTCCGCGTCGCAATTCAATTCTCAGGAAATTGGAAATTTGTTGCTTTAAGCCATGGATAAAGCCTCTGTACTATATGTAGGTGTGGTACTGTACCATGTCAGTAATGTTGTAGTGTACTGCATGACATGACATGCAGTACACTACAACATTGACATGGTACAGTACATGTAGTGTACTGTATAGTGTATAAGTGGTATGGTACTGTGTGTGAACATGCATTATACATGTGGTACTGTACTATATAAACTGTACTCTACTAACTGTAGAAGCGGTACTGTTCTGTGTTATCGTTGTGTGTATGTTCAAAACGATGAGTGATTTGATAAAATATATCCCAGTGGGGTCTACTACTTCCCAGAGTTGCTGTTTTTCTAGTCATAAAAACATCTGTTTTGATGAAAATAAATTTATTCACAGTAAGTCCAAGTACAAGTGATTTCATGGAATTATATTTCAATAGATAAGAGATAAATAAATCGTGCAGATACATATAATATAATCTATTCGTATTTTATGATCATCAGAATGATGGCCACAATGTTGATTTTGTATGCCAACAGGAAGAAATTTCTTTTGCATCATTTAATTATTTCTAACAGTAGCCTTTGGATTTGTTCATTTACTGTATTTCAGTTAAAAATTGTCAATAATGAACCAAAAATCAACCAAATGCATGAAGCTATTTAAATGTGTTTATGATGTTTGAGTGTCTTTTTCATTATGTTCTGATATGTACATCTGTGTTTATATAGAAAGGCTGGGGTGTCCATGCAACTATTGTATGTGAAGACTAGTTATTGTCGAGACGTGCAGCTATTGTAGATACATGTAGCTGTTGTATAGATATGTAGCTATTGTACGTCAGTCGCAAAATAGTCCGGGTCCGGGCGAGTCCGGTTCTTCTTAGAAGTTTGAATCGGCCATTGCCAACATGGCCTGGATGTCCTCTACACTGATGGACTCAGTGAAGATACGGGGCTGCAAGAAAGAAAACATTTATAGTATAAGCAGTAGGGTTTCATGTACATATTTCTGTATAAAATAGCAAGAAACTAGGAGTTAAATCAACAATTTTGGAGTTGCTGTTATCTGGCCAACTTTAGTCCCTAACCAAAAATCAACTACTGGCTCAGTAAGTGACATCTAAGCCCCGATCTAACTGAGCTAAGAGAAAGTAATCATAATTTCTTCCTAATGGCCAGAGTTTTATGTGGATAACATACCTCATCAATGAAACCAGTGAAGTTTGTGAGTTGCACACATCCAAGTCCAACAGCCTGGGAACGAACCTGAACAGAACCTGTAAAAGTTTTGAATGATTAGTTTAACAATCGTTCAGAAGAAGGAGATCGACGCACTGAGTGAAGACTTGACACCGATATTATCCCATTGGAGATATTCATAAGATCTTTATTAACACAGTTGCATCATAACCCTTGTGTTATTGACTTCGATATACTACAGTATCGTCACTGTGTTTCATATGTTTTATGAATTCGTATCCACTAGTTTCCTATTCTAATTGTAAATAAGGGCATCTGTGTTAGTATTTATTGAGTGAACCTCGTATATAATTCTATAGAGTTTGGTAGATTTGTTGCAAGTATCTCACCATTATCAGCTCTCATGTTTCCATTGGTGGCGACACCGTCAACGTAGACGTTCAATGTGGGTACAATTGGTGGTACAACTGTGAGATCTGTTCGTCCATCGTAAACCATTGTCAATAGATGCCACACGTTGGATGGTGTAGAAATGGATGGGTAATCCGGCAGAGTTGGACTTGAGTCAAACTCGGTATCAATGCCAGCAGAGCTGAGTTCATGATTGGCCTCTCCGATAATACGCCATGTAGGGTCGTCAGATGTGATGCTATTACCGAAGATTCCTGCAACAGAGAGAAGACTATATTCATATTTTGCTTTATTGCATTTACAATCGATATATGTGTATTTCTTATTACAAACCCGGAAAGTAGTCCAAATACAAACAAACCTTCTGTTACGGTACTGCCATCGTTAATTCTCTTTGCCCATACGCTGAATGAAGCACGATCTTCTATGTCTCCACTGACAGTGACTGTACCCCAACTGGCCTGTGCGAGAGAGTTGACGCTGATGCACTGACTGCCACTGAACTGAGCAGAGCAATTGCCGATAGCATCGAAGCAGTTGAAGGTAGGGGTCGAGTAACCAACAGGAGAAGAACCATCCCTGTTGTTTCCAGAGTGATCCGTCATATCGTTGTTTAGTGGAAGATACAAGATTTGTGCTAAAATATTAAGTTTCAGGTAGTCAACGTTTGTTTGAAATTGAAGCTCTATATCAGAACTTAACATTATGGAAATGGTGTGATTAAAAAGCTACTTTGAACTCTGTAAATGTATCAGCTGCTTTCAATCTGGACACGCCCGTTTGATACCTGCTTAAACATATATATTGTATTAGTGTTTTATATGAAATTAATGACGTAATGCGCATTTTTAGGTTTAAATACCTGATTAACCTCCTGCTGAGAGTCAAAAAGCCATAGCTAAATACAAATAAAAGGCAATTGTCTTGGTGCTTACCTGCCTGAGCGCTGATTGAAAGACCGTTACATCTGTCTGTATCACAGAAGCAGATAAGGATTGCGTTGGTACCATTGGTGGAAGAAGGATCTACTAGACATCCAAGCTCACCAGTCACGCCGCTGGTTGATAAGGAAGAACTCCAACATCCACGATCAAGAACTAATGATAAACGAAAATTATATGGGAGTAAAAATAAGTATTTGTGAATTATTCGAGTTCATACGCGGACCCATTTTTATTATAGAGGAAGTGAAACAATGGAGCACTTTTGTATTTCACAACTTGCATGGAATTTCATCTTATTCAAATAAAAGATACTTAACATAAATGTCATAAATAGTGCGTCAGTAAAAGACTGCACAATGGTTCGAGGTGAATCGTCAAGCTAAAAATACTGATTCACTAGTGAGTCGAATTTTTTACTCACTGGTGGAGGTAGCCATGATTGTCTGTCTGGTGTAGCAAAAGCCAGTGCATTCAACCTGGTCTGTGGTTGAATTGGTGATTGATAACTGAGCTGCCGTGGTCAGCGTAACACTGGTTGACCAACATTTGACAGGGGCTAAAATATTAAAAGTATATGATTGTTCATCTTTAATTACATTGTGCTTATCATCTTCGACTTCGAAGGTGGTTAGAACAAATTAACCTTGTGAATCAATATGATAATAACACTAATATATTTGATCATTTTCCTGAAAATATTCTGAATACTTCAACAGAATCGACGTAATGTGTACTTTTATTGCTTATTTTAGATATCATATCCATTTAAAAAAAAACTCATACCAGAACAAGTTGTCTTCCTGAAATGGTTGACGTTAGCAAGAGACATAACAAGGGTGGTGTCGATGTTATCGTGGTAGTAGCACGTGGCTGTGTTACTGTCGAAATCCACGGCAAGACAATAAGGTCTGTTGAGACACCAAAGTTTGCAGTCCTCGGTGTTTGTGTTGACAGTTCCATTAGTGACGTTCGAACCAAAGGGATGGGCAAAATTGGTGAACTCTTCGAAAGCAAATGGGCATCCTAGAAATGCAATTTAATGATAAATAGAATAATGATTCGCAAATTACTTTTTAATGGGCGAAAGAGATGGACAACAGTAATTCCAGGAGATAAATAAACCTGAGGTTTAAAACACTCAATGCTTCTCATTGAATACAATGCTATACCCAAGCGAATGCAACATCATACTAGAAACTGGTGCCCTATCACAACGTACCACTATCAGGAATTGTTGTTGTCGCAGGGTCAGCGGTTGTGGTGGTGGTTGGAGCAATGGTTGTTGTGCCAGCAGTGCTGAGAGTAGTTCCTGCACCTGTTGTGACGGCGGCAGCTGTGGTTGCAGCTGTAGTTGCAGCAGTTGTAGGCTGTGTGGTGACTGCAGCGGTGGGTGCAAGAGTTGTGGCAGCGGTTGTGACTGGTGCGCTGGTGGTTACTGTGGCTCCGACGGCGGATCCAGTAGTCGCAGCAGCAGTGGTGGCTGAGCAGTCCACCCTGAAGGTAACAACATGTATATAGACAGCAAAACTTTCTTTCAAAGACTTGGTTAAGGGATAAAAAATGGAGTATCAATGTGGAGCAATTGCACAAAATTTCCGCCTTTTGCGTCCCTGTAATTTACATTTCGACTGAATTCGAAATAAACGGAGTATGGATGAATAGCAACAAAATTCACCCACAAAAGGATGTGACCTCCGTTAAAGATACATGACAGACAATAAGTAAAAAGTTGTCAATAACATGAACGTAAAACCTACTTTTGGTAATGGTCAATTTCGGTCATGGCCAACATAGAGCCAGCGACTGTTGTCTGTGTGTGGAAATAGCATTTAAAGCCATCAGGCTGGAGGGCCATGTTGTTGTAGTCGATGGCGACGCATGTGCCAAGGACCAGGCACCCTTGGAGGCAACTTTGCAAGTCGTTCAATGTAGACTGCACTACTCCCCCGGGGATGTTCATCATGGGGACCTTCAGGAAGGGGTCGTTGGGACAACCTGGAGAAACGTTAACAATAATTCTGGATGTCTTACTACTTATTACACATTACTGCACTTATTTCAATTTTCTGTTAAGGAAATGCGATCACTTTCCTTTTAAAGGTTTATTCTTGAATTGCTTATAAATATATTTTACGTGTTATGTAATGAATGTTTGAAACAAAAAATAACAATTTATTTATTTATCATGTTTGGTAATATTTTATTGATTATTCGCAGAACTTACCGCCTGTTCCAATGTTTCTACTTTGGATGTTATTGCCCATACGGCCCCCAAGCAGTTGTCTGAGGAAGTTGGCACTTGCTCCATCTAAACATTGCCAAATTCATTAATAGGTTTTAATTTGTTGAGCTAGCGTCAGTTCCTATAACTGTTATGCGTTTGAATTGCAGCAGAGAGTAGTATTTTAGTATTTTCATTTAAATGTTTATTTAATAGAAATTATTTTAGAGTATATCCTATAATTTATTCAATTGATATAATTTTTATCATGATTGGGTATATCTTCAAACATGATCCGACCGAGAGAATGGATCCATTAGTGGATGAAAATCATATCATGGGTAAATCATAGGATTTTTATACCAGGGTGCTTTTCACGTTCTTAACCGGAGACGACGAAGCTGTGTTTCATGATTTAAAAGCTGTATTCGATGGTTCGGTGAATATTTGACAAAACATGATATTTGTCACTTTTTTTACTCTTAGAATGTGTTTTTCAATACAATTTTTTAGAAAAAGTCATATATTATTTATTGATTAGAAAAAAGTCAACATATTTAAGAAAGATAAAACAATCTACTTACTTAGTACTCCAATAAGAAGGAGGGCTGTCCAAAATGTCATTAATCCTTTCCGTCTCATTTTGCTTTGTGTAATTGTGGTACGTATTATTATCAATAACCGACCACTAGTACAGAATTGAAAGTGGACGAAATACTGATGTCAATGTTGATATGTCAGTCAGATCTATGCTTTATGTGACGTCACGACCAGTTTGCCAGAAGCATTGTAGTTTCGCACGAGGAGTGGTAATTAAAGATATTAATTTAGGATGTAGTAATTAGAATTACATTAAACACTGTATAGGGTTAATAGGAGAATGGTTGCACCCCTATCACAATGGTATAACCCGATTGTCTAATAAGCCCCCGGGACAGACACTTGTTTCCAATTACCGAACGCAAAGTCGGAAGAATTAAAATATGAATATGCAAGGTTGGACAGGAAATTACAAAGGATTGGTAGCAACATGGAGAGCAAGTGGATTTCAAAGATCGGAAGAGGAAAGATGCCATTGTTAGTCCAAAATGCTATAAATGGCTATGGATTCAAAATAGTTTCATTCTACTTAAATGTAAAGCAAAAAGCTTAATTGGTGCTTGAAATCCACTTGTTCAAATGAGATTTTACCAAATCAATTAATTTAAAAAAAATTAATTAATTGTTTTAACACTTGGATTTCATTTAGTTTGATTGTCATCAGATGATGGCCATTGGGAGTTTAGGATATTATTCTGGTTATGTAAAATCTTCAGGTCGCGTGCGACCGTCGTTCAATATTAGGTCTGACTATACGATGTTTGGCCACATCCACATGTAATCTTTGTACATCGAATACAATTTATTCAAAACGTTATTACCTACAGTATATCTACATTTATTTCTCCGAATACAAACTATGCTATAGTTGGACATCAATGTAATCACGTATCAAATGAAATGTGTAAACAAATTAATTATGGAGCTTTTTTGGTTAAGTCAAAAATGGCCTGTAGTTCTTTCTCACTGAGAGCAGCATTGAAGAGCATCACCTGAAGAAAACGCAATTGCATACATTAAAAAATTCGGAATAAGCTTTTTTCATTGTACTCTGTTTTTCGAAAAAAAACTTCCATAAAAAGAAACAATTTGTATGTTATCGTCATTGCCTTCATTTCTGGTTATGCTCAGATTTTACTATAGTATATCTTGAATGTGTCATATTTGCGACTTTGAGATGTGTTTAGGCTATCTGCACAATATAATATGATGTATATTACCTCATCTAAATTTCCTCTAAAGAAACGCCCTTTGTAGTAGCCGTATGGGTCTAAATATTGAGCACCTATCATAAGGGGATGAACACCCACAGGTAGTGTTGCTGCAAGTAAAGTATGCTGTCGTTGATGTTTGTGCCATTTGTATTAATCCTAGACACGATATAGGGTGTCCATTGTATAAGCAACCACCCTTAATATCAAGTATGTATCAACTATTCATTAACAAGAAACTTAGCTGAAAAAACGTGGCAACATGGGGTTTCGGCAAAAGGCAAGCAAATCTTTAAAAAAAATCTCTAGAAATTAGGGGTAGGACTGGCAAAAGGTTGTGTAGTATCACATCTTTGAGGATGTTGTATTTTTGATAAAATATAACTCATCACATCATATCAAATTATTTACCATTCGGAAGTGCTACTGATATTGGCATGTTCCCTGATGATGGGTCGATCTGGTCGTTTAGGTAGAGAGTGGCTGTTTGATTCATATCAGCGTCGACAATAAACGCTAGAAAATTCCAATCAAAGTACTCCGTCACCTAAAACACATTGATGGAATAACTGAAACCTGAAAACAAATCTTCATTTAGACACAAAGAATATATTTTTATCTACCGGTAGTTGTGATGAAGTTTGATTACATTTTGAGTAAAGAATGGTGTGCCCGGGCGCATGCAAGTCAACGCTCCTACCTATCATGTGGTGCCAGTGCAAAACATTCCACCGGCAAGGGATTATAACTCACCGGCGTCGATACCGTATAGAGCGTTCCATTCAGTTTCACAGACGCTCGGATTTCCCGTCCCTCATTCATATTTGTTAGAAGGAACGTCGCCTGGTCGGTTGGACCATTGTTAATGAGTGCCATCTCACCAACTGGGGTTATTCTCTTGAACCACATTACTATTGTCATTCTTGGTAACGCGCTAGAAAATCCATGTAAAACACAAATTATTTTGATTTCACGATTTCATAATTATTTAAAAAGAGGAAACTGAAAGTAGCTATAGAAGTTTATCCTGACATTTTGGTACTGCATTGATACTTACTCAGGTAGGGCACTAGCAGCATTTAGAGGACCAAATCTTAAACCAGTGAAACTTCTGACCTCAATGTACGATTTACCACCGAACTTGGCCGAACAATTCTTAGCTTTGTCGGTACAGTCATATTTTATATTTACAGTCTTCCCGCTTCGTATCTTGAAAGAGTCGAGACCATCAGAGTCCAATGGAAAATGTGCCAAACAGTCTGTAACACAAAATTATCATGATTTCGATCAATTATTTCAGACATTTCCGCAAAACTTTGGTCGGACATACACTTTACTGAGAATGAGGTGACTCTCTATTTTCTTTCACGGACCTCTGCCAGATACCGCTTCTTGATGTCTAGGCTCAATGAATATACTTATTTATTCATTGGGCCTACTACCAATAGGGGCTGGATCTGGGTCTGGCTCCGGATCTGTGTTTTCTTGGTAAGCCTTGTTGATATCTGGTTTGTTTGGAGTTTTGTTCTTCAATCGTAATGCCCTGCGATCTTTGATTCTGATCTGTTACAGAAAACAGAACTTGTAGCTTCCACATGTTTGGATTCTATCATCCCAAGTGAACCCGAAAATAACCCTATTGTCCGAGTAGTGACTGTAAGCATGGCATTAATCGAATGACACACATGAGCAACATCATTTTCATGTTTTATCCCACATCTAACATGATCTCCATTTATGTTGTACTTACTTATGATCATGGTCTGGCTGAGGGCATTGCATCTATCTGTCTTACACCTACAATATGCACCAGTGATGTTGGAACCAGAACCAGGAGGTCCTGTAAATCTCTGGCACATCTTGTATGACACCTTCTCCGACTGTTCACAGCCACGCGCTATCATCGGACTTTGACCAGGAGACGCTAAAACAAGATTCTTACTGTCATAACAAAAACGGGGTTCTTTCGAACTACCACATTATTATATCACTACCCTTTGCATTCGTTTGACTTCACTTCTTAAAAGAGAGCTTCGTCTTGTAGTTTAACTAGACTCTGCACGCAGGGTATTATATCACATGTTATTTTTCTAACAGAGATTGGTATGTAAGAAAGATGTGATGAGTATCAGAGAACTACCAACGTAAACGTTAACAATGACCATGCTCTTCGTCAACTGATCTTACTGTTATTGATCACAACTGTAACGAAGCATGACGTGCCACAGTCTACTGCCTTGAGGCCAGGTATGGTTGTGTTACCACTAATGCGCACGCAGTCTGCGTCTGTAATATCTGCTGGTGGGTGCTCATAACATTGGAATCTATCACCTGAGAAATATGTATAGTCATATGTAAGTACACTTGTACAGTTAAATCGTCTAGTTCGAATGTCGTTGAGACCCCCTAAAAGTGTGTTCACATTTCAAGGTTTTTTAATTCGTGTTTTTTTGAAAAATTGGCATTGCATTCACCATGTATATCTTAAACTCAACTGTCCACTTAGATGTTCGTTTTTACAATTTAATTATGACTTCTAGGTGTTCATACTTCAGGGGTCTTCGACTAGGACTCACTGAAACGAAAATTGGGACCTGAAAAAGGTTCGCTTTTGGGTATTGTTGTTCGGATTTACCAAGTTTTGTTTTTTATTCTACATCAATTATTTGACCCAGTATCATACAATATGATATTCAACCAGATATTAAACCAGAGCATCATGCGTTGCAAGTCATTAACGAATATCAATGTTTTGTACTCTGCTATTAATCACCCTATGCTTAGTGAGCGGACCTAATTTCAAGGGCGATGGTAAAGACGAGACAGGGCGCCCAAACCTAACTATGGCGGACCAGCAGTAAGTTTATTTCTCTAAGTTCTACTCTTTATTGGCCATGTGCTGGCCTGTAACTAGGTGCACTGATGCTTCAGATGCCCATAATTAGATTTGTAATGTAAGAAAGATTCATACTTATATGTGAAATGGATACGAAGTGATGTGAAAAGAAAAATTAATTTTCTGCATATTTTTTTTCGATTATTTTCAAAATAATGATACTTCTCCTGCATAGAATTCCTTGTTATTGCATGTAATTATTGATGATGAACGTATTTATATCGTAAACCCATCCATTTCCCAATTTGAGCCGTAATTGCAGTCAAATCAGGAGATTTTGATTCCTCGAAAGGAAGAGCAATGGTTATGGTAATAAAAGCATGTTTAGACGAGCCGTGGAATAGGGATTACAGTTATCCTGTTTATTTTCAGATATGTGGGATTCCAGTGTTACTACTGTCACGGAAAATCAAAAGACTTTGATGAAATAATACACCACCTGATCAATAAACAATTTACACAATGTGTTAACAGTGATTATGTTGTCTCAGAAAAAATTAATCTGACAAAAGTTTATCCCACAGTGCAGAAACGTGTGACTACATCTGTCATGTTAACAACCTCTGACTACATCTGTCATGTTAACAATCTCTGACTACATCTGTCATATTAACAACCTCTGACTACATCTGTCATGTTAACAATCTCTGACTCTATTTGCCATGTTTTTTTTTTTTTTTTATTTTAATAATCATTTATTTCAAATATATACTATACATACAATAATACAATAATAACATTTGACAAGGTTACGAGTAACATTATTGTCAAACTGAAAACTTTAATGTAGTTACATTCATAATTTTTACTTTAATGTTAACAGCCTCTGACTACACTTGTCATGTAAATAAAGTCTGACTTCATTTATTATGTTAACAATTTCTGAATACACCTGCCATGTTAACAACCTTTGACATCAACAATCTCTGACTACATCTGTCATGCGTCTGATTTTTTATGACTTTGTCAACATTTGTTAAAAGGTGTGGGCCAGTTACCATTTATACAATTTTAAAATTCTTTTTAAGTTATTCTATTTATTCGTTCAACAACCAACACTTTTTGATAAATCATGAAATCAAGTGACTAGATGTTTTGCAAGTTTTTACCATTGATTGAAGCCTATGACAACCTTGCCCAAATTCATTAATTTATTAATTGACAGTGTACATTTTAGCTGAATTTAGCAGTACACGTAGCAGCTAAGTGCTTGCCCATAGCCACTCGCAAATTACATCGCCATTGCTCGTCATCGAAATTCTGATCGCCGAATAGTAAACATTCATTTTGTATTGGATGTACATAACTAGAGACCGCCTTGTTTCGCATATATGAAAAAATAAAACATATCTAGGTACATGTATCTTTATATGTGACATCGATCAGGAATTATTGACATATTGACAATATTAGGTTGTAATTTCTTGCGGTAAATTCAAATTGTATCTTTAAATGACTGTTTCATCTTAACTATTCGTTTTATTGGATGTAAAACAAACGGTATGCATTAGTTTAACATCTTTCACTTCTAAAACAGCATAAAATATCACAATACCATCACCTAATGCTGCAATAATACGACTTAAAATGTTATGGTACTGATATTCTTTGGTTTTTGGGCGCCATGCCTCGTCTTTACCATCACCCTTGAAATTAGGTCCGCTCACTAAGCATAGGGTGTTAATGTTAGGATTCGGTGGATTTGGGTGCATTATTTTGCTTACATTCTAATTTTCTGAAGTGCACACAGCAGTCGCCTGCACTTCCTGGTGAGAAAGTGGTTAGATCCAGTACAGCGGTACCATTGTGGATGAAACATTCTCTATAAATGACATTAAAGTCTGCAGCCAGACATTTCGAGTCATCCAAACACACTTTCTTACATTCCTCTTCTCCTACGTTTTCAACCAAAGCAAATGCACCATCAAGATTTGAATATTCGTATCTCTGGAACTTTGCTCCCGGGCATATTCCTAAAACATGAAGCAAATTAGAAAATATAGAAGCATACTTTGCTCGCAAGCCTACGGCCACATGGAGTTCATGGTTGATGCGTCTATGTATTGTTTCCGTTGGGCGCGTTAATAACTCCTGATCGTCACATGTTGACTCAACATTGCGTCTTGTGTCATTCAGTGACATATTTTTCATGAATATATTTCTTTTTGACAAATAAATCTAATTGAAATACAAACCATCGTCTTGGATCTTGATGAGGGGTGAAAGAAGGTCGCCAGGTATAGGTCTGGGACCCAACACCTTATGTCCCTGTATATGGGGAACAGCTAAAGGTGGCGTAGTTGTTCTTGCTTTTAACAACTGGCCTGATACGAAGTTTGGAGGTGTGGTTCCAAATTCGTCTGGTCTGTAACCGCCCACTAGCCCCCTTCCAGGTATATTTACCTGACCAGGGTATACTGATTGAGGGAATTGACTCGGGAAACCAGGATAGACGGGTGGTTCCAACGGCCCCCCGGCTCTTGGTGCCCCGGGGGATATCACATAGCTGTCCAGACATGTCTTAACACAATGGATATAACCTACAGACGCTCTTGTTGTTCCAAGGTTTGTGTACACGACGCATGCTCTGTTAACCTGGTTCCAGTCCACTGATATACACTGTGGGTCACCCATGCATATAGATTTACACGTGTAGAATGCCAGCTTCCCTATCTCCACCCCTCCATCTCTCCTAGTGTTTGGCTGCATCAGATAGCCATTGTTGTTACAGCCTAATATAAAAGCATGTAATATGAATATGTTAAATGACCAGAACTGATAATTATCCCACCGAATGAAGTTCGTAGGGATATAGAGAAACCGCCCGTCTGTTCATACGTCTATCCGTTCGTTCATGTGCTCGGGCGATAACTCAAAACCGGTTGACAGATTCGGTTCAAATTTTATAGACTTGCGCACTATAAGTGTAGAACCCCTACTTGAGAAGGAATTTTCAACATGGCCGCTCAATTCAAAATGGCCGCCATTTTTCGTATAAAATGTAATATTTGTTGTTAAAATATAACCCAAATAAATGTAAGCTTACCAATTGACGGATTTGGTTCAAATTTCATTTGCTGATATCTAGGGAAAATGAGCTCTGCTCAAGAAGAATTTTTTAAGATGGCAGCTGAATTTCAAAATGGCTGCCATTTTTCGTATAAAACATAACCTTTGATAACTCAATGGCCAATAGACGAATTTGCATTGGTTCAATTTTATATGCGGATACTAAGAGACAAAGGAGCTCTGATCAAGAAGAAAGTTGGCGGCTATTTATCAAAACATGTTTTGTTCGGTGGTATTTGCTACTCCTTGGAGTTGCTGTTTTCAAGTTATGAAATTTTGGCCAGTTGGGTCATTTGAACATCAATGGTTCTTCATGCCAAGTGTAAAGAGCGAATGGATGGATGGGTGCCAGGGCATGTCTGTGATTTATCACTACCGTTATAAACAATTGAATGGGTTGAATTGATGCCAATTTGGCTCCATATATCATTACACTTAACAGTAGCTCTGTCACCTCAGATAAGTACAACAGAATACTATGGAATCTATGTATGTCTCGTCATGTAGACTACCTTTGCCGGGAATGTCATTCTGGTCGTGTCTTTCAACGCCATTAAATGGAGAACTAGTATTTATGATTGCATGGCGACTGTTAACAATTCCTTGTTCGCCCCACTCTGGACTACTTATAGATTAGTTTATTACCTTTATTTTGTGTTTATATTTCATTAAGATGAAAATTGTACAGGAAGAGTTTATTTGAATGAGTTAGTGATTATTTTAATTTACCTGGCGTGTATGGAGCTCCAGGGAAAACTGAAACATAAATAGGACTATGTTATGGTTTATCGAGGTTTGACTTCAAGCTTTACAGTTCGTCGCCTCTTAGGTATCCTCGGGTATTGTTGTTGGAGGTACAATTATTTAATATTAGGGAGTTTGTTTTTACTTACAAGTCGATTCAAAATATACAGAATAGTCTTAGAGTTTACATTTTTATATTATCCATTCTAAAAATGTTGTTCTAAAAGCAGCAATTCTTCTAAGGAAGAGACACGTATACTTACAAACCGGGATTCCATTTACTCCCAATGGTCCTCCGTACAGTTGACTCTGTCCATGAACGTATTGCAGAGAACTAATCCAAAAGACAAAAAATATCAACTCGGTTATCTGACCAAGTTCACATTTGCTCAACACACCTTTCATGATTCCAGTGTCTAGAAATGCGTTACCTCCCTGAGTACTGGTTCTGCCTTCTAATTTTTTGCAACTTTCCCAAACCGAGTGCGACCGTTGTTCCCTTATTCTTTCTATACTATTCCGAGATCCCCTTTATGAAGCACTGCCCGGTGATGTCTGTGAGTAAAGAACGAGACCTACAACAGGTGATGCCCCTGTTGAGACGAGGAAGAATGCCCTGAATGCCGTGAGTCATTGTTCCGCAAGTGGACTGCACCATTGTTTAAAAATACAAATGGCATCCAAAGTGTTATTATTGCCATGTTCTTATATTCTAATGTTTCTTTAACTGTAGTGGTATTCTATATTAATGATTATCTGCCGATTTTGATCTCGCTAATTCCTCTTTTTATCTCTAATTGTCATAGCGCGATCTGTTGGAGATTTTGTGAACGGGCGGTATAGAACGACTACTCATCAACAGCACAACACGGTAATTTTCCTGTTTGGAACGTGACGCGAGGCTAGTTCAGTTGCATTGATAGTAATAGCACTGCCATATACCTCGTACACCTCCGTCCACCTGGTCCAAGGGTATTTCAATTCTTTCCATAACTGTTCTAGCACAGTAGACATCTTGAAGGATGATACACCTGGGACCGTGAATTCGTACGGTCCCCAATCCAATCCGGATTTTTATCTTTTGGGATAAATCTTCGATTACTATTCCGACAAATATTTGGTGAATTCGTACGATCCGAGGATTATGATGGGGAATCCCCAGGATTTATCCAATTTGCATTGGAATTCGGACAAAATTTATCCAAAAAGTAAATTCTTGGATTAATCCGATCATTACCATGACAAAATTTATCCGGATCGGATCGCGGATCGTACGAATTCACCGCCCCTGGCCAGATATTGGAATTAGAAATTGGAATTTAGGGGAAGTAGTCTCAGGGTGACCGTATTAACTGTTAGACAAGTGGTGTGTACTGATGTTGCGTTTGCAATAACTATGGATCTGTGTATGTGGGTATGCCCCGATTATATCGCGCGCCCAAGCGATGGTATAATCGGGGCGTGTACACTGCCATTGAGGCTGATAGTTTTTTATAACGGCCGAATCAAGTATCCACCAATTATATAAAAATCTATAATTACATCTAATAGTTCAAAAACTAGGAGAGTCTCTACCACAATAGCAATAGTTAACCTATTAGTCCTCAAGGGCATATATTAATTTGTCCTAATGATTATGGCACACGACATCATTAATTTGAGGCATAATATCACAATATTAGCACGAGTGTTATTTAAGTATTTGAACTCTAATAATAAGGAATTGAAATTCAACCAAAAGTCTTGTTGTAAGAAGGGTTATCCCATCCTTACAATTAAACATCCATCAGCAGTTTTTAGCACATATAAGGACAATCATTTAATGATAATACGAGGTCATCCGTTTGTATTGTAGTTTTGTCTTACAAACCAAGCTTAGTTAATAGGTATAGTATACTGTGTATGTCTTCTTATAAGCAAATAGCAATTCAGACATAACAAGGCACGTTTCATTCATATTTGGCATACATCCTTGCAATGCAAATAAATCAGTTTGAAATTTATGTTTTTAGTGATATCTTGCAAAATCTTTTGCTATCTGTCAAAAGAATTTATGCACAAGGCTCGATGATTTGTGGGTAATTCAATGCATTTGTTTCTTGTATACTAAATCATATGCTGCCGCTCTCGTTCAAAGCCTCGTTCAAAAACATCGCACTTTATATCATCCACAAATTATTGAACCCTGGGCTAACTCCTTGATGTAACGACCAGCGGGAATTTTTTAGTGATTTACTTCTTGCTTTTTCAAATTCTAAGCTGGTATAATTGTGTTTATTGTTGTGAAATATACGTTGTATTGCTGATTTATGGCGTCCAGTTTATGAATGGATGTTGACCCTTTGATAGGCTTATGGACTTCGAGACTGGATTGGTCTGTTCCACATCATTTAAGACTGAATGCTCCATCATGTATGAATACTATACCTGGTATCTATAACTATTTTGATGTTGTGAGTATTGGTTATCAATTTATTCTTGTAGTATGAATGAAATGTCCCTTGGTGTTATGGTCTCGGATTGTCATATTGATACTTGAATGGTTGAGAGCATTCTGATACTCTCTCATCTTTCTGTCTTCAACTTGAAATATCGTTCCAGAGTGAAGCTAATAGAAGGCCATGATTTGTCATGATGAGTTGAGAGGGTATAAGACATTGTTTCTTTTCACGTTCGGTTATGATTTGGGATAGTTGGGGTTTGTTTTCCTTATGACTGGTGTACTCTTATATGTATTCTTTTTCTTTTTGCCTTCTGTAACACTTGGTACTTTCCCTTTGGTAATTGTGTATTATATATTGTGTAATATATTCAATGTGTATCAATACCACGCACTGTTCACTGTAACATCAAAACAAAATTGAAGTTGCACAATTTATTTATCTCCATCTATTTTATTTACAAAATGAATTTCATAATTTGATTTGCAGTCTTGCATCAAGTCTCTGAAACTTTCCCCTTTCTACTTGAAGTGAATATGAGGAGGGGAGGGGGTTACAGGCTTGAGGCAGGCAAGACTATTTGAATTAATGCGAACCTAGTAAGTTGAAACGTCCCAGTATTATCCACCATTACCGTCATAAAAATAATTTATATATTATATATCCAATGATTATACAATTAATTATGATACAAACAAATATGTTTTTACAAATCTCAAATGGTATACAAGTTATCATGAACATGAATAATTATCTATGCTAATGTATCAATGATATACCTTTATTTAATTCACAATTATCTACCTACAGTAAAATCCTTGTACGTGTCAAAGGAAGAATCAAAGGGAGCAACGTTTCTAAAGAGAGCGTCAGAATTGGGATTAAAGTAGTCCTTAGCTTTACAATGAAATCCAACAGTTTATGTCATATCAAAAATGCACACTCGTTGGTAAAAAGGCAAAATGTTAAGTTTTTAAGTTTTCAACTTATTCTGTCTCTGATTCATCCTTTGAGAAACCAAAATTACTTTTGCATATCAAGTGAGACAAACTATCAAGCCAACAATGGCCAATCAATAGATGTACAAAATCGAATCTTGAAGACCTTGATAATGGTGTTATCCAACCCTGGTGTCTCTAGAGAATTTTTATAGACGTAGGCATTCGTTTATAACCATAGAATATTTTTCATATCTCGGTACTTCATCATCATCGATAGTCATTGCTAGATGTGCCCCACTTGAATGAGAATGCACTGTGATGTTACATCATAAAGACCTATCACGTGGCCCCTTTATACATTCTTCATTGTAAAGCCCTTATTTTGGTTTTACAAGTCTGTAAAACTGGCCATCCTTGACCCAGTTTGACATGCTATTCCATAACGTGACGTAGTATCCCGAGGAAAAATGTGCTTCACGGTGACTCGAAAAAATTGTCCAATTCAGTAAATATCTTCAAGTCTGTGATATACAGTAGTTCTGGATATTCCTTTGAAACGCATTGTGCCCGGGGTACTAGGCGCACTCAATATCTATGTTTTTGACTTTATTACAGCAGTTGCTTTTTTTATTCTCGAGTTTACTCTCCTTTGGTAAAAGTACAACTTCATTTTCTTAATCTTGTCTTATTGACCAACATTATCAGGACCTGAAATTAGTAAAACAAAATCAAAACATGGCTATCTTCATAACACTTACTTAGAACTCAAAAATTAGCTCAAGACTGTAGTAGCTGTTTTATTAAAAGTATTATCTAAATTAATAGGAAGTTCTGAAAATGTTATTCTGCTTACCGATAAATATTGGGGCTTGTCTCATTATTAGGGTGATCCGACCACCATATCCTTGACGGCTTGGACCTCTTTGTTCGTCAAAGCTGAGTTGAAGAACCAAAGCTAAAACGCAAACATCTTGTTATTAAAAAGAGCAACATCTAAAAACCAAAGCAAGCCCTCTTATTCATAAAAATATTAACAAAAAATAATGTTAATTTTTTCCACAAAAGTATGGTTTTTTAATGCCATTATCATGATAATGATTTCCGGTGTTTAAACATACTTTAGAACAATTTGATGACATCCCTTTGGGTTATTGATAAGATGTCTTAAGTTTATTTCATATATTGGAATATGTTGTTTTCTGGTTCACATTTACCTCATCAATCAATCCGTGGAAGAAGGAACCTCTTAGGTTTGGGAAAGCTCCTCTCTGCTTGCCGATACACACTGGGTAGACTCCGGTCCTGAGGATACCCATGGTGGTGTTGATCTGCATGTTCAGGACACCGTCTACGTAAAGGCGCATTGTTCCAGTAGTCAAGGAACCGTCATATACGAGAGCCACGTGATACCATACGTTGATTGGGTACTGAAATATCAAAGTGAGATATGTTGGACCAAAATCTGATAATTAGTGCTTACATGATGATAGCCATTTCCAGAAACATCCTACCACCAAACTTAGTTTGCTTAATTCTATCAATTTTGTTTGTACTTGTGTAACCAAGTTTTATCCATTGTAATAAGTAAAATTCCATGAACACTAAATACATACAAGGCATTAACATGTAAAATATCACAACACTCCTTTTGTTTCAGACGCCGAACGCCAGATGCCGACTGCCGTCACGAAAATGGAAAGCATAACAACATTTCACCACTTTTGGTGATGACATAATAAATGAATAGATACTTAATGATTTTGAACTTACAGCAGAGGAGTTCATAAATTGCAGGCTTGTGTCGTTGATGGGAGCAAAGTCAGCAGAGATGAGGGATTCGTTAGAGTTCTGTCCAAGGGATTCGATGTTGAATGTGTAAGTTCCATCTGGGCCATTGTTAATGAGTCCTTCAGATTCTCCAGTGGCGTTGGTGCGTTTGTACCAGAAAGCAATACTAAACCTGAAATGATTAAACTAGGTTGTTAATGATTGATCCAGAAGGAATTATTTCATCATTCCAGATACAACTGATGTTTAATCTAGTCGTTGAAACCGCAGGGTAAGGAGTAGATGCTAGTCTTAACTCCTTATTTTTCATTTTTAGAAGAAAGGTCCTGGGCATCATATGATCATCACAAGTCACAACTTGAGAAAGAAAATGTGTCTCTATAATTTTATGAAACTGAACGCCAATAGCGCCGACAAGCTAGGCCAAGCTGACCCCACTGATGAATTTGATACCATTTGGAAGAATAATAAAGCCGTGAATATCTTTGGTAACCCATGCCTACCTATGGTTGACAGAGGTGTTGGTTACCTCTCCGAACATGATGTTTGTAAAGCCTGGGATCTCAATGTAGGAATCACCAGAAAATTGGGCAGAGCAGTTATTTGCGGCATCAAGACAAGAGTAGTCCATGTTGGTGTCCAGTCCGTTCCTTGCGTTTCCTGAGTGGTCGAGGGAATTCCCATCAAAGGGATAATAACCAGCACACGCTACAAATCACAATGACATCAAGTTTAATGAAAGGGAAAATAACTTAATGGAGATTAAAAGAGTTGATGACTATAAGGTTTGGAAAGCGCAACAGTCCCTATACATTATTGACAACGAAAAATTGCTCTTTGAATCAAAAGGAATATTGTATTAACTAGTAAGATCTACTAACTTGTGATGGCACTGATGGACAATCCATTGCATCTGTCAGTATCACAGTAGCATATCAGAGAGGTTGAGTTCGTCATGACACAGCCCTTGTCGAAGTTGATTGTTGAGGGTCGCTCAATACAGCCACGAGTCACGCCCACTATAAACAAGAAAAAAACAATTTTGCAAACATTCCCCATTTGAGCAACATCCATATTTAATTCATACTAATAATTATTTTTTATAATTCTTTTATTTCAAAGAAAAAACATGTTTAAGCAATTGCAAAAACGAAATCTAATCATACAATATATACAACTATATAAGTGTCAGGCTACACAACTTTGAATCCCAATTGAAAATCTTACACATAGATGCGATTGTGGTGTTGGCCACAGCGTCGAACTGACTGTAGCACATGCCAGTACAGACGCTGGTATTGCTGTATGCGGAGCTGCTGTTCCTGATGCACTCGAAGTTTGTAGAGTCGGTCATATCACTGACTGCATGTTCGTAGCAGGTTAGTTCATTGAGTCCTAATGGAAATGGACAAAATATCTAATTACTCAAATGAAATATCAGATAGTCTGGGATTTGCTCTTAATTTTTAATATGTAAATTCGACTATATACAACAGCCATTACTAAATACGTACCGGAGCAGTTCACTTTCTTCCAATGGTTGACGCCAACAACTGGACTGGTGGAGGTCGAGTTGGTGGATGTGAAATAGAAACAGGATTTATCAGCCGCGGTGTAGTCCACAGCAACGCAAGAGGTGTTGGTGGAGCAGAAAGCAATACACTCATTCTCGGTGTCGAAAAGCGCAACGAAGAATCCGCTGGCCTGTCGGCTGTTTTCATACTTTTGGAACGTAATTCCCATGGTTTGGCAGAGACCTAAGATGGATGAAATAAAATATTGCAAGTGTCAAAATACACTCTTTTGTTCATGAGCACAATTTTACGATGGCAAATAACTTTAATACATTAACATACCCAAGCTTGTTCAAATTAATCCTCTCACCACCATGAATAGTGAGCTACGTTTTACCTATTTAAGTTCTGATTGTTTTAGATTGATTATGCCAACCATTATTATTGTTTAACATAATTTGGGCAACCATTATTATTGTTTAACATAATTTGGGCAACCATTATTATTGTTTAACATAATTTGGGCAACCATTACGATTGTTTAACATAATTTGAGCAACCATTATGATTGTTTGTTTAACATAATTTGGGCAACCATTATGATTGTTTAATATAATTTTGTCAAGCATTATGATTGTGATTTTGGGCAGATATTATGGTTGCAAATTAGGTCTTACAAATTAGGTTTGGGCAAACGTCATGTGCTTTACCTGTCAGATCAGCTGGTGCAGTGACAGCGAAAACACTTGGGACAGTTGTTGTAGCTGTTGTTGCTACAGTAGCGGTGGTAGCTGTGACTGTTGCTGTAGTAGCGGTGGTAGCAGCGGTGGTGGTGGCAGTTGTAGCAGCTGTGGTAGAAGCTGTAGTTGCAGTTGTCGTAGCAGTGGAAGTGGACATAGATGTTGTGGCAGCGGTTGTAGTTGTGGGAGCAGCGGTTGTGGTGGCTACAATAATGATATTGGTTCATTTAATAATATACTTTTAGATTATGAGAGTGTGGACTAGAACTTTCTTGAGGTCTAAGGCTGGAATACCCATAGCATAGGTTTTCCAAAAAAGCCCATTCTCTGACAAAAGAACTAATAATGATATGACACCAAAACCGTTTTTATACGGCTACATTTTTTCTTGTATGATTTCCCTGAGGATTTTTAGAAACTTACAGAGACAGCTTGTCTTGGCGTAATGGTTGCAACAGGCGTTGCTGGAGGCAGTTCCAGTTGTAGTGTGTTGGTAGCACTGGTTCAACAGAGTATCAAAGTCGACAGCCTGGAAGAACATTGTGTTTCTCTCAAAATTGGGTAAACAAATTGTCGTTGCTTAATATTAGTTTTTCTTTTGGAAATGGAGGTTGGCTCTAGCTTTGTATTAAATATTATCACTTAGACCCTTAATATATGTTGTGACTGTAAGTACCTGGCAAGAGGGTGTGATGAGACAGTACAATTTGCATGCTTCTTCTGTTGTAGCACTAGCCACAAGGGATCCCCCGAAACGATTGGCAGATGTGGTCTTTTGCAGAGCGAATGGACATCCTGTAATTGTAAATATACATTACATAAATGTTTTAAGAGAAATCAGACCCATTTTTTGTATTTTGCTGACATCTTTAACTGGAATATAGATCATGAACCAAGTGGGCCATAATAATCGTTAATGATAATCTGATTGATTACCTGTGTCAGGAATGGTTGTTGTGGCGACAGTTGTTGCAATTGTTGTTGTTGTGGGAGCAGCTGTAGAGGTTGTGGTAGTAGGAGCGGCAGTTGTTACAGTAGTAGGTGCAGCTGTTGTTACAGTAGTAGGTGCAGCAGTTGTAGCCGTGGTGGTTGTGGATGCAACCGTGGTTGTTGCGGTGGTTGTTGATGGTGCTGTTGTAGCAGCGGTGGTGGTTGTAGAAGGTGCTGTTGTAGCAGCGGTTGTGGTGGTTGTAGCAGCTGTTGTAGCAGCGGTAGTAGATGTTGTTGGAGCAGCTGTGGTGACTGTAGTTGGTGCAGCTGTGGTGACTGTAGTTGGTGCAGCTGTGGTGACTGTAGTTGGTGCAGCTGTGGTGACTGTAGTTGGTGCAGCTGTGGTGACTGTAGTTGGTGCAGCTGTGGTGGTAGTGGTGGTTGGTGCAGCTGTTGAGGTTGTTGTTGGTGCAGCTGTGGTTGTGGTTGTTGGCGCAGGTGTTGGTGCAGCAGTAGCACGGGCAGGGCAAGCACTATTGAACTGAGTACAGGGTGTAAACAATCCAAATGTAAGACCGACTGGAACTGAAGTGCCAGGTGGGCATGAGAAGAGAACAGGGACAGGGATTATGGAGTTGGTAATGGGGTTGTAGTTACAGCGGTAGTATGAGCAGACATCAGCAATGTTGCGAATGAACACTCCTAAACCACCAAGCGCGAACCCAGTAGCGCCGCAATCTGAAAATATGGAAATATATTCCTACATGTATTTGTGACAATGATATTTTAAAAAATTGGGCGTAATTTGATTTAACGAAAAACATGATCGAAAAAGGAAAATGAAAATTACAAAGAATTATTTCTATTGCCATAGCATTTGTGATTTTAGTGTACGATCCTTTTAGACTATTAAAATGCGGTTTGTGGCTCACAACACATTTCGTCATTTACATATCTATGAATATTCAAGTTGTTCACAGTCCCTTGTGTCCATGTATTCAGTTGTCCAATTGAATGCAGATTGAAAATCAAATGTATTTTTGAAATATTATGTAGTTACCATGTTTTAAGCATATATGATATAAAAAACATTTCTTTATCATCTGTTCATTTGCTCGTTATCCCATTGAATTCTATGTTATAAACGCATAACTTAACTTACCGGCAATGAATGGCGTACACTCCGCATTTTGAAGTACAAATCCAATACAGATTAAAAGTGATAAAATCCGCATTTTGACCATTTTGCCTTTGATGCGACTATTACAAATGCAAATGAAAAGGCTGATGTCTTGTGAAAGTACTAGATATGGTAGTGTAATAAGCTTCTTGCCGCTCCCGAATTGCCCCAAGGCTTTGGACCAAATCATTTGATTGGACCGGGGTGCAAGGATGTAAAAATTACATCAGAATTGCTTTACCAAAAAGCTAGCGTGTTGGTATTACATTAATTAAATTGTTAATTACAAATTCATGCATTTACCCTGAAGTGTTCAGTTTCCATCAACAATATGCTGTGATGTATCCCAATATACAGGATATTAATTAAACTGAATGATCAAATTGTCATATCCGTTAAATTTTTTTATGATATAGGCAGAGTAGCCTACATCTTGAACTCCAATGACTTAAGGACAGCGCGGTAACCGCAAATATTGAGAGACAATAGAACAAGAATACTTTTTTGAGAAGCATTTCCAATGCAAACAGAAGCGAGAAGCGACGTCTGATGTTCTAATAGTATTTGATGTGTCAGGGGGCATACTTTGCTTTTTTAATTCGAACATATCCTTGTTTGACAAATTGTATATACATGGCTTTATTCCTGAATTCGTGATTTGCTGCGTCTCTTGAAGGGTTTGACCGAATAACAGAGTATCAAAAGAACAGACTTATCTACTTTGGTATATAAAGGAGGAAGAATTATGTATTCCTTCTAGTTTTTAAAAGTACTAGTAACCTCATTTTTCATCATTCTTGGAGTTGAAAATGCAAAATTGAGCGAGTATTGTCAAAATTATCTCTCAAACTTCATCCCCCGCCAAACAATGTTGTCGGACGTTTGTTAAGGATATGGATAGAAAAACGTCCCTTTATTTATTTAAGTACAAACGATAACTCTAATACCCGTAGTCGAATCTTATCATTTTTATAGGCAAGCGCCATGTAGGTATACGACCTCTGTTCATAAAAAGATTTATGTTGACTAAATTCTAAAAGACATTTTACAACCAAGACAATAACTTAAATAAAGCTTCACTCCAACATAAGTTCAGAATTCAGACGAGGAATTCAGAAATTTGCCACCATTTTTTCAAAAATTGAGCAGTGCTTTTGGCTGTTACTAAAATGTTGTTTGATGAATCAGTTTCATATTCACTCTCAATTTCATATTAACTCTGTTATGTGTAATAACTTGATACCGCTTACTGGGCATCATTTGGGCAAACAGTTTTTCCAAGGAAAACGCATTTTATTTCGTATCGGCGTTATAGTAAAATTGTGATTTTACCTTCCAATAGCCTAGTCATAAAAATGGTAAATGAGATAAGGTATTTAGTGTGCTCTTGGGTATTCGAGAAAGCCCATTGGTTTGCTTTGGATTACCTTTTTGCCGTTGAATTACTCGAATTTCGAATATGTAAAAAATTGGTTACATTTTCAGCAGATTAAAGTCCATGATGATATGAATGGAGAGTTGGATTGGTACAATTTGTATTATTTTCAGAGTGAACGTATCATTAAACGAGGGTTTCTCTTTACAGCTGGAATCTGGGTTTCAGTGTAATTGAATGGAAATGGTACAAAAGAACGGTAAAAATAGGTCATTTTTCAAATTGCTTCAATTTGACTAAACGTCTCCAAATCTTACCTTAGATTTGATCTTTGGTCATTGCACATGGCGCAACATCTATAAGGTATCAAACATATCGTATAAAGCATGTAAACTTAACCACGGCATCCAACTTCTACAGACATTTCCTCAACCATCGTTGTAATGTCTTGTAAGATAGTTACAGTTAATCCTGTGTACATCTGGTAGAAATCGTTCCTTACAGACAAACATTCGCCCCAAAACACCGTACCGTTGCTTGTTCCCAGTGAACAAGTCTCCCTTACAGAGAGTGTCCTTTGACGCGTTACAGTAGTCAATGGAAAAATATTTGAAGAGAATGAATAACATTTTTAAAGAGAACGAATAAAAAATAAAGTACAGTATAAAACAAATATATATTTCAATTATAAAATTTCTACATGTTAAGTTTTATCGATTATAATATTTTAGATTCAAATAAATAAATAATTTTATAAGAAAATATGTACATCCATTATGAATAAAGGACGGGTTTCGAAAAAAGTCAAATGTTGAGGAAAACAGTCAGTACTTTCAACAGACGTAAAGCATAAGTTGAAATATATTTTGAAATAGACGGTCAGATTCTAGGACAAATACTTTTTGTCTAAACCAAATTCAAATTCAGCTTTCCAACACCTGATAGAACACTTCATAATGGAGTAATTTTGCCAAGATTTTGCGATATTTCATGGGTCATTTTCAACTTGCTTCAGCTTGACAATTGGTTCATATTCGCCTTGAGTTTCAGATTTGACCATGAATTTCCGTCTGAGAGGTAAAAAATTGATCTTTCTTCGAATTAAAATTTAGGCTAGAAGAATAAAAAAGATCCCAAATTAGTTTTGAATGAAAAATTAAGGTTTAATGTCATTAAATTACTGTCTGTAGGGCAGAGATATTAATAGACAAATAGATGAATCAACTGCTTCAAACTTCATTCAGAAGAATAGTAAACCCGTGCAGGCATAATTAACATTGATATTTACTAAAATAAGCAGATCATTTTATAAGTATTTATAGAAAACAGCAACTACGCGAAGTAGGAAATCCCACCGAACAAAAAATGTTTTGATATATAGTCAGCTTGGAAATTTCTTCTTGACAGAGCTTGTGAGCAGAGCTTTTTAATCTCTTGGCATGGCACATAAAATCTGAACCAAATCTGTCAAATGTTATTTGAGTTACCAATGATAATGTTCTTTTATGAAAAACGGCAGCTATTTTGAAATTCAGCTGCCATCTTGAAAATTCCTTCTTGAGCAGAGCTCATTTGTACCTTGTCATCAGCATATAAAATTTGAACCAAATCCGTCACTGGTGTTTGAGTTATAAAAGATAACGGTTTTTATGAAAAATGGCGGCCATTTTGAAATTCAGCAGGCATCTTGAAAATCTCTTCTATAGCAAAGCTCCTTTGTCCCGAGACATCAGCTTATAAGATTGGAATCAAGTCCGTCAAATAATATTTGAGTTATTAAAGATTACATATTTACGAAAAATGGCAGCCATTTTCATAGAGCGGCTGGATTGACAATTCCTTCTCGATCAGAGATCCTACACCCATAAGGCCTAAGACTATAAATTTTGAAAATAATCCCTCAACAATTTTAAGTTAACGCCCAGACAGATGAACGAACGAATGGACGGCTTACCTATATCCCTTCGAACTTCGTTTGGTGGGATTATAAACGCCGTTTTAATTTTGTATCTCTGCCAAGTGCCAAATGACTTTTTGCACCTAGCTATAAACATGCCATCTATAACCAGAAGCAAAATGTAAAATGCTTTTTACAAACGTTATTTGCAACCTAATAACACAAAATATCAACAAGCATACAAAACGAACAATATATCAACTGTGCACTTGTACATTATTTCCAGTCTTGTATCAAGTCTGGTTTCACCGACTATTCACATAAAAAGCTGCTAAGGAACACCTCCATAAGGGGAACACTTCAGAGTCTCATCTCTCATAACTTATGTAAAGTTAACCTCTGTATTTGGAACACCTCCCAAGAGGCAACAAAGATGTTCCACTTACACAGGTTTTATGTATCCTTTTTGTGGATGCCATTCAGTCTCTGTAACAAATGGCAGATCGTGACATTTTGCATGTTAATGCCTTGTCTGATTTGAATTAAAGAATAGGGACACTGGGGCCTGATGCAACACTCTTCATTTGGTGCATCCCAATGCCTCAGCAATATGTTCAGCATATTCTCTGATGAATTTAGTGATTGTGTCAGATTGATCATGGGACAAAGGAATGTCACTCCCAGGGATTTTCCTTTGATTCTGGCTGTTTCCCCTTAACATTGTTTAGTGCACCAGCTATACTTTTAATATTAAGTTTTGTTAATCTATTCTTGTAAGCATTCATAGAAGCCTACTGAGTCCCCTGCTTGATTCAGTATACTGTATGTACTGTGAACCATAATGTCACATATGAAGATGATTCCAGAATCTCCACTCTGTGAATTATTTTAAAAATCAGCCTTTTAAGTCAGCCATAAAAAAGTATAAAACCAGTGGCTGTAGCAATATGTCACTTGTTCTTGGTAGTGACATGAAAACACAATAAGGGTTACCAACCGATGACCATGGTGGAGCTGAACTCTTCCAGAGAATCTCACTGATCACGAGTTTCCTGCATTTCTTGTTTCCAGTATTTAAGCTTTATTAAGCAGTTCACAACTTGTATTGCTTAAATATCACAAAACGACACATGTTTTTGAGGAACTGCTTTTCAACTGGCAAAGCAAAACCACATGGACTGATGAGTCCTATTATTCACCATTTTTGACATTATATTTCCTGGATCAGTTCTCTGTAATCATGGATATGTCTTGTGATGGGTTATGTGATTTGATCCATTTGCGAATGACTTCTCGAGATCTTATATCAGCCTGAAATTCAGAATTTGAATAGTCACTAGTAAGCATATCATAAACATCTAAATCTATTTTTAGTATGCAACAAAGTCACGTTTTATCCTAATTTCTATTCTCTTCCCTAAAAATTCAAACTTTTAATTAACAAAATAACAGGCTAGACATCAAGTAAGTGCAACTGAATGAATGAAACAAGCTGACACTGGGCCAATTTTTCAAGATATATCAAGACTTGCCATTACTCCATGCCTTGTTAATGCAATGAAGAATGTTGTTTGAAAGCACAGCAAGTACCCTGGCAGCCACTTGGGAATCATGCTCTATGGCTATTGATCCTTTTTATGTATACACACTAGAGAAGATATTTACCTGTCTAGTTGGTTCTGGGACTCTGTACTGACATAACAACTGAACCACCCAGATGGCTGTCTCTAATGAGATATTATGCCCAATAGATATGTAGATTGGCTTGCTGGGTTTACTGAAGTCTGTCTTTGGTAGATAAGCCTAAAACATAATACATATGTTTAACCCTTTGAGCAGTGTACATAAATGGATCACACCATGTCGTAAAAACTAGGTCAATATACAAGGCTTGATCCAATAGTTATACTCCATTTGATCATAAAATCCTAAAATATTTTATGAATATTGTTCATATTTGCCCTCAATTATCCATTATACTATAGTAGAGTTTGATTGAAAAAGAAATCGATAAATTGAACCAATAACATATGTGTTTTTCAAAGTATCGAATGTTTCCTCCTGTGCAAAGATGTTGAGCAGTTCGGTAATAATATAAATGTGAAAATTAACAAGTAGGCTCTATATACAGGTCGTTAATCACATACCTGTCCCAACACATCATTTTCTGTTGAAAATAAGGGAAATCCTTGTCCTGTTTCTAGCTGTTTCACCTGGAATACACAAATATATACGTGTGTGCAGTCTAGTTATAAACTACCCTCTGCCTAGCATAGACTATAGTACAGTTTAGCAGCCCTGCCCAAAAGATTGGGGCCTGTGACAGCCCGGGTAATTAATCATTTCAAATCGACCACGCTGACCCTTTCTCAACCAATCAGCGAAATACACGCTCATTGACTATGCGGTGATGTCAGAGGAAATGACCATATAGAAAGTCGTCCGTATTTCGATGATGAACTCTGATTGGCTCAAGGAGATCAGAGATTTATTGTAAACTGAAAGAGTGAAGATGAAGCTCTCTTTTAAGAAGTCGAACGAATGCAAAGGGTAAGGGTACATTTAAAAAAACATTTTAGGAAAATGTTATTCGTGTACCTTTTCCTGGTATGCCTCATCTTTTAACAGGCCATCTGTAGCGTAGAAGTTCTTGGCAACTCCAATAGTAGGAATATCTATTAATACTCCCAGATGAGAAGCCAATCCAAAACCTGAAACACAATGAACTGCTAAGTAAAAATCAATATCTACATTTTATTCATTAATAGTTCATTTAAAATATTTATTTTTTTATTTAAAATATTTTACTATAGTGACATTGGTGCAAAATATGTGGCCGGCAGCCTATAAGACAATGGACCAATATCAAGAGTTTGTATATTTAAATTGTACATATTATAGATAATATGAATACATTTTTGAATAAGGTTTATGAGTACTGTATTCTAAAACAATTGTTAAAAATATTTTTTGGTACAGAGCTGGAGCTGCTCTAGCACTTTACCAGGTCCAAATTTTTAACAAGAAATATTCTTTAAAAAATTTAAAAATGAAACAAAGCTGAGATGCAGTTAATTTGAAACAATAAATGTTTTAATCTACACTATACAAAACTCAGCCCGGTAGCCAGGATTTGTCAAAGGGGGGGGGGGGGGGGGCTCACTTTTTGAAAAATTCCAGGGGATTGGGTTCACTTTTGACAACTTTGGGCAAAAATGGCCATAATCACTTGAAAAGTGCTCAGAATGGTGAAAAACTACATGATTTTGAAAGAATTTTTGGACCCCCCTGGCTATAGGCCTGAAAATGTACATTACCTTTTGGATGTAATATTCCATTTCCATCCACCAAAACAACTTGTGGAATAAACTGTGGGGCCTTAGCCTTCAATCTGTCAAATGCCTCCACAAGAAAGGGAACTTCACGGAATGCTAGGTATCCTGGTATGTATGGCGTGTCTAATTGTATCATCTCATAATCTTCATAAACAACCTACAATAGATTCATAACCCTTAAACAACCTGCAATGAATTCATTGTCCTAATCTATTGTCTTCATACAGCCTGCAATAAATTCATTGTCATCATGTAATCTGTAATAAATTCATTGTTCTAATACTACCTGCAATGAATCAATTGTCCTCATACAGCCTGGACAATGAAGTCATTGCAGGTTATATGACGACGATGAATTCATTGTCCATATATAACCTGCAATGAATTCATTGTCATCATATAACCTGCAATGAATCCATTGTCATCATATAACCTGCAATGAATTCATTGTCCTCATACAACCTACAGTGAATCCATTGTCTTCATACAACCTACATTAAATTTATAATCCTTATTAAACCTTCAATGAAAACCATATTCCCTTACATTGCTTTTAATGCATTCATAATCCATAATGAATTGATAATCTTCATCCGCAACCTAAAGTGAATTCCAATTAAGCCAGATAGTTACTCCTGATGTTTAATTTAGGTAAGACATGTGGACAAGAATTAACTTTATCATAAGAGCAAAAAGTATCCTTAGTACCCCCCCCCCCCACACACACACACATTTCCATCAGGAGACTTACCTCTAGGGAAGGAAGGGCTATCACAACTAAGGCTGAACAAGCGTTTACATCATCTCCTTTCACAAATGATATGTCAACACCCCCTATGTACTGAAGAACTGTTTTCTGGGCATGTGATGATGGATCACACGTTTGACATGGATTTGGTGTGCTGGGTGGCTCCCTCTCCTGTGTAAAATAATGAATAAATAAATATTTTATCTAAGTCACTCTTTTTCATATCAATATTGACATATTTTTACATTAATCATTGGATACTGAGTATCATCTAGTACTTATTTTAACAAGTGATTTTATGTGTTAAGTTCAGTGATGAATGCATAACTAGATGATCATAGTGCCCCAGCCTGTGGAAAAAAAGAAAAAAAGGTTCTCTATCCTCCATTATGCTCTGTTATACAGACACACAAACACATCAAAGTTTTTTATGTCCATATAAAGTTATAAGCAGTTCAGTTAAAGGTACATTGCGATTTATAGAGGATAAGAGGAAGAGGAAGTAAAACGAGTCGGATATATGTTGAAAATGTTCTGTTTATGAAGCAGGGAAGTCAAAACAGTACTATTAGTATTCATAGAACTTAAGCATTCAAAGATCATTTAGAAGCATTTAATTAAATCCATGGCAAAATTGAAATAATTGAAATCTGTATACGCCTACACACTTCTGGTTTAGTAATCAATGATTTTATCGATCAAAAAAATACTTTTTTTTATGAATTTGTCTGATATCTGCTTATATGGTATGTATATTTGTGTTGATTGTTAAATTACAAAATAAGTAGGGTGAAGAATGTGTCAAAGTCGTTTGATCTTATCCCAGAAGCAATATTTTGTCATTTCTGTCACCTAGGATTCAGAAGTACATTTAATAATTCATTGATAGTTCAATATAGTTCTTTTATGTTACCCTTCATGCAGTGTCATTTCTGACATAACATTGCCCCATAAAGGAAAAGAACGAAGGAACGAACCATGGTATTTGTTTGACAAGCAGATGTACATACCTTTTCTTCATTGCAGAAGTTACTAGTCATCTGCCATGCGAATGTATCTTTTGTGCTTAAATTCTGTTTTAACTCATCTTGTTCACTGAAAACATAACAAGGAGACTTCTATAACGTACAGTGAAATCCTGTTCTGACGTGAAGAGCACCTCTATCATGATGACAAGATTCAGCATTATAATAATGATGTAATGACCCGAGGGCGCCCCAGGGAAATGACTAACTAATAATGAGTATGGTGTAACAAGCCAGATAAAGAAATTGAAAGAAAGTGTGCTAAATTCAATGCCCCGTGTGGGAATCGAATCTAGGACCCTTAGATCCAAAGACTGATGCTCTACTGACTGAGCTATAAAGGCTTAAGCCACTACAGCTGGGCCGTAGTAGCAAATTGCTATCAAGGGTCGTTACAATAACTTCTTTATTCTGATTTTTGTCCCAAAACACATTGCGATTATGTCTGTATGGTAATCGCAGATTTTACCGAAGTATACAGCAATTCCACCTTTAATAAAATATTGTTGATTTGACCAAATCATAATAACACAAACACAAAATATTTACCATTTCCATTTGTACAGCATTTCATCTTGTACAGTTTTGTTATCTCTATACAAAGCCATTATGTAACTTTACTGAACACGTACACCTGTCTAAAGTGGGCAACTGTATCAGCAATTAGATATGAGTAGCACAGTCAGCACCATCTATCTAATATAATAGAATAATAGTCTAATATCTGAATATCTGAAGATTGATAGTGCTCGATGATAGCTTGTTCTAATATTTGATCTTGTCGACTGACAACAAGGTGTGATGTTTAGAAGTTTCGAAAATCCCTGTGAATGAGATGTTTTTATAGTCTCCAAATCCATCTAGTTTATTCTAATGCAATGCAGATGATGAAACCTGGATGAAACCTCAATAAGATGACATCATTGGCACCATTCTCACGTTTTTCTGCATGTGTGTGTACGTGATTAAACTAGCTTATCTAAAAAAAGTTAATTACGCAATTCTTCAATTAGTTACTTTAGTTTATAGTATTACAACACATATATTTTGTGTGGATTGTACACGTGTGAAATGTACTGTACAGATTTATGACATAAGAGGAGCGATTTTCGGGATTGTTATTGTTTACTGAACCTCGTTTTAAATCAAGCACATGTTATCTTCCGGTTCCGGTCACCGGTATGTTTTTCCAAAAAGTTTAATTTTACATTTAGTGGCATATGGGACTGTTGGAATGGTAATTTAGCAATGTACTTGTAAATGACTAATGATGGATCACAGACAAGAAAGAATAAGGAGGAACTTTGCTCGAAAACTGGTAAATAAACATTTTTTTGAGTTGATATGTATTTTTTCTCTCACAGTCATAGGCTAAGGGTTAAGTAATAGTAAGCTGTATATAGAAGAGACAGGTAAACAATTAGGATTGAAAAAATTTTCAAAAACTTGCCGTCTTGGTACGAGTTCTCCTTACTGGTATCGAGTCGTACCACCAAATCTCCCAAGAATCTTCTCTAAAGTGTTTTCGAAACGTAGATTGTTGAATATTTCAAATCTATATCCTAACTCTTCGATAAGACAGCATAAAAAAACACGAACTGTACGAACCTGCAATTGCCCGGCAAGTTGAAACTTCCGGACACATGGAAAGATTGAAATTTCACCATTTAAATTGGGTTTAAAAAGATATTATATGAATCAGATGTTTTGATAAATAATTATTAAGTAAACCTTTTATAGTTTTGTACACTTTAATTGATTGTTATTTCTAGAAAATGAATTACATTTTAGAGAACCAGATAGGTGTCACTGGCGGCGGTTAGCAGGAACCAATCAAATTCCTTGTTTCAAACTTCCATTCATGATTCAACACGGAAATCCGGGTAACTTGCCAGGCAATTGTAGGTTTTCAGAATATCTCACCTCAAGACGGCTTTATTCACTCTATATCACTTGAATGTGGTTGATTCATAGGTAAGAATTGAGAACTATCAATTTTGGATCAACTCTGCATTGTTTTTTGCAAATTATACACAAATAATGTTAAAATCACCATGTTAACAAGTGGCCTAAATCCTAGTTGTTCACCTGTCTCTTCTGTATACAGCTTACTATTACTTAACCCTTAGCCTATGCTCACAGTCACACCTAGGCCTAGTTCAACGTCGTTAAACTCAATAACGGCGTTCTTTATTATTAGGAATTTTTTTGGGGCCATTATTGAGTTTAACCTCCTTACTATTCTTTCCTTTGATGCAAGTTCTGAATCCATCGAAACCATATTTCTGCGATAACGTGCAACTGATACTTGACAATAATATAAAAACACATAACATCAAGCGATTTAACACAATATTTTTTGTAATTGTTCATTTATACGAGCAAATGAGGCTACACTTACCAATCTCTAAAGTGACATTTCCGCATGTCAGTCATTGTGTCTGTTCGTCTGAGTGTCCCGGATCGTAAAATTAAACTACCAGCGAAACGAAATTGTTGTCAAATAGATTGATAATTATTATTGCGATTACTCGGGATAAAAAGATCAATTTTGAGGATAACAGGTATCTTTGATTAATTTATATAGCGCGTGTATACACGCAAAATAGTTATTAATTGCAAACCCACTGTTCGTTAATGCAGTGCCGTGATGACGGTTAATTCCTGAAACGATTTGCAATTTCGATGTTACCGAAACTGACCGACATTTTCGTCATATTCCAAACCTGTCTCCAATATTTTCGTAATTATCCCAACGAACGAAGTTCGTTAGGGATATAGTGAAGCCCTCCGTCCGTCCGTCAGTCTGTCAGTCCGTCAGTCAGTCAGTCCGTCCGTCTGTCCGAAAGATAACTCAAATACTAGTTGACAGATTTTCTTCATATTTAGTGGAAAGATGTATATTGGTGAATAGTTTTACGCAAAAAAAAATAATTTCAAGATGGCCGCCGCTTAAAAAATGTCGGGACTTTTTCGCAAAAATCATAAATTTTTCATTCTAAACCAAAGTAATTAATATTATTGTTTGAAATTTTGGAAGTGTATTCACAACATTTATCTATTTCACATATATTCCGTGTTTTTCATCCTGACCCCCAGGGGCCATGTATGGGGGGACAGGAAAACAGAAATTTTCGCTAATTTTTAGATCTTTCTGAAGTATAGCTTTATTATACTCAAATGAAAGGCAATTAAGAGTGGATTGCAAATATTGTATCTTTTTTCTGATTCGAGCCTCGTAAAATTCAAAATGGCCGTCTAATGTATGATTTCGCAGCAATTTTTCGATCCCTTCAAAGTATGGCTATATTATACTCAAATTGAAGGAATTTTAGAGTAGATCACAATTATGGTATTATTTTTCAGATTGACCTCTACTAATTCAAAATGGCTGCTTTGCAGGAATTCGCAATTCTAAAATCTAATTTTTTCATTTTCAACCAAAGTAATGAGTATAATTGATTGGAATTCGGTAATTGAAATTTTGTTCGTTGGGATTTGCTACTCCGCGGAGTTGCCGTTATCTAGTTATGCATCAATAGGGTCTAAGGGGGATACGGGACGGGGTGTATGTGTTTATAAGGTATGTATGCATGTTTGAATCACATTCTTTGATTGCCATGTTTTCAGGGTTTAATTTGTTCCACTTGTCGAAACCTGCTGAACGATTAAATTAACGCATCAAAGGCAAAATGGTCATGGAGGTTAGACCTAGCCGGGCCATAACACATGTCAGATAAGAAACGAGGCCCGGGCTAGGTCTAATGTTGTTGGACTAAGTCACACCTGACCACTTTTTGAAAAAATGAAAATATAAAATGCAGATGAATGTGTTAGCAAGAAAATGAAGCAAGATCTGTGGTCAGGTGTTACTATATTTGCACATAGCCATCTTTAGATAGATGGCTATGCATATGTTGATATTCCCAGCCCATGTTACTTTGTGGAAGTCCACCAAACATAATTATAAAAGCTATGAAAATTACATGCTGTCGCACATGTAATAAATTCTTACCTCATTCTATTCAGTGCTCAATTTTCTCCATCCTAGTAAGTCATTATTCACATGTTATGCCGACTCTTCAAATGTTGAGGTGATTTTGGAGCCCGATAACGCCACAATGTGGATTGGCTCCAGAATGCAACATGACACGTGCCAGCAGAGAATAAGACTTTCACTTACCTTCCTGAAGTTATCTTACATACAGGTTACTCTCTCTGTTTCATTTTGTCGATCATAGAGGATATCATAATCACAGTACATTTATCTGATGTTAATTGTTTTACAATTTTCCATTTTTCTAGTAGAGGCAAATTTACGCTAGGACTGGAATGAATAGTAAATTCTCATTCCAAATGTTTGGCCAGCAAATAAAGTAGTCAGGAGATTTTGTATTTTGACTGTTTGATTTTTGTGAAATTTGTTAAAGCTGGATTTTCTGGTGCTTATCATCTCTGTTTGTCTGTTTGTCACCACCATCACAGATTTTGTAAGAATACATATTCAACATGAAACCTATATATAAGTAGGTCTACATGTAACCAAACCCTTCTGGCCCAGTTATCTACTCCTGACGTCGTAGATCTGGGCCAGACAAGGTCCAATGCTAAAAAGGGGGGATTTACTCCGGAAAAAACATGTCGCTGAATCATCACTTATTATTCATTCCCTATTAGCCATCCAACCAAAACATCGGGTACCATGTAAACCCAAGTATTTATTTGAAATAAAGGGAACATAACTTACGCGTAAATGTGGTGTTTTGTTTGTTATATTGATGTTGAAATGGGCACAACATTTCGTCAATATTTCGTCAGTTCTCCGCACCGAATAAAGTCACGTGATGTGACGTAACACGAGTGTGACGCGATAATTTTTAAACTTTCATGGAGCGAAAATACATTTCCCGGGAATCAATACATTCCAAATATTACGATTTGTTCAGCAGATTTGTTATCAAAACGTAGATTACTTTATAAAACAGACGTGTCTGTGTTGTATTTAAACTGGAAAGAAATATGGTGGACATTAAATACGATTTTTCAATTTGTTGAACTGACGGAATGTAGTACTGAGCGAAATAAGCAGCCGAGACTTCTCGATATTCTACGAGATCACGAACAGATTGCAGAAGAATTTTTCTTTTTGCTGCGTTTAGACGTTTCGTTCTTATTTATTAGCCGTCATCCAGCGATGGAAACCTAATATAAATACAAAGTTTGATACAAGGAACAAACACGTAAGTGATTTTTATGATGTGTATTCATTTATCAGCACGTATTATACATTGAAAAACCAGTGTGTTTTTTCCGGAGTAAATACCCCATTTTTTGCATTGGATCGAGTCTGGCCCAGATCTACGATATCGAGAGTAGATAACTGGGCCAGACGGGTTTGGTTAGTCTACATGTAGCTCACTGTGATCTTAGCCCAGATAGTGGCTGGTGTTGGTAGTTGATGTTCAGCGGACAATGTCTGTAACAAATGGCAGTTGGTGCCTGTAACAAATGGAAGGTGGTAACATTTTGCATGTTGATGCCTAAATGATGTTTCAATATGCCACATATATCATGACTATACGCTTGGTAACTTCATCAAACAGATTTACCAGTATTTATATTTATACATGTTTGAATGTTCACCACTACTGTATGTTCCTTATTTTAATGATCATTTTAGGCATTTTCAAAACTCGTTGAGTCGAAACAAATCAGTGGAAAACAAGATGATTCTGCCAATCAGTGGAGCTGCTGTCGAGCTATGTTTACAGATGGTACTTCAATACACAAGCACATTGCCATGGAACACAAGGATGATGTCAAGGCAACAACAGAAAGCTTTCTTATCAATGGCTGCGATGATTCCAAACTAAAAACTCTCAGAAAACTTCATACTATTGATACTATTGAAGAAACTCACTCAGTTCTACCTGAAAAAGTAACAAGTACAAGTGTGTTTCCATGGTTACCAGATGTTTCATCTAGTGAAGAGAGCAGTAAGGAAAAGTCTGATGATGCCAAAGGAACGATCCTATTATTTTACAAATACAGGTTTGTTGAATACGTTTTTGTTTAGTTATCCTATTGAACAGTTTAGGGGATATAAAAAATCCCTTCATCTGTACCTCTGTCTCTCCTTCCATCTTACAGTAACTCAAATATTTTTCTGGTCTCTGATATCAGTGAAACCTGATGTATGTGTAATAACAGTCTATTTGACTTAGAAATAACACAGACATATACTTCATATAATGTAGGTTCCTATTTTAATTCATAAAAATGAAGTGACTTTTGCATTTCACAAATTGCCTTTTCAGAGATGTTCCCAGTCCAGAGCATATGAAGTCATGGCAGCTTGAACTATGCCGTAGATTACACCTAATGGGGAAGGTAAGTTTTGTCTTTTGTCTTGCTTATTCATTGTTTATGTCCTTGTTTGTGATCAAGGAAGATTGGCTCCCAGGGTTCCAAATCGATATTTTGCCATATATGGAGTTATGTTGTGATTACGAAATTCAAAATGAAACAGCTGCCATTTTTTCACTTCAGAATTTGAATCGCAAGTTTTGGTTTTATTTCCAAAAACAAAATCACAACGGAAGTGATCAAGATATTAGTTGAAATCTTTTGGATCCCTGATTATGAATTTATACTTAGTTATAATGTCAGAAATAATGACATTTTGAATGTTGTCATCGATCAAAGTCAAGGTTGAATATCAAGTTGGAACCCTGGAGGCCAATTCTCCTTGTTTATGATTTAGTCGCAGAACAGAATTATGATCTCGTGGACTAAAAATGTTTAACCTAATGACAGATTTCGTATAATATACAGTTTTATTGCAAAATAAGAAATTATATAAAAGTAACATTTAATCAAAAGATGTATGTATATTTTTGTGAAGGAAGTCTTGTGCACCAAATCCAAATGAACTGATTAACCTATAGCTACATTCAGCCCAAATACTGGAATGAACACATACTATAATATGACAAACAGTACATTATTACATAATACATATCAAATGTGTACCCTGCGTGCAGAGTCTAGTTAAACTAGACTCTGCCTAGTAGAGACCATATTACAGTTTAGTAGCCCCGCCCCCACAATGTTTACCGGTGACAGTTTGGGTAATAAATCACTTTTGACCTACGCGCTGCCCTTTCTTCCACCAATCAGCGAGCTTGAAGAAACATACGCCAAATGCGTTCTAATTAAATATGCGCATGTCATTGGTCAATTCCGGGCTCAACGATGACGTCAGAAGGAATGACCATATATAGAACGTCGGTCAAATTTGGCCGACGAACACTGATTGGCGCGGTGAGTTCACAGGTTTATTTTAGTTTGAAAGAGTGAAGACGAAGCTCTCTTTTAAGAAGTGAAGTCAAACGAATGCAAAGGGTATCAAATGTGCAGATATATTATATTTACAGATACATTATGGATGCTATAAGATTTGCTTAGATTTTTTTATTTCTACAAAATCATGAAGTGTAGTAATGGGACAATGGGTCCCTCTGAAATGTTAGGTACAACTTCATGTTTTTGTACCTTATGTCATATTACTCTCTTCATTTTTAATTTTTTAAAGAAAAACTTGCCAAATATTAACATGTTGTTCCTTAGTGGACCTTGTTCTAGTATTGACTTAGTAGTCCTTACTATAACCATTGACTTAGTGGTCCTTAGTTTCATCGTTGTTTTGGTAATGACTTAGTGGTCCTTACTATAACCATGGTTCTGGTAATGACTTCCATAGAATTCATTACAAAGAGTATTCACAGAGGTATTGGTCTGAAAAATATTGTCCTTTGTTTTAGTATCCGATATGTAACCATTCCTGATATGAACTTTCTCAGGAAGGTCTATATCCAGTTCAACCGCTTTAAGATCATCATCATCCTTGGCCCAGTCTTGGACTTCCCCCTTACCAAATATGGTAAATACAATCAGGCCGAAGATCCCAATGGCAGCTCCCATGATGTAGGCTGCTTGCCATTCTTGACTTGTTCCCTACAATGATACATGTACACCATGTACTTCTAAACTATATATGAATACGGCTGGTTATCCTGTCATTTTAAAGAGTACTCAGTCCAGAGTAGTGATATCAACTTAATCTTATATACCTTTATAACTCATGAAATCATGTAAAACCAACAGAAACTTCATGAATTATCATATACTAGATATAGATATTTTTAAGCAAAATGAACAGACGATGATCTCCTTGGTTTTTTCCCAACAGAGAGCTCAATCCTAATTTTCCTTTTTTCTGGTGAAGTATCCCAATATTCCATTTTGCCTAGGTTACAATAAACATATTTTTAACCCATTTGCTTTAATCCTGGGGAAACCGCTGTTGACATTACATGAGCAACCGTAGAGGAATATACTTACATTTTGTGTTATCATACGTATAACAACAGGTGCAACAATTGCTGGAATCGTAGCAAATGTGTTTGTGATTCCAAATAGTACTCCTGCATACCTGCAATGTAGAATTAATGAAGATTAGTTCAACATTGTATCTGATTGACTCCATGTAAGATCTGAAGGATTTGGGTAGATATAGATTGATGGATTTTGATATAGTGGATATGAGTTTGATAGGAAACCCTTATAAAAAATGTTTCTTAGAATTGGCTACTATCTGGAATTGTTGTTGCTAGTTTTTGATACGTGTGGGGTAAATCATATAAAGGCCAGATGCAATGTCTATAAATAATATAATGTATGCCTTTACATATTTTGTGTCACTATCATTTTAAAGATGCAGAGTCCAAGTCAGTTTTAGTACAAGAATCCATCCACACATCTGTCAGTCTATCTATCTACCCAAAGTCTATCTTATGTTACACTATTAAAATGAATAACTAAGGGAAAAATCTGACTATACTAACTTTGGTGCAATATCTAGGTGGTTAACATTGTAAGCAGAATAACCAGGGCCATTGCCTAGAGCTGACAGAACTAGTAGAAATACAGCCCAAGATCTGTGCCGGCAATCTAGAAAGCCCATGATGATAGCACTGGTTGCTGCTATGATAACACCTACAAAATAAGACAATCTAGAAACCCCATGATAATAGTACTGGTTCTGTGACGATTATGCCTACAAAATAAGGTAATCTAGTAACCCATGATGATAGCACTGGTTGCTGTGACGATAACACCTACAAAATAAGGCAATCTAGAAAGCCCATGATGATTGCACTGGTTGCTGTGACGATTACATCTACAAAATAAGGCAATCTAGAAACCCCATGATGATAGCACTGGTTGCTGCGATGATTACACCTACAAAATAAGGTAATCTAGAAAGCCCATGATGATAGCACTGGTTGCTGCTATGATAACACCTACAAAATAAGACAATCTAGAAACCCCATGATAATAGTACTGGTTCTGTGACGATTATGCCTACAAAATAAGGTAATCTAGTAACCCATGATGATAGCACTGGTTGCTGCTATGATAACACCTACAAAATAAGGCAATCTAGAAACCCCATGATAATAGTACTGGTTCTGTGACGATTATGCCTACAAAATAAGGTAATCTAGTAACCCATGATGATAGCACTGGTTGCTGCGATGATTACACCTACAAAATAAGGTAATCTAGTAACCCATGATGATAGCACTGGTTGCTGTGACGATAACACCTACAAAATAAGGCAATCTAGAAACCCCATGATAATAGTACTGGTTCTGTGACGATTATGCCTACAAAATAAGGTAATCTAGTAACCCATGATGATAGCACTGGTTGCTGTGACGATAACACCTACAAAATAAGGCAATCTAGAAAGCCCATGATGATTGCACTGGTTGCTGTGACGATTACATCTACAAAATAAGGCAATCTAGAAACCCCATGATGATAGCACTGGTTGCTGCGATGATTACACCTACAAAATAAGGTAATCTAGAAACCCCATTATGATAGCACTGGTTGCTGCGACGTTTACACCTACAAAATACGACAATCTAGAAAGCCCATGATAATAGTACTGGTTGCTGCGACAATTACACCTACAAAATAAGACAATCTAGAAAACCCATAATGATAGCACTGGTTGCTGCGACGATTACACCTACAAAATCAGGCAATCTAGAAAACCCATGATCAAAGCAGAGTGCCTGTTTTACTATATTCATTGGAAACTTGAGAATTGCTGATAAAAAATGTTTGAACCAAAGTAACATCTTCATATTAGATTTTGCAATTATTAACAAATTTTGCATAACAGATGATACTGTTTCTGATAATGACAGTGAAGGTTGGAGATATTTTGTTAATCTCGTACCTATGGCATAAAATGTTTTCCTAACTGCTGTTGTACTCATGTAGCCTTTCCTTCGAATATAGTCTGCAAGAACAGCGCATGTGACAGCTGAGGTGACAATTGTAAGAGCTAAACCTCCAGATAACACACCAATCTGCAATATCGATATCAAAATATGTTAGCTTTGTACATTTGTGTTTCTTTCTTTGTTGCTATGTTAAAATATGAGGTACACATGTTTGATATCTGGTTAATGATAGTGGTTCAAGTTGCGGGAAAATCTAGAGTTGACTCGAATTTGAAAAAGTAGACAAGAAGTTTGATTTCTTTTTTTTTCGTCCAAATTGATGACGAAAAGTGTATGAATTCATTTCTAAAACAGTTAATCAATAAAGAGACTCAACTATTTACTGTACCATTAATTATGATGGATTTTAGCGCAATCTTTATATATGCAGAGGTGTTCTCCATCTATATATCAGAAAAGAGAAAGTCAACCATCACATAAACCCACAAAATATTGGTGTTACATACTTGAAGGGGGTTGAACTGCAAGACTTCTGCAAGATATGTTGGTCCTACTGTTGTTACTGAGGCAGTTGACCAGTTAGCTGTCATATGTACAATCATCAAGGCTATTACAGCTTGTGATGTCAACATCCTTTTCCATGGTATATCACTTGGCTATGGACATTCAAATGTATATTTCAACAACATTTTCATAAAAAGTATGTTTAAGCTAATTTTCATAAAAAGCACATCTTGGCTAATTTTCATAAAAAGTTTTGACTGAGATAGCGAAATATGAGATATTTTTCATATTAACAATGTACCTTTAATTCTTTTGGGTCATATTGACCAATACTGTCTTCAATAAATTCTCTTTCTGCCTCTGAGATTCTAGGATGGTCTCTTGGGGAGTCATACCCATGGAACATCCACAGAAATAGCCACAATATACACAATATTCCTATAGAAATAGCCACAATATACACAGTATTCCTACAGAAATAGCCACAATATGCACAGTATTTCTTAAACTTAAACTTAAAACTTAAACAATATGCACAGTATTTCTACAGAAATAGCCACAATATAACAGTATCCCTACAGAAATAGCCACCATATGCAATTATTCCTTTAGAAATGGCCACAATATACACATTCCAGTATCCTTATAGGAATAGCCACAATATACACAGTATGTCTACAGAGATAGCCACAATATGCACAGTATTACTACAGAAAATCTGCAATACATACAATACAGTATTTCTATAGGAATAGCCACAATATACACAATATTCCTATAGAAATAGCCACAATATGCACACTATTCCTATAGAAATAGCTACAATATACACAGTATTCCTATAGAAAACCACAATATACACAGTATTCCTACAGAAATAGCCACAATATGCACAATATTCCTATAGAAATAGCCACAATATGGACAGTAATCCTATAGAAATAGCCACAATATGCACAGTATTCCTATAGAAATAGCCACAATATGCACAGTATTTCTATAGAAATAGCCTCAATATGCACAGTGTTCCCATAGAAATAGCCATAATATGCACAATATTCCTATAGAAGTAGCCACAATATGCACAATATTCCTATAGAAATAGCCACAATATGGACAGTATTCCTACAGAAATAGCCACAATATGCACATTATTCCTATAGAAATAGTCACAGTATTCCTATAGAAATAGTCACAATATATACAGTATTCTTACAGAAATAGCCACAATAATTTTTTTTTCCTTTTGTATAGCCCGTTATGGACAGTATTCCTATAGAAATAGCCACAATATGCACAGTATTCCTATAGAAATAGCCACAATATGCACAGTATTTCCATAGAAATAGCCACAATATACACAGTATTCTTATAGAAATAGCCACAATATGCACAGTATTCCTATAGAAGTAGCCACAATATGCACAGTATTCCCATAGAAATAGCCACAATATACACAGTATTCCTACAGAAATAGCCACAATATGCACATTATTCCTATAGAAATAGTCACATTATTCCTATAGAAATAGTCACAATATATACAGTATTCTTACAGAAATAGCCACAATAATTTTTTTTTCCTTTTGTATAAAATTGTCAATTTCAATAAAATTTGCCATTGTCATAGGTCAAGAAAAAAACAATGAAGAGTACAGAATAAATATCTATAGTTACCAAATACATAGAAGATTGAATCCCATCCTAGGGCTGCACATAGTATACCAGTTAAAATAGAGGCAACTAAGGCACCTACAGTAGATCCTATAATAAGAGTGCATAAAAAGAAGTTATTCACCAGGAGGGATTTGATATGGGGAACATCACAAGGATGTCTAAATATTGATATCATCCGAGGGATATTCCTCATATCATCCCGACAGGTGAATAACAACCTTATACCATGGTCAAGAGCAATATCTACCTTAAGTCCTCTGTTGAATAAGAGAAAAGAATGTTGGACTCTTAGGAATATTAAAGTTACATGTTATCCCGCCCCAACGTGTACTGAGAATTAGGGAAAAAGAAAAATGTGAAAATTAAGATTATTTTAAACCCAAAAATGAAAAATCATATTTCAATATTTCATCTGCTACTTACCCTGACTTGATATAATGACTAGTTTGGTTCTTTCAAACACTGGCGACCATTTAGACCAATGGGCCACATTAGCGGGAAATGTCACACCCTGTACAATACATTTAATTCATCTATAATTTTTAAAAAGTATTTAGAATGCAACTTCTTGAATAAAAGGCTACTTTTAGTAAAGGCTACTATATCATTGAACGGTCACAAATTGAAAGTCCTGCTTTATTATCAAATAGCTGTATTCAAGGTTAAAGTTACTGTCAACTTGATAAATTGCTTTTAAGAATGGCTTGCCTCAAGCCCTTGTATACCCTCATTGACTTGAATCTAAACTTTGAGATTATAAGATAAGCTGAAATACCATAGCTAGACCCTGGATGGTCCTAAGGGTGATGATAATGGCAGCGGAACCCATCCTTGGACCCCCCAGTCTAGTGAGAGGGGGTATAAGCACAGTGGTCAAACCAGCAATCGACATAGCGACGGCAAATATTTTCTTTGTACCCAACTTTGTGGCAAAAAAACCTCCAACTATCTGTGTTAGTATGTAGCCTATGTAGTAGCAACTGAGGACCCATCCTTGAGTCACACTGCTCCATTCAAACATTGCTCCCTAAGTAAGTGAACATGCAAAGAGACTAGTATAGTGTAATATATGGTGAAAAAGTAGTATAATGAGTACAATATTGGAAAATTGTTAAGTGATGGTCTGCCTGAGAAACTATTATTAAGCAAGGTTAAATGTCTTTGATTTACAGTAAAACCAGTCTTAAATCAGAACACCATTGGGACTGGCTAATAAGTTTCTGATTAGGAGGTGTTCAGATTTCAATATTTTTGAATGTGGGAGTCAATGGGAGGAAAAAGTGTTTTGAAATGGAAGGTGTTGGGATATACAGGTTTCATTTGTATCTCCCTAACCCTCCCAAAAATAAAATAGCAGTATGTAAGTTTACCGGCACTGATGCACCTGGTGTGCTAGGCCTTCTTTCGCCTTCACAGATGATCCTGTTAGTGACGTTCCTGGCCACTGTAGTCATGTTGGGAGGCAATCTGACCATACAAACCATACCAATAGCCATGTTCATACGGAGCCCAAACACAAAGAAGAAGGCAAGGCCAAGCACCAAGGCTTGCTTGAACCTGTATGAACTGAAGCCTGTTGGGACATGGTCGGGTACTACAAATTAAGTTTAAGTTTAAGTCATTTTAATCAATGCATCTAGGTTTGAATTGCATCTGAATAAAATTCTTGCTTCCTATTTCCAGTACTATTTTCGGTAGGATGTAAGATATGCAGTTATACTGTATCAATGTCACATTGATTTTGTTGAATTAGTGCTATAAAATAGGTACCTCACAAGAATATATGATTCAAAGATATTTATGTTTCGAAGAAACAGTTAATAATAGGGGTTGCTTTCAGATATTTTCCTTTGGAATTTAATCTCAAAAATCCCTTTTTATCAGAAGACACTGAAACCACATTTTTATTTGAGTTTACTTTGAGTTTTATATAAGTTCACTCATGGCCACTCAACGTTTAAAATAGACTGAATGTTCCATATTTGGGACTGGTAGTATTTTGTCAAAGGGTATATATGATGCAGCAATGATATTCATTCAGAATTTAGGAGGAAAGTTTCACTGAATTTGATTTGTAACATGTATCTATACTTCTTGATTTTTCTTCAGTTGATTGGATCAGACAATCCCCACCTCCTTAGCTTGTTATGTTTATATGTCAACTTACTCAGTTAATGGTGTCATCTCATCATATATGAATATTTCATTCATATCAAATAAGACCCATATTTCAACATAGATTTTTCTGAACTTTGAATCATCACAATGTTTATCTTCTATAAATAATACATATATCACTTTTGCATGCTCTTTTAGCGTCATAAAAATAAACTTAAACTTTTTAATTCAAGACCACTACAGCTCGGATTCCACATTTAGTTTTTATGTCAGCAACAGAAGTGGTTAGTTTAGTCTCCAATGTTTTTGTGGATTGTGTTTGGCAGTTGGTGGTTGGTGTTTGGGATCTGTAACAAATGACAGGTGGTGACATTTTGCATGTTAATATCTTGCAATTGTCTTTGTTGCATTCCATTATGTGTGTACTTGTGTGCATTGCATTGATATGATAAAAGACATTGCATATATGCTCTTGCATTACTAGTTTAAAAAGCCCAAATTGCACAAAGATCAAACCTTGCATCACAGAAATTTGCACACCAGGTGGAGTTATTTTCAGAATCTTGCATTACTACATACAGTCTGAGTTTTGCATTATAGGCATCATTTCATACAAAGTCTTACATATTACTGTAGTTGCATCTATATTTTGATGTTTTTCAAACAATCTAAAGTGAATTTCTTTATTCAAATAAATTCTCTTCAGCAATAATATATTATGATATGATATAATATAGTATAAAGAATACAAGGTTAAGAATCTCAATATCAAGAATTGGTTACTTTACAATCTGAATGAAATGTTAAAAAACTTACCTATGTAAAGTACCATGTTGCTATACTTGACTGACTTTCTTTCTTAGGTTTGCCTACAGTTTGAGAGATTCACCAACAGAACTACTTAGATTCCTATATTATTTAGTACCATGGCCTTGACCTTCACAAAATTGTCTGATATAATATTTTTAATGTGTCACTTTCATATCAACCCTGCGTTTAAAACATCTTGGTTGCACTGTGTCTGTCAAGGTAGGATGGAAAAACTGCATTTCTAGTGTTGAAGACAAATTAGAGATCATTTCACACCTGTATAATTTATAAATTATTCCTTGTTAATCCCCACAATTTCTCTCTTCTGCTTTGTTTTACACAATCACTTTTGACCAACATGGTATTAATAAACAGGATACCGTCATTTGTCATTTTGTTGGTAAACTTATAACTTGAGATAAGATGTTAATTTATAGCCGCCTAGTATATACAGTGCTCTGATACATAGTTATTAAAAATACATAAAACAACATAATATGATATGTCTTTAGAATTGTGTTAGTTTAATTAAGAGGTTAGTTGGATTTATTTTAATTTCTGCAGAATGACATTTATCATTTTGTTTAGGAACATCAAATTCTGATATGTGACTCCATTGATTTATTTGCTTGTGAACATTTGAGGTTTAATAAAAAAAGTAAGGAGCATTTGATAACTTACATTATTTGTTAGGTGCTTATATTTTGACCCGTCCCGTGAAGTTTAAGTACATTTGTCTTAGTACATGTGTTCTTGATTTTCTCAAACTTGACATCCCTACATGTACATGTATGTGGCTTATGTTAAGTATAAGGTATTTAAATAATACTGGTATTAAAGCACTTCTCTAAAAATGACTTGATTCCTTTTCAGAACCTATTCATGAATCATTTTCAAAACCTTTTCATGAATCATTTTCAAAAACCTTTTTATGAATCCTTTTCAAAACCTTTTTATGAATCCTTTTCAAAAACTTTTCATGAATCCTTTTGAGAACCTTTTCATGAATCTTTTTCAAAACCTTTTTTGTGAATTATTGTCAAAACCTTTTTGTGAATCATTTGAAAACCTTTTCATGAATCCTTTTCAAAACCTCTGTTTTGGAAATTGATATTATGTTCCCCATAAAACTCTGGGCTCAGTGTGTTCACAGTCACAGAATTATGTATGGTGAAAACGTCCTGATCACCATCTGACTTTATTGTATCTTCTACGAGTTTTAAGTCATTGTTGTCATCATCTAGTTTTGCCCATGGTAAAACTTCCCCCTTTGCAAATAGCAGGAAGATGACGAGGCTAAATATGCCGATACTTGCGCTGAGAATATAGACACTTTGCCATTCTTCAAGTGTGCCCTGAAATCAGAAATAGCTAGCAGTCCAGACGATGTTTTACTGATGCTATTGTTCTGGTATATGGGTCCCATTTCATTTCGCAAATTTTATTTTGTAAATCTTTTCAAAACCTCTTCATGAATCCTTTTTAAAACCTTTTCCTGAATCCTTTTCAAAACATATTTCTGAATCCTTTTCAAAACTTTTCCATGAATCCTTTTTAAAACCTTTTCCTTAATCTTTTTCAAAACCTTTTTATGAATCCTTTTTAAAACCTTCAGTGAATCCTTTTCAAAACCTTTTCATGAATCCTTTTCAAAAAAAACTTGTGAATCTTTTCAAAACCTCTTCATGAATCCTTTTGAAAAAAAACTTTTTATGAATCTTTTTCAAAACCTATTTGTGAATCCTTTTCAAAACCTTTTCATAAATCCTTTTCAAAACCTTTTATGGATCTTTTTCAAAACCTATTTGTGAATCCTTTTCAAAACCTTTTCATAAATCCTTTTCAAAACCTTTTAGTGAATCCTTTTCAAAACCTTTTCATGAATCCTTTTTCAAAACCTTTTTATGAATCATTTTCAAAACCTTTTTGTGAATCACTTGAAAACCTTTTCATGAATCATTTTCAAAACCTCTGTTTTGGAAGTTTATATTATGTTCCCCATAAAACTCTGGGCTCAGGGTGTTTACAGTCACAGAATTATGTATGCTGAAAACTTCTTGATCACCATCTGACTTTATTGTATCTTCCACTAGTTCTAAGTCTTTGTTGTCATCATCTAGTTTTGCCCATGGTAAAACTTCCCCCTGAGCAAATAGCAGGAAGATGATGAGGCCAAATATGCCGATGCTTGCGCTGAGAATATAGACACTTCGCCATTCTTCAAGTGTGCCCTGAAATCAGAAATAGCTAGCAGTCGATACAATGTTTTACTGATGCTATTGTTCTGGTATATGGGTCCCATTTCATTGATTATATGGCAAAGCACCTTGAGATTTAAGGTTTTTATCAACACAAGGAAACTTTATCATAGACATCTCCTCATTGGACATGCCTTATGATAAAAGACTATTGAATCATGAGCAATCTCCAAGTCTCCAAGAAGAAACAAGTTTATATTTACTTATCAGAATTATCAAAACACTGTTAGGACCTAATTATTTCTTACATCCTTATCAATTAAAGTTATGATATTATAAAAGAGAATTGTTATCACTTACATTTTGAGTCATAGTTTTGATAACAATTGGTGCTATAGCACCAGATACAGTAGCAAATGTGCTTGTTATTCCACTGATTATACCTGCATATCTGAAATATGTACAAATTAGAACATAGGTTAAACCATTGCCATCAATCCTGTAAAGACAAACATAAGGTGAAGTACCACATTGACTTTTTATGGCTTGCCATGTATATACATTTTTTCACTTACTTTGGTCATTTGAAAGGCTTGGTGCAAAGGGCCTTAGCCTATAAACACTTTCCTTATACTGTATCTAGTGTTCTAACATGGAAGGTTGCATACAAGGGATATTAACCTGTATATGAACCTTGGTGCTATGTCTAGAGCATTAACATGGAAGGCTGCATATGATGGTCCTGAACCCACAGCAGATAAGATAAGCAGTGAGATGGCTGCAGTCCTGTGACGACAATCTAAGAACCCCATAATCACAGCACTTGTTGCTGGTATGATAGAACCTAAAAAAAGACAAAATTGTTTACGACTGGATGTTGGCCCATCAGGTCTGTATGGTTGATGACTCAAATACTGATGGACTGTTTTTTGAATATTTTATAGGTGTATGCCATTTATGTATAGTTGATATGTACAGGTCAGATTATTTTTGAAAATACATGTAAATATGTCTGATATGGCAGCCATTTTGGAAAATGTCTGCCAATTTAAATTGTGGTATGAGTTTTATATTAACCCCAGTGTTACAATTAGTAGCATAGATACCTGTAGCCTGGAATATCTTTCTAGTTGCCACTGTAGAGAGAATTCTCCGACGTCTAAGGAAGTCAGCCACTAATGAGGAAATAATGGTTGATGTTACCATTATAAGCGCAATGCTGCCTGATAGTAACCCTATCTGAAATAAAGAATTATAATAGAGACTATTTAGTTTTGCATACATTTAGATATATTTAAGTGAAATGATGAACGTCTCACTTTCAAAGTGCAACCAAATGGGCCAAATTGAGAAAAACACTTGTTGACAATAAAAGGGCTGTCAAGTATCACTCAAACTGTTTTATTTTTGTCACGCAAAACATCTACCTCAACTTGAAATCTTAAATAACAACAATTGAGACATCTTGCCCAAGACAACTTTTACAAGCTGGTTTGTCTCATCTTGTCAGCAATAATGATTTAGTGTCATGGCTTTTGGCATAGCTGTGTTTACCTGTAGAGGGGTAAGCTGTAGGATCTCTCTGAGATAAGTTGGTCCCACTGTTGTTATGGACACTGTTGCCCAGTTAGCACACATGGCTATTACCAAAATAGACAGAACTGCTGGACACATCAGGATCTTCTTCCAGGGGATTTCACTTGTCTGTGTAGAAGAATGATTGTTACAATTACGTGATGTCTGGTTCAGTAACCTCACCTGATATTCTCATTGTCTGCTTGTAGAAGTAGAGAAATGGGGAAGTGGCAATATATTTTTAGGTGTAACCCTGTAACTTATGAGATGGAAGTTACGGTAAAGAGAAGTGAGAATAAGCCGTCATGCTTCATTTTTAGAATTAGATAAAATGTGCCACTCGTTAAAAAATTAAAGTGATCAGTGTGGACTGGTGTTTTTTCACAACTAAAAGGATTTGGTTCCTTATTAGTCATTCACTGGAGAAACGTAATTAATGTTCAAGATTATTTAGCCAAGGAGGTACAATATAAATAATTGTAAAGTTTCTGTCTTCACCTTGATTGGTGTTGTTTTTCCAATGCTGTCTTCTATGAAATCTCTCTCAGCCTTGGAAATTCTAGGATGATCTCTTGGGGTGTCAAATACATGGAAGAGCCAAAGGAATAACCAGAGAATACAAGATAAACCTGAGGAACAGTGTACATGTAGACTAGTTGATGTGTAGGCTTTGATTGGTGGCAAAGATGTATATGTTCGAAGGTATCAAATGATTTACTGATAACGTGGTTCTGTTGATGCTGTTTTCAAAACAATCATGTTTATTTGTACATAATAAGTAGACATATATGATGTAATATAACTCACCAAACACATAGAATATGGAAGTCCAGCTTGCCACTGTGCAAAGGATGCCAGAAGTGACCAATGTCACAAGTGCACCTATTGTAGATCCTGGAAGCAATGATACACATGCAAATACAAATTACACATTTCAATGGATTACTTAATATATTAATTTCTATTAGTAATTATTTTTGTGTTTTTACAATTACCTTGAATTGATATGATAACAAGTTTAGTTCTTTCAAACACTGGTGCCCATTTAGACCAAAATACCATATTTGATGGTCCAGCTACGCCCTAAAATATTGTGTTTTAAAATTACATCATTATTTTATAATGGTTGATGATGGAAAACAATATAAATCCATATAGGATGTTTATCGTCTTTGTAATTTGCAAGTTGTGTGTTGACTCAATTTACAATTTCCTAGAAGGACTATTCGATCCAAATGGGTTTATGACTTTTCAATAACCGATTCTTACTTTCATACAACATTTTCATGCTCCTGTTCTTACCGTACTTAAACCTGTAATAACCCTAAGTGCAACCAATGCACCAAATCCTCCAGCACGAGTTACTTCTGGTGTCAGTACAGTTACTATACCAGCAGTTGTCATAGCGATACCTAGAACCTTCTTAGGACCAAACTTTGTGGCTGTGATGCCTCCAAAGATCTGGCTGATGAGCACTCCAAAATAGAAGCTGCTTAGTATCCAGCCTTGCTGTGAATTGTTCCATTCAAACTCAGCACCCTAAACATCCACATCAAAACATTTAAACATGGTTGAACTCAAGTTTGAAGTGGGTGAGGTGACGCTGACGCCAGTAATGACAATGATGTATCCGGGATGTATATTAATTGAATGTCATACTCACAGGGACTGACTGGCTGGGGTCTGAAGGTTGTGTATCCCCTTCACATATATAAAACTTTGAAGTAGCATTGCCAGTATTGTCAGTGGTAGTATTTGAGACTTTTACCATACACACAATGGCAATTGAGATGTTGATCTGTAGACCAAACACAAAGAAGAAGCCAAGCATGAGGACCAATGCCTGCTTCAGTCTGTAAGAGGAAAAGCCAGTTGGCACGTGTTCTGGTACTGTAAAAGATTGCTTATATATTGGTAGTGCTGTTATATCATATAGGAGAATTCACATGCAGCTGAACGTGATCTATAATAATACTTATTAACCACACCTGTATTACTAACACGTTTCTATCTAAATAGTCTAAGTGCGTATCCTGTTTTGAATCTCATGATTATTGTGTTATCTCAGTTTATTAATTCCTGGTAATATAATTTTATTGACTTATTATCCACTATATTTTTATTAATGTACTGAGTTACTACACTTATTTATTCAACCATTGCAGTTTGATGCAGTGTTCTGCCCCTTCATAGTTTTTAAAAATAGTCAATCTTTAAATCTATGAAATAAATACAATATTCTTACCTAGATACATTACCATCTTTGTCTTTTACAAGTGATCCTTTATTCGGTTTAATTTTTATTTCCTATAGGTTATGAATTATTTATTATTAAAAATATAAGTTTATGTATGTACTTCAAAGCTGAATCTGTGTTGGTTAGATAATTATCAGGATTTGCATAAAATGTCTGGTTGTTTCAAAAAAAGGAATATACAATGTATGTATGGAATTTATTGTACTCAAGAATATTTAATTATATTGACATGATTCTGTAAAGTTTCATTGCAATAATCATTTGTTGTATTTTTGCAAGGGGGTGTTTATCTTTTTTAGTATAATTATTAATTTTTTATAAGACAACATAACCTTGACTTGTTTAATATATAATAAATTATTCACTGTCATTACTGTACCTGTTGATTTTTAAGCAATTTAATTTGATCAAATTTGCTATACTGATTTTTTTACATTTAATTTAAAATCAACCTTTTTTGGTGACGCTTTCTAAAATAAAAGTCTCTCTGAACTGTCACTTTCACAGTAGGTCAGTATATACACTAAATATGTCCAAAAACATATTTCAGTACATGTACTTTCCTGGTTTTGAATAATATGTAACAAATCATTTTTTATTTATTAAAAGTAAGTTATGTAATAACACAAACAGAAACATGAATGTATGATTTTACCCCCTTCAAACTAAAATCAGTTCTTTTAAATTTGTGGGTGTGTATAATCATCCATCTATACATTGACCTTGTTTTATATCTAAGTCTATAAATTAGATAATTATTTTGTTTTATAAAGCTTTAAGTAGCATCACTGATAATGGATAATGATAATTTATGATATTATCTGACATTAAACAAACCCAATGGCAATGTGACATTTATACACGTTTACTGTAATTTGTACTACTTATGTAATTTTTCTGCTACTATGTTAACTAATGTTGTAGAACTCTCTTTCCCACACTTTCCATATTTGATGACTTTTTTAACTAGTGAATTGTTTGAACAGATATTGCGTGCTATTTTATTAATCATTCACTGAAATCTTTATTTTATGTATCTAAGGGATGTCACTATGTCATTTATAGTAATACAAAAAATGTCGCTTTTGAAATCATTAAGGAAATGCTGATTTTTTGACTAGACCAACTGAAAACTTCGAACACTTCTGGGTCAGAAGTGTTTGGAATAGCAAGTGTTCACATTTCAAGGTTTTATAACATGTATGTGTAAAGTCATTAGGAGGACAGAGAAAAAGTGTTAACATTGAGAGGTGTTCAGAAATTTCCTGGGGGGAGAACCCCCTAGACCCCCCTAAACGCTTGGTTTTAGCTTCTCTCAACTCTTGTTCCTGTGGTGGCATACTACTTAGAAAAATAGTGCTACGCCCATGGTAGTTTAGTCAAGATAGGATGATTAAGTTTTATGAATAAGCTTGTTGTGCCATCTTTTAATATGCAAAAAAGTTTTAATGAATTGATATATGTATTTTCAGGTGAGAGTTGGCAAGGAGGGAATCAATGCTACAGTTGGTGGTACCACGGCCAACACGGGGATATATACATCAGCTGTACTCAGTCATCCATGGTTTAATGACATGCTGCACACAGACTTCAAGGTAAATGTAGTAAAGAGAATTGAAAAATTAGCATGTGGTTGCAGCAATATTATTCTCTATTGATATATTGGGATGCATACAGAAGATAGCATCCCCAGATACACAATCTCTCATGTTATCGAGAAATAACTCCATGGTAAGTGTAGAAACAAGCTAAACATTAACATTGATATTTTTTCTCCTTTGAGATAGTGGGATGCATACAGAAGATACCATCCCCAGATACACTATATCTCTCATGTCATTGAGAAGTAACCGCATGGTTTTGCATTTTAGACAAGTCCTGGTTGTGCTGGAGACTTCCCTGATGGTTTGAAGGTTGGCATATATGAAGAGATAGTTCCAATGGGTATCAACCCTGCAGTAGTCAGTCACAAAGACACAGGTGACTAATGGCTTATAATCACCCATTGATACATTATTAAATCTTTAGAAATTAAACCCTTGAATACAATTCAACTTTGGCAAAACTTGAGCCACAGATGATATTTTACTTTCATTGGATGTAAGTTTCAGTGTTAGTTGAGGAAAGGTCTTGAGCTACATTTTCCAGGAATTTCTGGACAGAATATACTGACACATAAACACCAGAGGTGGTGATATATTATATATTATTTGTTATGGTCTCCAACTTTTTTTGATGGAGGTTGGTGTATGGCATCTGGTGAACAGCATATGTAACAAATGGCTGGTGGTGACATTTTGCATGTCAGCGCCTTGTTTCTATAAAGTTTTGGCCAGACAGTAATGCCTAATACTGTAGACACATGTAGCCTCAGCCCATGTCCCCAATCATCTTAGAACTCAAGATATTTATTTGATTTTGTGTGTTCTAAAATGTTTTCTGTGTTGCTTTTAGGTGTTCACCTTGATCCTGCAGAGTTCCATAAGGCCATAGAAGAACACTTGACTCACCAAACTGCAGAGAGGGATTCGGTGTTAGTGGACTGTAGGAACTTCTATGAGAGTAAGATTGTAAGTTAAAGCTTTCTACTATAAATGAGTAATGAACAAGAATGATGACTCACTCTGTTAAATTGAAATAAGAAAGCCAAATTTTGACAAAAGTCCGTCAGTTGATATGTCATTGTCCTTACAGCCTTATAGGTTTTGGAAGGAATAAAAGGGCCTATTTTTTATCCTAAAATACACAAAATTGAAATAGCTGTTTCTTTAGCCATCAAACATACATTATTACAAGCTTATGCAAATATTACACCTTGAAAATTGCTCACAAAATTATGTATGTTGAACATTACTCTATATTTTTAGGGTCAGTTTAAAGATGCCTTAGCCCCAGATATCCGTAAGTTTAGTTACTTCCCAGAATATGTGGACAAGAACCTAGATACATTCCGAGACAAGAATGTCTACATGTATTGTACTGGAGGCATCAGGTGTGAACGTGGTTCTGCCTACCTCAAAGCTAAGGTATGATGTTTGTAAGTTGCATGTTATTCCATTTTATACGGCAATGATTGAATAATTTATTTTTGGGCCACATATTTAGGTGAGCCTATGAGATAATTCGAGCATCTCTCTATTGGTCTGTTACCAAGGACTGCTATTTGTATTAGAGTCATACATACATTCATTTTGTGGCTGTCATTCATTTTCGCTTTTCATCACCATTTCCAAAGGCCTTTTTTAGGGAAATTGTGAACTTTTAATCATGGAATTTGAGCAAAATGTGGAGCTTTCTGTAAAAAGTTAATAGTGTTTGAGGACACACGGGCTGTAGGTCTTTACGGTTTAAAGCCCAGGACTCAATGGATTATAGGATGATTTAACTAGACATGAGTGGATTAAATCATTCACAATTTATTGAGTCATCTGCTTAAATTCTTTTCACATGCATATGCACATGTACATTATCACTAGCTACTTAATTTTATTATGTCCCCACCACATAGTGTGGGGCCATATTCCCCACCACATAGTATGGGGCCATATTGTCGGCCTAGGCGCGTCCGTCTGTCTGTCCGTCCGTCCGTCCGTCTGTCCGTACGTCCGGGAGTTTTCTCCAAAACCGCTACAGATATCACCTTCAAATTTTCAGGGATAACTTATGAGTGCATACAGATGTGGATGAAAATTTTTTAACTCGATACCTATACTCGATACCAATTTCAAATTTTCAGAGATGATTCTTAGTATGAAAATGTACAACTGATTAGTTTTTTGGCATTATGGGCAAATGTCAAGGCAGCTATTTTGGATTTTCTGTCCTAAAATCTTGTCTGTAAAGTCTTGTCTATGCATTTCCAGGTGAACCGTTCTGTAGATCAATTTCAAATTTTTAGGGATGATTCTTAGTATGAAAATCTAGATCTGATTAGTTTTTTGGCATTCTGGATAAATGTCAAGGCAGCCATTTTGGATTTTCCGTCTTAAAATCTTGCCTGTAAAGTCTTGTCTACGCGTTTTTAGGTGAAATGTTTGGTAGATCAATTTCAAATTTTCAGGGATGATTCTTAGTGTGAAAATCTACATCTGATTAGTTTTTTGGCATTCTGTGTAAATGTCATGGGAGCCATTTTGGATTTTCTGTCCTAAAATCTTGTCTGTAAAGTCTTGTCTACGCGTTTTCAGGTGAACCATTTGGTAGATCAATGTCATATTTTCAGGGATGATTCTTAGTATGAAAATCTAGGAACAGATTAGTTTTTTGACATTCTGGGTAAATGTCAAGGCAGCCATTTTGGATTTTCCATCCTAAAATCTTGTCTGTAAAGTCTTGTTTACATGTTTTCTAGTTAACTGTGTGACGGATCAATTAAAATTGTGTTGGTAAAGTCTTGTCTACTCATTTTCAGGATAACCATTTGATGGGATCACCCATTGGTGGGGACATTTTGTACACATTTGTGTTCTTGTATTTCATAGTGTTGTTATTTATATTTAGGGTGTGTGTAAAGAGGTGTACCAGCTTAATGGAGGTATCCATAAGTACTTAGAGTCCTACCCTGATGGCCTTTATAGGGGAAAACTGTTTGTCTTTGACAACAGGTACACCATCAGCTCCAATGATGACATATTGTCAAGTGAGTAATGACACTAACATTGCAACCTATTCACCATAAATATTATATTTGTGCTACTTTCTTGAGTGTTGGCAGAATCGGAGATAAATGTATGTAGAAGGTGACCAAATTGCAAGTAATACTTGACCTACTATTATATTCTTTACCTTCTCAAATATATCCCAAAAGATTGGAAATCCAAATATGAAAAATGAACACATAAATGTACAAATATTTAGTTTTCCTGGAATGACCCTTTACTCGGTATGACAAAGAATGAAAGCTCAAATTATTATTTAAATGGCAATTTAGCTATTTCAATTTTTTTCAGTCAACATATCCATAAAAATACTTTTTTAAACCATCTGAATTATATATGACAATTTTATATGGCAAAGTCACAACTTTTCTATACCACATTTTCAATACAAAATATGGAGGCTCAGAATGCAAAACTAATCCTTGTGGATGTTGTTACTTCCAGATTGTTTTTACTGTGCCAAGCTGTATGATAGCTACAAGCCCTGCAGCAGTGCCCATTGTCATATCCTGGTGCTCATATGTGAGGAATGTACAGCTAAGGGGTTCACAACTTGTTGCCCAAGGTGCCAACTCAATACAGACAATAACCTCACAAAGGAGGAGTGTGATTGTACCCATAATAGACCTCGAATACCAAAGGAGGACATTTCATGATTAAATGTGCAATATGGTTTTAATTAATGAAAAATGACAATTTATTGTATTCATATTTTGATGTACCATATGTTGTGTACAGTGTGGTAAAAATGGAAACCCTGTCACTATTGTCCCATATCTTTATCATTTTAGAGAATTACTCTCTGATATTTGGCACATTTGTACATCATTCAGTTGTCTACTGGCCTACTTATACACCTTATTTCATGACCATCAGACTGTTCACAATGTTACAGCACCTCACAAAGCCATATTGCACCATCAATGTTGGTTTATCAATACCACTGTATTATGGTGATAAAAAAGTTGATTGATGAAGAAAGTTACAGATCATTATGAGCTAAAGGCCCCATGTTAAATTTAAACCACTTTAACTTGTATTGTTTACTTACCCAAAGTTGTCAAAATGTGAATTTTGTTTTGAATTTCAACTGATACACTAATGTACTGTATACATCCTTCTGGCCATTTTCTGTTGAAAAAAAGAAATTGGTTTAAAAAATTAGTGAGATATTAACACAGAAAGGCAAGAAAAGGGTGTTTTGGCTCTCTAAAATCAATGGTAGCCCAATTATTATGAAAGTTATGTTTTATGAGATTTATGAGAAAAAATTGATAAAAAAATAAAACATCATGTTTGTTCAGTGCACTTTATCTCTCATTCTTGGTTGTTATGTCACCACCAGAAGTGGCATCATATTGCTAACATATATACTAGTAGTCTCCAATTTTTTTGTGGAAGGTGTTTGGCATTTAGTGGCTGGTGTTCGATAGTCGGCGTCTGTAGCAAATGGCAGATGGTGACATTTTGCATGTTAATAATGCCCTGTTATTTATACATTTATAGTATATGAAGAGGATATCCTATGATTTACGAGTGATATCATTTATTTATCCATGAGTGGATATCAATAATTTCTATAGTGAGTGGAGATGAATTATATCCATGAGTGGATAGAATTAATAGCCCTCTGTGTTTGCTCTTCAAGTGTTCTAAAATAGAAGTTCATGTACACTAAAATTTCACAAAAATAACGATATAACCACAGTAAAAAATAATTGGAAAACATTAATTCCTTAAAATATGCTTCTAATGTGTGTTAGGGGATGCTCAATTTGGATGTGGCAAATATATATCCATCTTGAAATATGACCCTCCAGGCCTTTGTAAATATTTATATTTTTCTCAGGATATACCCCATATCCAAAACCTCCAAAAACATGACCCTCATATACTGGTATACTGAATATTAGGTGTCACACTGACCCGAAGTCGACCCAAATCTCAGTTTGGTGGCTCGGGTTCGGTCACGAACAACTACTTACCAATTTTAGGTTGGGTCAGAACACTCAGGAATATCGTAAATTATCTTAAAATGCTTTATATTCCTGGCAAAAATTTCAAACCTCTTGTGTACGTATAAATTACGAACAGAAAATAATTGAAGTTCTTCTCTAATGATTTAAGTTTCTATCATTTGCAGGCTCAAACACTAGTCTTATAATGTGCCGTGTATTCACCCAGTCGTTTCAGTTGCTAGTACTAAATTCATTTTTCTGTTTTTCTGACCCGACCCGAAATTACCCGACCCCCACATTTTTTTGTGGCATGACCTGACCCGAAGAATATCTGACGTGTGACAACTCTACTGAATATACAGGCTTACATGGCCCAGAGCCAAAGTGAAGAATATATACTCATACTTAATGACTCAGATGTGAGTAGGTAGTTACCAGTTTCACCACTAGGTGACTCGTTCGGGTCAGATAGCATGGCGGGTATAGGAGAAAGTTCCCTTTAACTTAATATTCATCTGTTTTAGCGGTTCAATTTCCCTATCACCCTTATGTATCTAATAGTTATGCAATTGAAAATATGTCAAGTTAAAGAAAATAATATCTGTCCATTACAAGAAAAGATATTTAACTTTTTGTGATTTTATAACATGGGCCCTATGGGGAATCTCCCCGAACTAGAAATTGCATTTTCAAAAAAAAACTTTCAAAGTTGATAAACAATTTCTGTAACCATATTCTAGATGTATTTTTATTTGTAGATCTAGAATATGATATCTCTTTGACTGAATTCTGAATATTTAATGACGTAAATCAAGATTATATCTACTTGCATGTAGTCTATTATTTCACCCATCACATGAAATAAGATATGAAATACTACATGGGTTAAATTCACTTCTTTCCAATCAAACACAATTAAATGGTATATTGGTTCAGTTTTATCTGACCTCCCTGATGGCCTTGGTTTGGTGTTTAAGCTGGCACACAGCAACAGGAAGACAAATAAGATCAAACACATAGGCCTTGTGAGTGTCATTGAGGTGTTTATTCACGGTTATTCTTGTTTTGTTTGAAGAAATATGACAAAGTTAAAAACGAAACAAAGATTTTTTTAAAATTTCCCTGAAGGCCCTGAGTAACATTTTTTTCAATTTGAACATTTCAAAATACTCTACTCCTGGTAATTTTCGCGCGCTACAATATTTCGCACTTTTCGCGAGTTTTGAAAAATTCACGAAATATAATAGCAGCGAAATTCCTACAGTTCTAATTCGCGAAATTTGATAGTCGCGAAATTCCAAGGAAATTCCCGGAGATTTCAATGTTGACAATATTTTTGTACTTTTTTATTCAGACAGAAAATGTGAGACTAGGTATTTTCCCCAATACTGGCAATGCTTAAATAAATCTTGAAAACAAGGTTAAAAATGGATGCTCCCAGTAAGTTTTTATTATACTTTATAAACTATATGTTAAAATCCTGAATATAAGTAGCAACAGAGAATTATTTGGGTTTGCTTCTCTTATAACCTTCATTGTCTCAGCTTTCATCACTTAACTCTATGCGCCAACTGTTCATATACATTCAACCGTTAGTATCTATTTAACCAGTCAACTCAGATAAATAAATCTATTTGTGACTCTCGAATTCACTGTGCCATAAATCAATATATTTTCCTTTCATTTGTTGTTACGGACAAAACTGCAATTCTCAAAAGTAAAAAGCTGAATACGACAACACAACAATAGGACTCAGAATATGTCAAGGCAAAATGAAGCACAAGGCCACCAACATTAAGTTAGTTAAACATATCTGGAGAACTATTCTGATTTATCACTTTTAAGGCAGAAATGGGAGAATCACAAGCTCAATTAATCTACAACATTATTATATTATTTCAATCAATATTTTGATTAGTAAATACAGAACATATAGGGATAGCAGTTACTATGCTGTACTGACAATATGTTTATTACTGTTCGATTTGGAGGTAAGTCTTAGTTTACAACTTAATAATTAAATTAAATTAAAATTATAAAAAAAACATACTAAGTAGAAAACAAGGTTAAGGTCCTTGATATTCATATACATTAAATCAATTTTTGCTATTTTGACATGTTTGAATGAGATTGTATTATATCTTGTATGTTTGTTCTCTTTCATCTCAAACTAAAATCCATGAAAAGTGAGTTTAATGCTATTTATTCTAAAATTATTTTATCTATTTAAATAAAAATAATGACCTATATTTTTTCCAAAAGTAACTGAAGATACCATAGAAATTTACCCAACATCATTTTATCGGTATATTTAAATTATTTTGTATCATACTTTTTTACACTTCTTTAATATATTTCATGTGAGTGTTAATAAAGAAACCTTTCATTTTCATTTGTTATTGACCCATTAATGGGAAATAAGTTATCACCCTTTGACTTCTCATTTATATTACTGCCCCTTGTACTTTTATTTGTAAATGTCCATTGATTACATACAGCCTGACAACTGACCAGGAACAATTCAAGATTTTCTTAATGCAAATATTTGATAGAGTCAGGAAATGAGAAAGTTAATCAAGGAAACATTAATCTATAGTGAAATATCAATAGGTCATCTGTAGTATACATATATGCTATACACTAGACTGTGTGTCAGCAAACTGAATGATTACCAATACAGCTTAGTGAACAAATAGGCTAATAGAGAAGGAGATAAACCAGCAACTTAATTTTAGCCTATTAGTCTTGTGTTCCATCCATTAAAAAATGATAAATGATAAAATGGAATCTCATTTCTCCAATTAACAATTTAGAATGGTTCCAAGAACCTAGACCCAGGTCAGGTGTATTCAAAGACTTGTCACATGTCTCTATTAAATACAGTATCATTATTATAGCATGCCATTCACCTCTAAGCTGTTAAAACACATTACCTTACCAAATCAGAAAATAATTAATTACAACAATGCATCAATTTTGTTGAACTTTTTCAGATCACCAAACAGCCATATTCAACCCTAACTGTAGAACATACAACCTGCTCTCACATATAAAGGAGAAATGTGAATGTAACACTGCAGGTAAGTCATATATAAATGAGAAATGTGATTGTAAAGCTGCAGGTAAGTCACATATAAAAGGAGAAATGTGATTGTAACACTGCAGGTAAGTCATATATAAAAGAGAAATGTGATTGTAACACTGCAGGTAAGTCATATATAAAGGAGAAATGTGATTGTAACACTGCGGGTAAGTCATATATAAAGGAGAAATGTGATTGTAACACTGCAGGTAAGTCAAATATAAAGGGGAAATGTGATTGTAACACTGCAGGTAAGTCATATATAAAGGAGAAATGTGATTGTAACACTGCAGGTAAGTCAAATATAAAGGGGAAATGTGATTGTAACACTGCAGGTAAGTCAAATATAAAAGAGAAATGTGATTGTAACACTGCAGGTAAGTCATATATAAAGGAGAAATGTGATTGTAACACTGCAGGTAAGTCAAATATAAAGGGGAAATGTGATTGTAACACTGCAGGTAAGTCATATATAAATGAGAAATGTGATTGTAACACTGCAGGTAAGTCACATATAAATGAGAAATGTGATTGTAAAACTGCAGGTAAGTCACATATAAAGGGGAAATGTGATTGTAACACTGCAGGTAAGTCATATATTAAGGAGAAATGTGATTGTAACACAGCAGGTAAGTCATATATTAAGGAGAAATGTGATTGTAACACTGCAGGTAAGTTACATATAAAAGAGAAATGTGATTGTAACACTGCAGATAAGTTACATATAAAAGAGAAATGTGATTGTAACACAGCAGGTAAGTCATATATTAAGGAGAAATGTGATTGTAACACTGCAGGTAAGTCACTTATAAAGGGGAAATGTGATGGTAATATTGCAGGTAAGTCATATATAAAGGAGAAATGCGATTGTAACACTGCGGGTAAGTCATATATAAAGGGGAAATGTGATGGTAACACTGCAGGTAAGTCACATATAAAAGAGAAATGTGATGGTAATATTGCAGGTAAGTCATATATAAAGGAGAAATGCGATTGTAACACTGCGGGTAAGTCATATATAAAGGAGAAATGTGATTGTAACACAGCAGGTAAGTCATATATAAAGGAGAAATGTGATTGTAACACTGCAGGTAAGTCATATATAAAGGAGAAATGTGATTGTAACACTGCAGGTAAGTCATATATTAAGGAGAAATGTGATAGTAACACAGCAGGTAAGTCATATATAAAGGAGAAATGTGATTGTAACACAGCAGGTAAGTCATATATAAAGGAGAAATGTGATTGTAACACTGCGGGTAAGTCATATATAAAGGGGAAATGAGATTGTAACACTGCAGGTAAGTCATATATAAAGGAGAAATGTATTGTAACACTGCAGATAATTCATATATAAATGAGAAATGTGATTGTAAAACTGCAGGTAAGTCACATATAAAGGGGAAATGTGATTGTAACCACTGCAGGTAAGTCATATATAAAGGGGAAATGAGATTGAAACACTGCAGGTAAGTCATATATAAAGGAGAAATGTATTGTAACACTGCAGGTAAGTCATATATAAAGGGGAAATGAGATTGTAACACTGCAGGTAAGTCATATATAAAGGAGGAATGTGATTGTAACACTGCAGGTAAGTCATATAAAAGAGAAATGTGATTGTAACCACTGCAGGTAAGTCATATATAAAGGAGAAATGTGATTGTAAAACTGCAGGTAAGTCACATATAAATGAGAAATGTGATTGTAACCACTGCAGGTTAGTCATATATTAAGGAGAAATGTGATTGTAACACTGCAGGTAAGTCACATATAAAAGAGAAATGTGATTGTAACACTGCAGGTAAGTCATATGTAAAAGAGAAATGTGATTGTAACACTGCAGGTAAGTCATATATAACGGAGAAACGTGATTGTAACACTGCGGGTAAGTCATATATAATGGAGAAATGTGATTGTAACATTGCATGTAAATCTTATAAGGGAGAAATGTGATTGTAACACTGCACATTGTCTATGGAAATGACATCATACAACTTCATTCTATTCTTTCCTAATTAAATTAAATTGCTGCGCTTTCGTGGTGATGAAATTTTTACTTTCGTGGTATATTTCCTGTATCACATGCTGAAATGTGTAATAACTGATATCATCCTATGCCAAGTAGAGTTTTAGGGAGATAAGTTGGTAAGATATATCCCGTATCCTGATTTTGAGGTTTCCATATCCTGAACCTCCATATCTCCCGCCATATCTCCCGCTCCAGGGCATATCTTCCCGCTTCGAAAAAAAATTGAAAAAATAAGAAAAAAATTGAAAAAAAGAAATGTGAAAGAATGTGAATAAATAAAAAATTGAAAAAAGAAAAAAAATTGAAAAGATTGAAAAAAATAAAAAAATGTGAAAAAATTGAAGGAAAATTAGAAATCTCTACTTGGTATAGGATAAAGCAGTTATGTACGGTCGGTTTGGATATTGGGTTCATCCCTCGTGAGATATGCACATCTACCTTCGGTCCCTCAGGTAGATATGCATATCTCCCTCTGGATAAACCCCATATCCAAAACCTCCCAGTACATAACCCTTATATATCTGCCAATTAAATCAAGGGTATGGTCGATGGTATGTATTACATTGGTACATACCTTTATAAAATCAAGGGTATGGTCGATGGTATGTATTACATTGTTACATACCACAGATTCATGAATATACTGTTCGTTGGGATTTGCTACTCCGTGGAGTTGCTGACTTTTAGTTTGATTCTTTCTTTAAGGCTCCTAATGAAATGCATAATAATGTCTGTTATAGCACTATTTCTTTCAAGTTCTGAAAACCGAATTCCCTAATTCTGTCTATTCCAGTTGACATTGAACTGTGTGATCCTCAGGGCAACGTGAAATTTCTTCGAGACATTCCAGACAAAAGTGCCAGTGATGTTCTGCCAAAGAGAGAGAACTTTATCTTGTTGCAAGTTGAAAGTAAGCAAACTGTGTTACATCATAGTGATGGGCCAATAGGTCACATCATAACACACATATATTAAAAACATTCATATCCGACACCATAGATATTATATATTATGTACTTGCTCTAAAAGTGAAAGATATGTGATGTATTTGATCCATTGTAAAAAGTAATTTCATGTCTCTACTTCAATATTCTGAAAACAGCTACAGTGAAACCAGTATATCTGAACACCTCTCTAATCCGAACATCTCTAAATGTGATTACTTCTCCTTTGTCCTAAATATGTTTATGCCATTGACTCAGATGTTTTAGAAACATTGAAAAGTGAACACCTGTTTATCTGAACACTGTTGGCTGATCCCAGTGAGTGGTGTTCGAATTAGACAAGTTTTACTGGACAATTTTATCTACCCACTCATAGATTCAGAGATTTTATCAACATCTAAACAGTATAATTATCTCATAAAACATCCTAAGAGGCCCACCATCTGGGTTTCAGGGTATGTTATTTCCTAATACAGTAAAATCTGTATATCCAAAGACCTCTTAATCTGAATATCTCCTTTTTCTGTCCCATTTTTAATCTCCCATTGACTCACATGTTAAAAACCTTGAAATATGACCACCTGCTGATTTAAACATTTTTTAGCTGATCCATTTTATAGCTTTTGAATTTTGCTGTAATAAGATTTCTACCCTTGCCTTTTTGGATCATGTACAGCTTTGTACAAGTTACATCTCACAAGTACAATGTAAAATAAAATAATTGCAGAGACGGAGGCTGGACTGGTCAAATACAAACCACTTATTCAGGACAAAGATGTGCTCACTGATGAATTCTTGAGTAAGTATGAACCCTAATTCAAGAAAAAGATGTGCTTAGAATCTCGAAAATAAATAGCGAGTCTTTTATTTTACTTCATTAAATTTTTTGTCTCACATCTTATATCTTTTATTGACTCTTTGATGCCATAACAATGACATACCAGTCACTTCAATTTCTATTGATTTTCAGAAAGACTATCAAAGAAGGGTCGCCAGAACAGACCTGCAAGTCGGGGGAAACGTCAAAGTTCTGCCAAACGAAGTCCATCAAAAGAGAGCAAAAAGGAACTGAAGGTTGAGTTGGCAACCAGGCAGAGTAGAAGAGAAAGTCCCAACAGAACAGGAAATACAAAGAAAACCCCAAGAGGGAAAAAATCATAATCAAAACCAGAAAAGACTTTAAGAAAAGCTTTGCCAAAATATTTGGACATACTACTCCTTTAAGTTAAGATTTGCAAAATCATTATAATTTACCAGATAGCATAGACAATCAAACAAGAGCTGAATCAAAACAATTAAAAGCAAATGAAACATATTTAAAGTAGTATAAAACTATATACTACAAGTTATAATAAAATATCAGAATTAAGAATTAATTAAGATACAAGGTCCCAAGTACTGCACTACCCATTAATTCTAGAGAGACTTGTGTGATGTTTGAACAACTATGTATAAAAGCATGTTCATATGTGTAATTTTTACAGAAATGTAGTTTAAATGACAGCTTTCCTTTCGCCTCATTTTAGTTTATGTGATTATTTTACATTTTTGTTCAATGTACATATATACGCTTATATGCAAGAGTACTTATTTCTGGTTTATTAATACAGCTAAAAAAGACAATCATTTCAAACTGATTTCTGCTGGTGATGAAAATTTTATAAAAATACTCTTTCAACCACCATACTGTACCTATAGTACATGTACAGGGTGACCCCAAAAATGTCACCTTCCATTTTTGAAATAACTTTCTCAACAATGATCGAATCCTTTTGATTTCTCTTGAGTAGATGGAGTGCTCAATGGAGCAGTGATGAGGTTTAAGTTTGAGTTTTAATAAAAAAAGCTTTTTGCAAGTAGATTATGACAGCAGATATTTATTGAAGTAAACTTCCTATAGTTTCAAATAGTAGTAGATAATTTACAAGTGATTACATGTGCCAAAATTTAACTAAAATGTACAAAGTAGTTTAAATAAAATTTTAAAGAAAAGAATATACAGTTCATGTATGTTTGTTCACATTTAAGATTGCATGAACTCCATATGAAGCATAATATCGAACAATTTTGCTTGTTCCTTGCAAAGACTTCAACATAATTTTACACTTTGTTTGGATTGGGCAAGATGCACAATGGTATTTAATTTATTATTTATGCTTGCTATCCAACCCTTTGTCTATCCATGACAGAAGGGGGCTTTTTAATCAATGCTGATGACTATATGACTATATGCCACTCATATTCTCCATGTTTAACAGAGCTGTACTGAAGAGGAGCACAATGCTTACATCAATGAAGTTTGAGGAGATAATTAAATATCATCTCTTATCTTTATCCCCGTGAAAATCTCCTGAATTTCTAAAATCATCCAAAGCCTGGTCCATTTCATCTACAATAGTATCCCTCATTGCACTTTCAGTTCTTTTATGTTTCTTCTTGACATATTCTGCAAGTTCTTGCATTCCCTCATCATCTGGTTTGAATGGAAGGAAGAGTCCATAGTCATCTTCCTCTTCAACTGACATAGGGTCATACTCTGCCCCAACTGTCCATAAAGTCTCTAAGTCATAAAGTTCCCTGGTCTTCTGCAGGAATAAGTGTAGAGCTATGTTCCCTGAAAGTAAATGCTCTGGTACATTATTTATAATATTATTGAATGTATAAAAGAAATAGATTAAAAGCTTTACAAAATCATTCCAAGGGGCATTTTGCATTTCATCAAAAAAGTGCACTTTGTATACTCCCTTTTGTGAACTTAGCATGAATAAAATGTCCACTATGCACTATATTTGTTCTTAACTGGGCACTCTCTTTAATGTTGGTGAATGTGGATAATATCAAAATTTGCCAAATTGATGATAGGATTGAGCATGAATGTGAATAAATATTGGGACATCTTTCACTGTATTAATACTTTCAGTGATCCGGCCCTTCATGTGCAGCCAGTTTTTAGGCAAAAACTTAGAGTTACATTTTACCTAAATCTAAAGCCTTCCAATCTTTGCTATTCTCTCCTTCAATCTTCACACTCTGTTGATCACCCTTCCTTCTCTTCTTTTTGAACTGAAATTAGAACAAAGTACCATATTTCAAATAAAAAGAATCCTCAAATTCCAGTTAACTTAACAATAGTATCAGTAACAATAACTGACACCCAAATTATGAAGTAACTGAGCAATATTCAGTTACAAATTGCACTGAGGAACGAATGAATTGCCAAAAATCAAAGGAACTTGAACACTCTGGACAAAAGTCTAATACTAATTAACTTAAAATCGGCCAGACTTCATGTAAAAATCTGAACATATATGGCCAGTTCCAACCAGTGGCTTTTGGATTTGGCAAGTTTTATTGAACTTCAAACATTGCTTGTGTTTACCAATTGTTTGACTTCCTCTGCAATGGCTGTCAATTGTCTGGTAGATTTTGCTGTTCCAATGACAATCTGGTTAACATAGTTGTATTCCTTAGGAACATTTATAACACAAATGTCTTTGGTGTTTTCTGTTTCAAGTAGTTTCACAAGCTCGCCAATGTTATATACACCCTCTGTTCCCCCTAAAATAATAATAAAATAATGTAACTGGTTACAGTGGAACTACTAAGCACCTTGTAGAATCTGATTCTAGTATGCCTCTGAAATAAGGTGTATCTACCCCCAAATCATGGGGTAAAACAAGGAAATGATTGTAAAGAATACAAATGAGTTGGATATAAGAATTTCTACTAGGATTTTTGATGAGAACAAAATCCCTTATAAAAATCAAATACAGCTAGTTGTACAAAAAATCTCATTAAGGTGCTATGGAAGTTAACAGAAAATGACAAAACAGAGAGTGACAATTTTTTGAACAAAGATAACAGAGTTCTGTTTTGACCTCCAGTCAATTCAACTAGTTCCAAATACCATTTACAGGTCCAGGATCACAATATTCATGGTCAGAACATGATAATAACCTTTTCAGCCCTCTAAAAATGTGACTAAAAAATAGCTAAAGGAAGGAGGTAGGAAAGGTCACTGAACAGAATCTTTCGAATTTTTCAGAAAATGGGCCCAATATATTACTCTAAATGATACAATCTTTGAAAATGTGATATCAATCATATCATTCATAGAAAAAGAAAAAAAAATGATTTGAAAAGCGATCTATTTTCCTTTTTATGACCGCCATTTTTGTTTAAGACAATTTTCTAAAATTTCAAAGATTGTATCAGTAAGAGCATTATATTGGGCACATTTTCTGAAAAATTTGAAAGATTCTTTTCAGTGACCTTCCCTAGCTCCTACTTTTAGCTTTTTTTCAGTCACACTTTCAAAGGGCTAAAAATGTTATTTCATCATGTTTAGGGTCGTTCTGACCATGCACATTGTGATCCTGGGCCCCGTTTTTGTACCGTTCGTAGTAACGAACGTTCGTAAGTCCATTGTTTAATTTGCGAATTTCGCAAAGTTGCATTTTCGTAAGATTCGTAAAGTTACGAACGATTCGTAAAGGAGGAGGGAAGTTAGTGCAACAGATTTTGGACAGTCATATGTTTGGTTTTGGCAATTTCCTGGGGATTAAACAGGTGCATATGTTAGGCCAATGCATTACCTCCAGGAAAATCTCTTCTACAGATGAAAAAATAATTTCGACTTTGAGACAGGGTAGATGCAAACAACCCAGCCACATGTTTTTTCTGAAATGTTTTCCCGATTTTCGATCCCTTCCATCCTTACTTTTTTAATTTTTCTAGCATTAATATGTTGCGTTTTGACACACAGTTAATCCCTTAAAGAGAATAAATGATTCCTTTTAGATAAAGTGGAAAACAATATTTCCCATGTTATTTTCCCATAGGAAAAATCATTGCTTTCAGCTAAGTTTGGTCACCCATAATGGGTATCTTTAAAACCCCTGAAGGAATCACTTATTCCTTTAAAGTGGTTAACTATGTGTCAAAATGCAACATAGTGATGCAAGAAAAATTAAAAATTAAAAAAGCAGGGATGGAAGGGGTCGAAAATTAGGAAAACATTTCAGAAAAATCATGTGGGTGGGTTGTTTGCATCTACCCTGTCTCGAAGTCGAAATTATTTTATCATCTCTAGAAGTGATTTTCCTGGAGGTAATGCATTGGCCTAACATATGCAACTGCTTAAATCCTCAGAAAATGGCCAAAATCCAACATATGACTGTCCAAAATCTGTTGCGCTAACTTCCCTCCTCCTTTACGAAAATAGTGACGTCATGCCTGTTTTCGTTCGTAGATTTAATACCACCTCTGTCCCTTTCGTAACTTTGCGAACGGCCTCTTATTTATTCATTTATATTGTGATTTGTGACGTTTTGTCATTCTTAATCAGAGAACACAAAGGGCAACACAGTTATCAACGTATTATCAACCTATTTCAATATATATTTTAGTAGTTTTCATGGAATCTTTATTTTTATAAAGTTCTTATTGTATGACTCACTTTGGTTTTATTATTTTGATCAACCCTGTTTGTTGTACTATCTGTCCTGACAACTGTGTAATATGACGTCAACCAATTCGTAAATCTTACTCTAAACAATTGGAAAGTTACGAATGACTTACGAAAGCGTACAAAAATGATCCATTCGCAACTTTGTGAATTCGTAACTCATTCGTAACTTTTTAAATATTTACGAATTTACGAATTGCGAACGTTTGTTACTACGAACGGCACAAAAATGGACTCCTGGTCATGTAAATGATATGTCGAAATAGTTAAATTGACTGGAGGTCAAACCAGAACTTTGTTATCTTTGTTCAAAAAATGTCTAAAAATGCAAAATTTTTTGTCACTTCCTGTTTCGTCATTTCCTGTTAACTTCCATAGCACCTTAAAACGGAGGGCAATAGGATCCCAAAGCAAAATCTCTATTCCAAAAGGATTTGCTGAAAAAATCATACATTGAATATTATATTACAAATACACATACTTTCTAAACTGATAGGAATGACTCGTTCAACAACATTTTCATAGACGACGTCATGATCATCATCTATGAACTCCTCATAGTCGTAAGCATAGTTTTCTGAATTTTTAGATTCAGCACTGAAGGAACTGTTGTCATCATCTTTATTGTTTGATATATCCGAGACTCTTTCACTCAGATCATTCCTTTCTTCTTTTTCAGGTTCTTTTCTTCGTTGCTTTGCCTCATTTTCAAAGTCAGTGAATATTTCTTGAAGAATCGATTTAGTTTCTTGATCATTTTTTATAGTTGAATGGATGTCATCGCTTACACATAAGTATGGGCTGGTTGAAAGAAATCGTAACAAAGGTACATTATTGTCCGATATCTGACGAGATATTTTAGATCCACATTTTGCAATGATAGAGCTACAAGTTCCATTCCTCTGCCTGATGTAAGAACCACATGTCATCAATTTTTTAATGATGCTGTCATAGTTCTTGACAGAACATGATAAAACTTTCGCCATTGAAGTATGATATAAAAACAACTAACGTGACCAATACTTCAAGGACGCAAATCGCAAAATACTGCAAAAAAAGATATTTTTCATTCCAATTTTTTTTGAAATTTTCAGATTTCAAACGACCGACTTACGGCCTATTGAGGTACACATACTTCTTGAGAATACATCGTAATAAATCATAATTTGTTGATAATAAGATACAAGAATGAACAAAACATACTCTCCATTGATCAAAAGTATTAAATAATGTAACAAAAAGGATATATTTAACAATTTAAGCTAATAACGACAATCGGAAATGCACTTTTACAACATGGCGGCCATCGCTCAAAAATGTTGAGCGTCGCTCAAAATAGTTGGAATCTCTATATGTATAGGAAGATTTGCCACATATTGTGTATACAGAACAATGGATAAACAAACAATACATCTGATCCAGATACTGTCATTGAATAATTACTGGTGATTCTACGCAAAATTAGCAAAAATTCCAAAAGTGCTACTTCCGGGTTTGATTTTTTGAAAAAAACTTGATTGGAAACTTTTGTGGCAGTCAGACCAAAGTCCTCTAACCTACTTGGAATTATAAATCTCAGCAAACTAATATCAAAACGAGGCGTCGAAACTGAGGAATGGCTTCAATTGCGTGGATTCCTGCGATTTTTGCTCTGGCTACTTTTTACTTATACTGGCTATCAACCCACCTTCCAGATTTGACTGGTAACAATAAAAAGTGAGTGAAATAACTAAATTTATTATATCATTGCTAGAAATTGTGTGATTTGATTGGTCGAGTCAGTACCATGTGATCAAAAATACCATAACGTATTTCACAGCTCCCTCAATTTTAGGATAATAAAAGACGTATAGCCCGGCGTATTGCCCGCCCGGGAATTCTGACAACTAAACTGGACGAAAATAAAGTGTACCATTCAATGATACTTGTACGTAATTATGTTCACTTATGGATTAATGATATATTAATTGATTAAAATAAATGATCATAGGGAATGTCTAGCAATGATATAATAAAACAAATATTTCATTCTATGTTCGGGCAATACCTGTTGCACTTTCAATGATTTTTGCATCATGTATTTCCCTCGCCCTACGGGCTGCAGGCAATACATACCGCAAAAATCATTGAAAGATGAACAGGTATTGCCCTCCATAGAATGAAATATTTGCTTAGTATTGTTAATAAAAGTTCAATTTTGAATTTTGTATGATGTCGTATGATGTTGTATGTATGATTAAATTGGGAGGAATGAGTCGAATTATTACATAGAAAATGCTAATTCTTGCATTCAGAAAACATACAAATGTATGTTCTGAGTGACAATTCAAAATTTCATTGATAAGGAAATGATGTCACATTACATTGGATTTCCATCATAGCAGGCTTTGAGTATTACGTCATCAATATGTTTTGGATGGTATAGAAACATTCATATGACATTTGTTTGGGGAATTCCTAATAACGGCCAAAGGAATCTTATGATATCTTATGATGATATTCTTCAAAAACTCTGATCTGGAGAGCTATTCATGACTTTAAATTATTTTTTTCATTTGTTTGTTTGTTTTAGTTTTTCTCTGAAGTTTCCGTCCACATTAGATGATCTCCAGGAACTTTCTTCAGTGCTAGGCGAATACAAAGTTGAACACTACAATCTGGTATTCCTCTTGTTCTTCAGTGCATACCTCTACAAGCAGACATTTGCTATACCTGGCTCTGTTTTTCTGGTAAGATAATAATGATGCTTGAAATAATGCTTAAAATGCTCATGTTGAATAGTATATGTGACTGTTCTGATAATTTTAATATAACGAAAAAACTTGGGGTTGGTTATCAAGTTAATTTATGAGGTTATCCAAGTTTACATATAATTTACAACCACTTTCAGTTCTCCAACAGCACTGATTTTGATACCATTGGAAAGCTGATATTCAATTTCATCAAAATTCAAACATAGAAATCATCGGTCACATCTTACACTATTCACTGTGTTTTGTAGAACCTGCTGGCAGGGGCATTATTTGGAGTTTGGAAGGGTTTCCCAATATGCTGCTTTCTTACAGCCTTGGGAGCAACCTGTTGCTATCTTTTATCAAAGTACTGTGGTAAAGCACACATAGAAAGACATTTTACAGAGAAATTGAAAATACTTCAGTGTCGGGTAAGTTCATCTCCTAATAGTAGAACTAGTTATAGTCTCTATAGATACAGCCATCTATGTTCTCTTGGATCACGCTAATTTGACTTCTCCTGTGTTGTATTCTAGACTATTTATTCTGAATCTGTATTACATATTTAATTTTAAAAAGTAATGTATAACTTTTTGAACATTATTGTCTTGTACATTGTAATTTTGTTCCTTTGTTTAAAGTTTTCTATTTATATTTTTAGATTGAGGAGAATTCTGATAGTTTGATCTTCTTCCTGCTGTTTGTTAGGCTGTTCCCCATGTCACCTAATTGGATGCTGAACATTGCCTCCCCTATTCTCAACATACCAGTACACCTCTTTTTTATATCAGTGTTCATAGGTGAGTACATTCTCAACATACCAGTACACCTCTTCTTTATATCAGTGTTCATAGGTGAGTACATTCTCAACATACCAGTGCACCTCTTCTTCATATCAGTGTTCATATGTGAGTACATTCTCAACATACCAGTGCACCTCTTCTTTATATCAGTGTTCATAGGTGAGTACATTCTGAACATACCAGTACACATCTTCTTTATATCAATGTTCATAGGTGAGTACATTCTCAACATACCAGTACACCTCTTCTTTATATCAGTGTTCATAGGTGAGTACATTCTCAACATACCAGTACACCTCTTCTTTATATCAGTGTTCATAGGTGAGTACATTCTCAACATACCAGTACATCTCTTCTTTATATCTGTTCATAGGTGAGTACATTCTCAGCATACCAGTACACCTCTTCTTTATATCAGTGTTCATAGGTGAGTACATTCTCAACATACCAGTACACCTCTTCTTCATATCAGTGTTCATAGGTGAGTACATTCTCAACATACCAGTGCACATCTTCTTCATATCAGTGTTCATATGTGAGTACATTCTCATCATACCAGTACATCTCTTCTTTATATCAGTGTTCATAGGTGAGTACATTCTCAACATACCAGTACACCTCTTCTTTATATCAGTGTTCATAGGTGAGTACATTCTCAACATACCAGTACACCTCTTCTTTATATCAGTGTTCATAGGTGAGTACATTCTCAACATACCAGTACACCTCTTCTTTATATCAGTGTTCATAGGTGAGTACATTCTCAGCGTACCAGTACACCTCTTCTTTATATCAGTGTTCATAGGTGTGTACATTCTCAGCGTACCAGTACACCTCTTCTTTATATCAGTGTTCATAGGTGAGTACATTCTCAACATACCAGTACACCTCTTCTTTATATCAGTGTTCATAGGTGAGTTCATTCTTAACATACCAGTACACCTCTTCTTTATATCAGTGTTCATAGGTGAGTACATTCTCAGCATACCAGTACACCTCTTCTTTATATCAGTGTTCATAGGTGGAACATTCTCAGCATACCAGTACACCTCTTCTTTATATCAGTGTTCATAGGTGAGTACATTCTCAACATACCAGTTCACCTCTTCTTTATATCAGTGTTCATAGGTGAGTACATTCTCAACATACCAGTACACCTCTTCTTTATATCAGTGTTCATAGGTGAGTTCATTCTCAACATACCAGTACACCTCTTCTTTATATCAGTGTTCATAGGTGAGTACATTCTCAGCATACCAGTACACCTCTTCTTTATATCAGTGTTCATAGGTGAGTACATTCTCAGCATACCAGTACACCTCTTCTTTATATCAGTGTTCATAGGTGAGTACATTCTCAACATACCAGTTCACCTCTTCTTTATATCAGTGTTCATAGGTGAGTACATTCTCAGCATACCAGTACACTTCTTCTTTATATCAGTGTTCATAGGTGAGTACATTCTCAGCATACCAGTACATCTCTTCTTCAAATCAACATTCTTTGATGAATGGATTATGAACACTCTAGTGCACCCCATCTTATATCAGTGTTTATTTGATTTATTTATTTTAACAAAATTTTGGAATCTGATCTTATATTTTTCAGGCCTGATGCCATACAATTATATATGTGTGCAGACAGGGAGCATGTTGTCTGAGATTACCTCAGTTAATGACATATTTACAACAACCAGGATGATACAGCTGATTTGTATAGCCATGGTTGCTTTAGTACCAGGATATATCATAAGAAAGTACCATAGATCAAAGGAAGACCTGGGGACTTTAAATTCTGATAATATTGGTCCTCTAGAGAAGAGTTTGCGAAATGGAGTAGTGAAAACAGAATGATTGCAGGGTCCATGACAGATTGGCAGTAATGTGATAAAAGATAGATAATCTAGTCACTTATTGCAAACTTATGCAGGAAAGAATTATTTTTGCCTGATAATCTGGCATGGAAAAAAGTAACATTGATAATAAGAAGCTCACTCAGGACTGCGAATCAGTATTTTTAAGCTTTTTTTGTGTAAGATGGACTTTTTACAGTAAAATGTATACTTGACATGACAAAAAACAACCTTGTCGGTCCAACAAAAGGTAAAAGAGGGGCAATGATTTGTCAAAGATGGCGCCACTGCTGATACTGAGTGTTGGTAATTATGACCAAAACAATTTGAAATGATCACCACTTTTTGATGGTGACATGTTTTCTTCAAAATCTATTTTATTGTAACATATGAGACTTTTCCTTGATGTAGGCAGTTGGTTTTGTTGATTGGGGTAAAAGCCAGGTTTCATTGTAGAAAAATTGATCATTGAGTGGGCAAAATGTAACTTTAGTGTACATTAAGTCCAGGACTGAATAAATTGTGGACAATTTAAGCATGAGGATCTTGTATGCGACTGAACGAAGGAAGAATGCTGAATTCAAAGGCTAATACATGAGACAGGAGTGCATTAAATCACCTTTAATTTTTTGGTTTTACAAAAAATGATACTTGACACAACCCCTAAGCCTTAAAGTTAAAATTTTCATTGTTATAGTCTGTTTTATGGACATTTTATGTTAATGCCTTGTTAAGTAGTGCTGGATGTTCAGACCAGTTCAATTGAATGCATAATTTCAATAACTTGCAAGTACTTTTCAACAGTACAATCAGTATATAGAATAGCACAACTGGCAATAGTCCAAATTAAATAGTACACAAAGAAGAGCCAGAGATTTGTGCTTTTGTCTGCAGTGATTGGACTATTTAAGCGATCAAAATCTTACACGCATGTTACAGTATACTGTATGCCTTGTACATGTTGTATAATGCAAGTGACAATCTAGGGAAAATAAATGTACATTTCCATTTAAACAGATTTTTATCTCATTAAAACCATCAGGGTTTCTGACAATCCCACAGGGATTCGACTTGAATTGGTATATGGAATATGGTAGAGGCAGTCTCTAAATTGAAGATTTGAGATGTAATGACATGCACTTCTTTACAATTGTATTTGAAATTTGGTATATCAGTCTCATTGAATCTTATGTTATGCTCTAACAAGGACTACCAGCTTGATCTAGAGAAAGGTCAAAGATTTAACAAACAATATTATTTGCTGTACATTATTTATTCTATAATACATGATTGAACTTTTGTACAGATTCATATTTTATTTCTGTTAAAAATATTCTCACCAATTAAAGACTCAAAATTTCTATTCGATAATTTTCATTGTATTATACCTCCAGTGGTTCAAAACTCACCATGGACATAAACAGTCTTAAAGCCCATGCTTTCACATAAATCAAAAGAATATAAGTAGAACTATGTTTTCTTTCATTTTAACATATGACACACATTCCTTCGCACCTGATTAATTTTTTCAATTACAAGAAAAATTAGATAATGGCAATGCCAAGGCATAGCAAATCCCATCTAACATCTCAACAAGCCTCATACAAGACTACTTAACTCAAAATGGCCACCGTACACAGTACCAGAAAAATTATTGAAAGATAAAGCTTGATGCTTGCATGTATATCAACAAAATCACTGCTTCATTATATTTGAATTTTTCACAAAAGATTGAATTGGCACAGACCAAAATGGCTACCTTATTAGATTTATTGTCAAAAGACAAATGACATTGAGTTATTGTCCAGACAGATTAACAAGTGGTCAGACAGTAAAAACACAGGCATATTTCATATTCTATATCCCCACGAACATTATTCGATGGGATAAGTGTACAACAGGAAACCATGCACGGCTTGCATCATATTTAAAATATTGTTTGATAGATGAATCATTGCGTAAGATTACACTAGAGAAATACAAGCTTGCCATTAACTACAATGAAATCTTACTAATAATTAATATTAGCCAAAAAATATAAATGGCAAGCCTGTAGTCAAAATCATCAACAATTGGTAGAGTGTATTTTAAAGAAAATTCCTGAACACCCTGGAATGTTTTGCAATTGATTATAATTATAACCGTGTTGTGCAAAAAAGAATGATCATGATTATACCCATATCATGTAATTAGAATCATCTTACTAAAAATGCACAAAATGATGCTACACAAAATGCAAACAGAATTTAATAGATGATCAAGACAAAGAAAACAGCATGACAGTGTAATATCAACCTCATACTTCTCGAAACAGAATTTTAATGAATCAGAAAAGATAAAAGAACAGTCCACACCAGTTCAAGTTCATTCTGGTAAATTGTCAGGATATACAAGGGTTGTCCAAAAAGTGTTGACTTTTTGATTCTATATGTACTTGTAGATATACATAAATTACAACTACAGAAAACTTTTTATCAATTTTATAGAGCCACAAACTACATATTCATAAAGACTAAGATGTGATACAATTTAGTATACTAATATATGGGGAAGGTGTACATGTACAGTAATACTATTTATTTTCTTGTTCAAAATCACCAGTTTTTACATTATAAAGATAGACTAGAAATAACATAGATGCCTTTTAAAGCTGGAATATAATGACCAGTTTGATAGTAGAGTAAATATATATCTAATATATGAGGGCTGTTCAATAAGTAATCTTTCTAAATGTATGTCAAGTAGAATATCAAGTGAATCAACATGCATCTCTCAGACACACATCAGGAGGTCTTAAACATGACTCAGGTTATCCCACCTACATAGACATTACAACTTATTGGTCACCCCTCGTATATTCAAATGACAGAGTCATGCATCATTCAGTGTTCAACACTTCATCTACAGTAACATCAATTGGCCAGCAATTAATGATCCAAAATAAACTCTAAACAGCTAAATAGTAAATATCATCGGGGCAAAACACCATATATAGCGCCCAAGAATTGTAATATCAATGGGGCAAAATGTTAATATGTTAAGCCTCAAACAAAATAACAGGTACATGATAAACATATATTATTTAATAATAAGATATAACGTAATACGGTGTTCAGGGATGTGAAGTTTGGCAAACAAACAGAAGGCATTGCCCAAATTGTTTTTTTACAAAATGTGCCACAGCCTCTAGTAAAACTAAGTTATCCTCCAAACACAGGAGTCCAGATTTCACTCCTCTTGGGGAATTACAACTCTAGATACCTTGTTAGCAGAGGTTAAAGAAAGAACACAGCTATCCTTTACTCAATGTACATGATTGTCTCCAGATTTAAAAGTGCACAGCACAATATTTCATGAGTGTACAGCTCAATATTTCATGAGTGTAGAGCACAATATTTCATGAGTGTACAGCACAATATTTCATGAGTATACAATACTCCAAGAATACCCACTTACGTAAGGACATGTGCTGACAATCTTGAGATTACTCACAGAGTCACATATGGAAATGAAAACATGTGAAACAAATGTCATTCCATTTTAAGAAGACCTGTCATGTACAATGTGCAAAGTTAAAAATAAGCACTTAAAATCAGTTTAGCTTTTCATCTGAAAGTTGCCAAACAATTGCACAAGGGGATTTTGTTGAGAAAATATGAAAGTCCTGGAAAAGTAAACTCAATGAGTGTATTTCAATTTAACTATCATTGTGTGCCATGTGCACAGCTTTGGCAAAGGTTTACTCAACACTTGCACATGTCTGCTTTCCAGCCACACTATGAGCCAACTTGAAGCTCCCTTCTCTGACACCAGTCTCTCCTTATTGTCAACAAACTCATTTATAGTGTCACCAGTCTCTCCTTATTGTCAACAAACTAATTTATAGTGTCACCAGTCTCTCCTTATTGTCAACAAACTCATTTATAGTGTCACCAGTCTCTCCTTATTGTCAACAAACTCATTTATAGTGTCACCAGTCTCTTCATATTGTCTCATTATACTGCCACCAGTCTCTAAGTCTGAACTGTCGCCAGTCTCAATGCTCCCTTAACTGTCACCAGTTTCTCTGTTGTTAACAGTCTCATTATACTGTCACCAGTCTCTAAGTCTAAACTGTCTCCTCTAACTGTCACCGGTCTATCTTTTAACTGTCACTCCCTATACTGTTATCAGTCTCTCTATACTGACATAAGTTGTCTTATAGGCACCAGGAGATCAAGCGTCTCCAACAAAGTATCCAGGTCAATACACTGGATCCAAAATCAATTATGGATCAACGATTGACAAGGATCGAAATTTAATATGGAAGATCATATAAGGAGACAGCTTTACCTAACTGTTCATTGCATCACAAAAATTGTATTCGTTCTGAATCTGTCATCAACTACTATTAGTCTGCATTCCAATGAAATCTAACATTGACAGATTCCATCCTAAGCCTTCATGTAGAAATTCCTACATATAATTGATGAACTTTACATGCCCTTATCATATCAATTTCCTGAAAGGGCCTGTCCCGGGCCTAGGGCGATCTTCATTTTGATAGACTCTTATATTACTTGGTATGCTTTGGCTGTCTGTTTACCAAACATTTTCTAATGTCCGCTCAGAGCTTCGGGACTTGTGCACGGCTGACGAGACAGTGATATCAGAGCAATCGTCAGAGTCTGAACTGCTCTCATTGGCTAGCTGATTCTGAAAGTAAAAGACAAACAATTAAATGTATTAATTGAATTAGATCTGTTTACATATCTGTAAACTATTTTTAGATCCTGTTTCTGATGTTTGTGAGGGTATTCCTGGCATTAACAACCAAATATCTTGACAGAACTGATGCAAACCTCATGTATTTAAACCTATATATCTGAATTATAAACATACTAGTACGCCTTTTTTCTAATTTGAACACTTCTCTTTTTTTGGTCCTATTTTTTAATCGCCATAGACTTCTATGTTAAAAACCTTGAAATGTAAACACCTGTCACTCCGAACCAGTCCCAATGGCATTCAGATTTGACAGGTTTCACTAACTATGGCTCATGGCTGATAAATAAAGGAGAACTCATTGAATAAAAAATAACTAACCTGTCTTATATGCTCTGGAGACTGAGACAGGTGATTCCTCATACGCCTTTTCATAACACTCTCCTTATCAGAGAGGCCATCAGAGAGATTGCTAGTGAGGTCTAAGTGCAGATTCTCTGTGCTGTACGTACTCAGGAGACCATCGGGTGTATCCCGCGTTGAGTGTTCACTTGTGTTCTCCTCTTCTGATAAGCCCACTTCGGAGCTAAATGTTGACCCGTATGATTGGCGGCACCTGTTCTTCCTGAAATTATGAACTTATTTTGAGCATGCGTTTTTCAGGAAAATACTTTTACAAAAATTTTCTTGAGATAAAGCTAAAAATCTAAAGAACATATGATGGAGTACTTTCAGATTTAAATTTGAAATAAATTGGTTCATTATTTGAACCATCTGTTTACTTGTTAGATAAAATGCTTTATTCTATAATACTGAACGTTGTCCCTAAACACTGTATCTAGTATGATGCTCAAAAGTTACTACATGTAGTGTCTTACACAAAGTGTATTTCTTACCTCTCATCCTCATCACTACCAGGGTACTCCTCCTCCCCTGAGGAATACTGCCTCCCTCTCCCCACCTCAGTGGTAGTCTGCCCCCTAGTTGCCCTAGCTGGTGACTGGCCAGCCATGACCTTCTTTGGGCTTTCTGGACTAACACTGATGCTGCGCTTTATCTGCCTATTTAAACTATTGGTTTTACTATTCACCAATTCCTTGTCACTATTATATGGGGATATAACATCAGAATTATTTAAAGTCTCAGTGAGTTTTTCAACTAAATTTTGTATATTCATATTTTCTGTGTCTTCCTCATTGGTAATGTCATTAAGAGGTATGTTGTCTTTCTCGTGCATGTTTGCCTGCATGCGACAGGGAGAACAGGGGGTGGAGCCTGTGCGGGTGGGGTCAAGCCCCTGGGTGGGACTCAAACATGGAGTGTTTGCTGTGTTACTTTCTACATCGGCATCAGCACTAAGTCGTGAACTCCGCTTACTACTACATGTAGCATCGCTGCAGCCACCGTCACAGCCGAAACAAATGTCATTTAAGTTCCTATCTTCACATATTCTCTCTCTGAGTTTCACCTGCCCTATGGGGCTATCACTATCAGTGTCCTTTTCACGTATAGCAGTTGAGGGGCCCAGGTATTTAAACGTTGTGGCGTTCACTTGTGAAATGTCCACATGGCGTAATTCAATCTTTTTTGTTTCTAGTTCATTGTGAAGTGCCTCCTTCGTGGGGCTCTTGATCGCAGTTGCCAAGCTATTGTTGCTGCGACTGTTACTACGGCGATGTCGTGACTTGCGGGAGCGCATCTTTGAAGGAGATGGTTGTGTACCATCTTCATTGATATCAAATTCCAGTCCAAGTCCTATGTAGCCTTCATAAGGAGCGACATCAGGGCTGTAAACACAGAAATGTAATGTGATATAAAGGCAGTCCTAATGGGGTAAGGGAAGATGGGTACCTGGAATGGAACCAATATGAATGTTGGAACTAAATATAATGTTATTTGAATGAGAAATGTTAGTGTTAGTGTTATTTCACGAAGGACCATGACTTGTTAAAATTCTCAAACTCAATAAGCCATGCATAATGAATTTCCAAGAATGCCTTCGTTTTTTTCATTAGATAATGTAGTTTCATCACTACCCTACAAATGGCACTGAATCACTACATGCAAAATTCACTGCTTATCAATTTTAGGCTTCTTCTCTAGCAAATGGCACTGAATTGCTGAACTACATGCACAGTTAATTTCTTCTCACCTTTAGGCCACCTATATGCCAAATATAGTCCCCTATTAGCAATTTCTGATGCAAACCAAATTGATGCACTTTTGAGTTATTAGTTACTATAGCATTTTAACATTATTAGTACCTAGTGCCAGGGTCAGATGTTGTCTTGTGAACTCTCTTCTTGGCCAAGCCATTCTCCATTCTCTCCTGGGCTCTGATCACTGGCTTTAGAATACTCTTCCTCTTGCGACTGTTAGCTATCAGTGCCTGCTCCCTCCTGCATAGACATGCAAGGGTTAATTGGTTTTCAACACACAAGGGTTAAATTAACTACTAGTATGTAATGTAAAGTCTAATCTCGATCACTTTTTTAAGTCAAGTTGAAAGCAGAGAATAAAACAAAGGTTTTCTACATGCTTAATATGCAGGGCATCATTTATATAATATGCAAAGGACCATCTTTCTTAGTTGATCTCCTTTTATGCATATTTCAAATGTGCATGTGAAATAAATCTTCACTTTAGACCTCGCAATGTACTTTAACATGCAAATAAACACATTTATATGAAATAAAAGGAGCAATCCAGACCTCAAAACAGTCTATTTTTGTAAACATCTGATTTCTTGATTGCCCCCTGGTATAATTCATGTCCTGTTAGTTCTGTTGAAATTGAATGCTTTTAGCTTATTACACACATTTATATCCATATCTCATGCTGTTAATGGAATATTTAGTCTATTAAGTGAAGTAAAGTGTGCAAGGTTGATGCATATCACTATTGATTGATTCATTCGTTTAATGTATGATGAAGAATGTTTATACTTTGAATAAGGTGATAACATAATAATATAGGTGATAATATAAACAAGGCATTAACATGTAAAATGTCACCACCTGCTATTTGTTACAGACGCTGAATGTCAAGCGCTGAACACCATCCACAAAAAAGTTGTGGAGATTTATAAGAATATGTCATCACTTGTGGTGGTGACATAAAAATCATATATCCCCTCACATCACTTGATATTCACAAATTGATACCCAGATGTAGTTAAATTTACTGAATGGTTGGGTAATGAACCATCTTAAGTCTGTTTCCTTACTTCATAAGTTCACGTTCCCTCTTCTCCAGTTGTAACATACAAGCTGTTAGCTCCATGTAGAGGTTGTTGGCCCTCTCTAATTTACGCTCATAGTGCTCTCGTACATCTTGGGCGTGCCTACAATTGAATATGTTCAATAAGTATTGAACTTAATTTTCAACAAAAAAAATTAGAATTAACACTTTTTCCTTACGATACCTAATTCCTCCCTCTACAACTAGATATGTTCAATAAGTACTTAAGTTCGTTTCACATGATTTTCCATTAAAAAAGAAATTGATTTAGACTGTTTTTCTATATTCACCTGAGTTCCTCCCTCCTGCGTGCTATCAGCTCCTCTTCCAGTTGAGGCATACAAGATCCCTGACTCTTGATCTCCTCTAGCTGTTCCAGGATCTCATCCTTCCAGATCTGCTGCTCCTCCTTGAACTGGTCATTAGACAGAGCTAGCAGCTCACTCTGTGCGATCTCAAGATGCATTAGTATCTGCCGGAATGATGGGCGATTACGGGGCTTTGGGCTCCTGTAATATAATAATAAAAATAAAATAGTAAAAATATACATGTATGTACAAGTATGTCATAATTAATCCTAACTAACTACGGTAAAAACAAATCCAAACATAACTGGGACCAGCCAAGTGTTAGGATTGGCGGGTGCTACTTTGAGTTTATTAACAAGGCATGTCAAAGAATTGAAAAAAACATTCATATTGAAAGGTGTTCAGATAAGAAAGGAGTTCAGGTATACACGTTTTACTCTATGCAGTCTTTTACACAACTGAGTTCCAAGTGTAATATAACTATGGCTACATACCAGCACTGCCTCATAAGTAGTTTGAAGCCATCAGGACAGGTAGAGGGCACAGGGAGGTGCAGGCTGTTACTTCCTACCCCCCATATAATAGCAGATGAATCAACATCTCTATAAGGGACTTCATGGGATAGGAGCTCCCATAACACCACACCAAATGACCTTAAACATTACATTAACAATTAAACATTTTTGAAACTTTTATCATGGCGTCCTACATTTCAAGATATACAGTACTCCGGGTAAATTTCGACGCTATAAAATTTCGTGATTTTTTAAAATTGCAATTTCGCGGCTATTTAATTTCGCAGATTTGAGTTGATGACATTTCGCGGATAATTGCACAAGTTGAATTTTTTCCGATTACCGTGAATCAATGCGTATCTGGCTAGTCTATTTTAGCCCGTTCTGAATCCCAATAATGTTTGTATTTCCCACGTTTAGGGCATTTATTTGAATATTCTTGAATGGCTCTTTCAACTTCAGTTTGTAGAATATCATTGTCGTCAACAGTTCTTGCCTTTGTTGGCCTAATAAGCCAATTCAAAATGTTAGACATTTAAGGCCTTTTTTGAATTATCGCCCAACAACACTGGACAAAAATGTTTTACACCGAACGAAACATATCAAAAGTCCCGGGTCAAATCCCTGGGGCTTTAAAAGACAAATTTCGCGACGATTTTACTACATTCGCGAACAAAGCTAAATTAAATCGCACGCGAACAATACCCGGAGTACAGTACTTCATACATTTGCAAACAAGAGGGTTATCAGAACAATATCCCCAACCTTTTGACTGTTTTTTAAATCTAGTTTTATTTCAGCAAAATTCAATGATGATTGTCGATTTAATTCAGCAAATCATTTTGGTACGTATCAATTATATTTCAAAGTGGAGACTTAATTAATTGAATAATTTTATTAAACCCCTAAAATACATGAATAAACTCACCAAATATCAACCTTCTCAGAGCATGGTTCATTGCGTATGACCTCAGGAGCCATCCATGCAACAGTTCCAGCGAATGACATCTTTGTGCTTTTCTCACTCCATTCACGGCAAGTACCAAAGTCTGAGATCTTCACAATATCATTCTTGGCTACTAGGACACTGTAAGTAAACAGACATGTTGATTGAATCAATCAATGTGACCTTCACTGAGATCTATAGCCTTTTTATAGTAAAACCTGACTAAACTGAATGCTTCTAGGACCTGCCAAAAGTGTTCAGAATTACAGGGTGTTCACATTTCAATGTTTATTCAACAAGGGAGCAAATGGGAGATAACAAAATTGGGACTGGGAGAAAGTGTTCATATTGAGAGGTTATCAGATAACAGAGGTGTTCAGATATACAGGTTTAACTGTAATAAACATCGGAACGTTCCATTAAACAACACGTTTTATTCTTTCCCGGAGACAGTTTTCTATTTTATAGCAGTCATAAATAATGCTAGTAGAATGAGCTATAATTGTGTCTCGTGTACTCAAAGCAAGAGAACCATTCCCAGAGAGCAGGAGAAATTCAATTTCACGAGCATATTACTAAATGTCATTGGATTAGTTCTCTTGAAATTGCTAGGTAATTGTCTATTTGATGTATTGACTATGTCAGATAAGTATATGGCTATGTACCACCTACGATATCTTCTATCTGAAGCATTAATAGAAATGAGGAATATTTTTCAAGAATTATGCAATTCAATTAATGATCCTATTATCCAGCCTTTATGTAATGAATTTGAAATGTTACTAACTTTGGTGATTTCAGATCCCTGTGCACCATCTTGTGAGTGTGCAAGTAACTCATTCCACTGACAATCTGCTTTGCCCAATCCAGTAGCAGTGCAGGAGGTATCTCCTTCCCATCTCTCAGGACCTCATATAGCTGGCCATAGGGACAATATTCCATCACAATACAGTAGCATGGTGCCTGGGTACATACTCCTCTGCAAATATACAGTGACATTTCCAAATTATATCTCTGTCTTATATGATTTATAGGGATTGATTGTAGGACAGGAGTATCTTAACAAGTATGAGTATGAGATTTTGCGTACTAAATCTTTCATCTAACTCTAAAACGATTCTACTATGATTTGTATAAAATAAATGAGAGGTGGGCTTATTTGGTTAGATTCTGGCGACAGAAAATGTTATTGCACTTAGCCAGAAAGTTGTTTTTGTGTAGAATTGTCCATTTGCAGAGCAATAATTCTCCAATAATTGCACCATGTAATTGTCTTGTTTTCTCTAAGGACTCGCTATAGAGTATCAAAAGTTCAGGCCGTTGTGTTGTGCTCATAGAAAACATTGTAAAGTAAGCAGGTAATATTGCATAAATTATCTTAGAAATATGTGTTTATCAGAACACGTTAAAATATACACGACACCAAATGAGATGACACTCCAGCATATACATAGCAATCAGTTAAATATTGGTCACGAATAATCCTGAATAATCTGAATGCACAACGGTATCCTAAAAGTAAAAGTACCATCCTCTTCAACCAGTTCAAGCAAAATCAAAGAAAATAAATTCCAGAGAATAAACCTTGAGTCAATGTTCTCCTATTCTCAATGAACCATCAATAATATGCTTTCAAAACAAATCTGACTTTTATATTGGATAAAACTAATGGCGTCACAACACAATTGCTAGATTAATCCTCATCCCCAATGTCATTAATTACATCAGTCATACATTGACCCAGCACCTAATCATCCCTGCTTGGTTCAAAACTTCTTATACTGGTCAGGTCTGGTTTAAACCTGGTCATTCACAACATTTTATTCACAGGGAAGTTTGTTTATGACAGAAATCAATGTATTCTAAATCTCAGTGGAATTAGATAGATCTTTCTTGGAAATAGCTTTTTCCTTTAAATGAGAGGTTTATGCAGTTATCCAATGAACATTCCCTTTCATTGGGAATACACAGCTCTCACAAAGATCAACAATCAGATCAAGTGATTCAAAAGTGTTTTTAAATTGTATACTTTTATCCAGAATGTATTTTGATGTCAAACATAAACCCATCATGATAAGTTCTTCATTCAAAATACTTAACTGCCGAATCCTCAAATTTTTTCTTTGAATGACCTTCTCAATTTCCTAATTTACCCAAACAATGGATGTGAACCACATCATCTTGTTGATTATTTTGTCATCAAGTTTATTTCAGTTTTCCCATATTTTACGAGTTACACTATCAAGAAAAGGGGACAACCTTCTGTAATAAAAACCTATTTGCAATATCTAAGCATACATAATAGGGAGAATGCCAGTCCTCTAAACTTAGAAGCATCATTTATCAATGGCCATTTACTTAGTTATGTGCGGCAAAAATCAATACGAAAGAAAATTGCCTTGATGTTTATGAACATGGTCTAAATGTTGAAGTTGACCAATGTTATTCTAAATGTCATCCACATTCCACTGTATTAAATACCACTTTTTCTTGCAATCCCCACAACAATGAGTAACAACTTCAGTAATATTCATTCAATTCCTTGGTTATTTCACCATGTTCCTCCACAGCTTAGAAAGCAATATATCTGCTCTAGAATTATACCCAAGGGTACAGAAATTGTAAGAAATTGATTCTGGTACCTCTTTAAATGTGGGTGCTTGTACATACAATATATAAATAGATCTATATAATAGATCTGAATTATACAACATACGGACCATGAAAATGAACATCTGATTATTGATTGACTTAAAATATCAAATAAATCCTGTTTAATATAGGACTGACATAACAACCTTCAATAAACAAGAGAGGTATCAGAATCGATGACGTACATTGGTTTTTCACTAATATACATCAAAATATCTGATTTTCATGAGGCCATCTTTCGATATAGAATCAATAAAGACCCCATGTATTTATCCTGCTGAATCCTCTCTTATTCTATCTATTAATATAAAATATGAAACCACACCCTTTCCAATAGTTTGATATTGCTTCTTTGAAAGAGAGCTTCATCTACGCATTATACTCCAGGCCCATAGCCAGAGGGGGAGCTCCCCTGGCCAGAAATTCTTTCAAAATCATGCAGTTTTTCACCATTCTGAGAATTTTTCGCATGATTTTTAGCCAAAATTGTGAAAAAGCTCCCCCCTGGAAAAAAGCTCCCCCTCCTGATAAAAGCTGGCTACAGGCAAGTACTCCCTATATACTTCTATACTTAAGAGAAGGGGATGTTTGAGAGGGAGGGACAAGGGCTTAGCCAATATTAACATTCAGAAATATATTCAGAAGATCACTTGACAGAACTTGAGCAACAATATGGGCTAATCCAATTCTTGAACTCATTTGGGTCTGATTGTCCAAAATCAACTTGAAAGCAGTCTAATTTGTTTGATGTTAGATGTCATTGATGTATAGAGCTTAAGAGTGATGAGATTACAGATGACCATGTATACTGTATAGTCTATATATGTAAAGAACTTGATGATGGAGGCAATCAGTGAGATTTAATATTTCCAATGTGGATTTTTCTGTATGTATGCTTTATGATGTAGAAAATTTCCATCGGGGTAAAAAGTCCCATGATGTTGTTTTTAACCAATGAACAACACTTAGGAATTGGCAATGCAAAATTTAATTTTGTCATAATTTTTTTTTCATTAAAATTAACTTGAATCTGTACAAACAAGAATTAAACTTCCAAATTGAAAAGTTTAGGGGTACCAGAATTGCCCCCCCCCACTCCCGTTTGAACTTAAAAGTAATCAATTACACAAAGCATTGGTAAGTGCAGTATAACAAGAGTGTGTATTACCAACAAGAATGTCAATAATGACTTCCGTATTTACACTTGTCTAAAATTTCCAATGACCTTTAAACATACCATTATTGTTACCAGTGTCTGGTAAAAAACATTATTCTTGATTAATCAACTCCCACACTTTAACTTCTACTGCCTGCAGGTTTTAAGATTTCATATATTTGGAAAGAGAGGAAGTAGGAATCATTTCTATTTGTACCATTCTTTGCATTTTTAACTCCACTGGAATTTTACCATGGACCCACTATTGATATCATAGCTAGTAAGCCTGCTCATGGAGAATGGCTGGGAGAAAGTAGATTTTCTGATCACTCTGGGAGATGATTTATTAAGATTCCTAGGGATACCATTACATATCATGTTGTGCTCCATTCATAGAAACAATCACCATGAATGTGTTTGTAAAAATTAAAGTAAGCAAACAAATGACAAAAGTTCTTGATTCTTTTCAAAAGTTTGAAACTGGTCTAATGAATCTAAATTGAGGAATATAGCTAATTATAAAGAATTTGGCATATTTTTTGCAAGGATGTTAATTTTCTCTCCTGGACTGATATATTATGCAGTCTGTGTGTGGGAGGACAGAATATCTAGCAGGTTAATCAAGTGAAGTCTATGATTTTTTGTACAATCCAATATTCCCAAACTTCTTTAAACCATACAAAAAATGCCAGTAGATAAGATACCCTAAGATCATTCATTGAAAACTGGTCAACATTACATATCTTATTTACATAATGCAATAAAGTTCCCGTGACAGTATCCTAAAATCATAAAAAACATTTGTGTCTTCATAAACATTTCTTAATGCTTTAGTGCGACAAGCCAAGCTGTAACTGTTATAATTACACGATCATGATTAAGGAGCACAAAGGGCAACATCACACAAGGCTCCTATAAACTAGAATGAAATAGACGAGCTTCTCTCTGATAATTATTTCAACTGACAACCATAGTTTACAGAAGTGTTATTAATGGGCCCACTTGGTACATAACTTCACAAGTAATCCTTGTGTTTTTTCTAGCAGAATGGACATGATTAACAGCCTTGTGTCAGTAAGGTCGCTTAAATAAGTGTCAAGTCTTGCACATAAAGCACACTTCATATAGAATGTCAGCTTTCTAATTATCTAAGTGTTATTTGGAAATTATCATCTACCTCTTTTACCCTTGTTAGTATGGCAGCCCAAGTTCATTCATAGACTTATCGTATCAAGGTAGATACTGCCCTCACCAGCATAGCTATGGGAGTTTTTGATAAATCAAAATGTTTACGATCCTGCGATCATGAATCAGAGGATTTCCTTTGATTTCAGTTTCAAATAATTTATTAATTACATATGATAGAACACATAATTTTCACCCACTAAGTATCACATCTCAATTTACATGTAAGTAATATCTACTATTTGAAGAGTTCACCTGATCTTTCCTCACCTGTATGTAATTACCTGTCCATGTCAGTTATTAATCAATTTCAAATATTCCCAGAAATAATCTATCAAAATGATCATTTGTTTGAATTCAAATTTAATAAAAACATGAAATAGAAAGGATTACATAAAGGATTCACGTTGGTCACACATATGAAATTTAAGAAAATTGTGTAGGTTAACTTCACACAACTTAAGAGGTAAAATCAAAATGAGATTAGAGGAACCGTGATGTTTGTGACATTTTCAACATAAGTAAGGAACTGACATGATAAATAAACATCTCTCAGAGCTCTAATATCAGATCATTACTAACCTGAGCTGCCTATGCTTAGGGGCATGTCTTATATTCATATATCTGAACAGTAAGCTACACTAAAACAATTTCTTAACTTGTAAATAGCAGGAGTTTTCAGACATTTCAGACTTTACTTATGTGTGTATTTTATAAGTATATTAACATTTATTGCATTTTAAATAACATTAACTCTATATAAATCATTATGCATTTGCCATGGAATTATACCATGGGAGGACTATATGTAGTATCAAGCTGATGTGATCTAACCAAGGGCTGAAACATTAGGTAAGATGTCAGTTGTATCATGCTAATCCTGGCATATATCATCACAATCATTAGCTTAAATCAATATTGTCTTTCCCCATGTAGTTTCCATGTATCTTATGAGAAGTCATCTGCTCTTATTTATCAGCTTATCA